GTCAATCATAAGAGCTTACGGACGGGTTGACCCAGACGGTTCGCGCTATTTACTTGGTGATAATGCAGGCATATTGCATTTACTTGTCCTTACCCATGAACGAGAGAGGTACCAGCTATGCACTGTTTTGAAACTAAAAGACTCTTGATCCATTTCTCAGTACTCACAAATATTCCCTTTTGATGTACTGGTTACTTTTTTAAGGGTAACCGGTCTGAAAATCGAGTACTTGGGAGAGACTTCAATTGCATCATCAATATCATATCTCGATAATGGTGTTGTCTACGTTGGTTCTCGATTTGGTGATTCACAGGTGAGTTAATAGCAGTTTGAATTTGAACTACAATGTACTCCCTCCATCCACAAATGTTACACATATTACTTTTGACACCAAGACCAAGGAGAAATTAAATCATCTTGGATGTTACAAAATCAAGGAGTGAATGCAAGCATGCAACCAATGGCTATTTAGATGACTCCTTGGGTTCTAATAAAACATTTAATTTATCTCTTCATTTAAGTCTTGAATACATAAAGACTACAAATAGGAATAACTTATTTGGAAAAATTCAAATGTGAAATAGGTGTAACTTTTGTGGATGGAGGGAGTAATGTCCCTTTTTGGGGGTGGTGGTCATGCCCTAATTTCAATGCATGCGTGTGCTTTATGCAGAAAAAGTAAATTTCAATTCGTTCTGTATGTTGACACAAATATTGTTGTTGACAGCTTGTAAAACTAAATCTCCAAGCTGACCCAAATGGTTCATATGTTGAAGTTCTTGAGCGATATGTGAACCTTGGACCCATCGTGGACTTCTGTGTGGTTGACCTTGACAGGCAGGGTCAGGGTCAGGTTGTCACTTGTTCAGGAGCATTTAAAGATGGTTCCCTTCGGGTGGTTCGGAATGGGATAGGTATCAATGAGCAGGTATTGAATTAAGATCTATCCAATATTGTCCAATTTTAGTTCTGCATAAAGTTGAGCTATATTATCTCTTATCATGTAATTAGGCTTCAGTAGAACTACAAGGGATCAAGGGTTTATGGTCGTTGAAATCTTCCTTCAATGATCCGTATGACATGTACCTAGTTGTGAGCTTTATAAGCGAGACAAGATTCTTGGCTATGAACATGGAAGATGAGTTAGAAGAAACTGAGATAGAAGGCTTTGATGCGCAGACTCAGACTTTGTTTTGTCAAAATGCCATCAATGATCTGCTTATACAGGTGCCTTTTTTAATCACTGCTTCGTTCATTTTTGTTGCATTTCTTGTAAGTAATACATCCATGAATTTGTGGGGTATGGAATTTGAAGGAACCCTATTTGAAATGCCTGAATGAATCCTAATTAACTAAAATAATTATTTTGAAATGATTTTGTTGATATTTGAGAGGCAAAAAGTTGTCTCGGTAAGTTGTATGTTCTGTGTTTTTATACATTCACTGATTTAGGTGGTTTCACCACTGTTGTGAACTGTTTTAATAAATACTTAAAAAGGGTGTGATTTTTTACTTTCAATGACAGGTTACTGCTAATTCTGTTCGTCTGGTTAGTTGTACCTCTCGGGAGCTAGTGGATCAATGGAATGCACCAGAAGGATTTTCAGTCAATGTTGCATCAGCTAATGCCAGTCAGGTAGGTTTCCTGGGACCCCTTTTTTCTCTGGGTAAGTTTCATCTCGTCAAAATGCACCTAGAAGTTACAGGCAGGAGTCATAAGCCAGACATGAATGTGAAACTTATTGAAAGATCTTTCGTGCATTTGTGCACATGCTACCCCACTTTAAGAATAAACAGTCCACTTTCGATGGACTTAAACTCTGAATCCAATGGCTGAACCACCATTTGTGTGCTAAAAGTATGCACTAGGGGGCACATATAAGCAGGAACTGTTAAAACTGCCAATATATTCTGGTTGGTAATCCTAAATTTTGGTGAATTTGACTTCTTAGCTTTTCATCACAGTTTTTTAAAGACATTATGTGTGTTGCAGGTTCTGCTGGCAACAGGTGGTGGCCATCTTGTTTACCTCGAAATTAAGGATTCTAAGCTGGTTGAAGTGAAACATATACAGTTAGAACATGAGATCTCCTGTGTTGATTTGAATCCAATTGGGGAGAATCCACAGTATAGCTCTCTGGCTGCTGTTGGGATGTGGACTGATATAAGTGTTAGAATACTTTCACTTCCAGACCTTGAATTAATCAGGAAGGAGAACTTAGGTGGAGAAATTGTTCCTCGGTCTGTTCTGCTTTGTACCTTGGAAGGGGTATGTTCTTGACCTCACTTCTCTTTTAAAAAAACAGGTAGCTACTTCTATTGACATATGCTTTCTATTCATTTCAGGTTTCATATTTGCTCTGTGCTCTTGGAGATGGTCATCTGTTCAGTTTTCTGTTGAATGCAAGTACGGGTGAATTAACTGATAGAAAGAAGGTTTCTCTTGGTACCCAACCGATAAGCCTTCGTACATTCTCATCAAAGGGTACAACCCACGTGTTTGCTTCATCGGATAGACCGACTGTTATTTATAGCAGCAACAAGAAGTTGCTGTATAGCAATGTCAATTTGAAGGAAGTCAACCATATGTGTCCTTTTAATACAGCTGCTATTCCTGACAGGTCTCTTCATCTCTGATATGCATCAGTTCTTTGTGCATCTTCTTGATTTTACACTGATATGAATTATGTACAGAGTGTTTTATATCTTTGGACAAATGTTTTCATTTTTGAACTCATAACTTATTACCGTTTATTTATTTGATATCCATCGCAACTTGTGAACCCCCTTTTTTTCTGATATGATTCATGTTTTGTTCCAACTTTTTAGCAAGCAACTTCCTTTTGTTCTTAAATCACAGGAAGTAGTGTTATCATCACTAATCAATCAAGACAGCAGATTGATTTCTTGCACAGCATATTCATATGATAAAAAATGCTTTTGTAACCTGCTAGTTATGCTCTGGAACCTTCTCCATCTCATTAGTAGAGCATTTATTTCGAAATGACGATTATACTATTTTTGTAGCAGTAAATTGAACTTTATCTTGCAGCCTTGCAATTGCTAAAGAAGGTGAACTCTCAATTGGAACCATCGATGACATCCAGAAGCTTCATATCCGTACAATCCCCTTGAATGAACAAGCACGTCGCATTTGCCATCAGGAACAGTCCAGGACACTAGCGTTCTGCAGCTTCAAGCACAACCAGACTAGTATAGAGGAAAGCGAGACACATTTTGTTCGTCTTTTGGATCATCAAACTTTTGAGTTCCTGTCAATTTATCAGCTTGATCAATATGAGCATGGCTGCTCCATCATTAGCTGCTCATTCTCAGATGATAATAATGTTTATTATTGTGTGGGAACAGCATATGTTTTACCAGAGGAAAATGAACCATCAAAGGTAATATGTTTGGTAGCTTGATGTTTTCTTACAGGTGTTCGATCTCATTAATAGTATTTTCAAATAAAAAAAGTTGTATTTTTGTTTGAAAAATAGGAAGTTCAAGATAGAATTTGGGTACTATAACTATAAGTGGGGTGATTACCGCTAACACTATTGGTTTCTCCTGCATATAAATACTTACTGTCAATGCCTCATGGTGTAGGGCCGGATCCTTGTATTTGCAGTTGAAGATGGCAGACTGCAATTAATTGTAGAGAAAGAAACTAAAGGAGCTGTCTATTCGCTGAATGCATTCAACGGAAAATTGTTGGCAGCTATCAACCAGAAGATTCAACTATATAAGTGGATGCTACGGGAGGACGGTTCACATGAGCTGCAGTCTGAGTGTGGGCATCATGGGCACATATTGGCTTTGTACACTCAGACTCGTGGCGATTTCATTGTAGTTGGAGACTTGATGAAATCAATATCCTTGCTCGTGTACAAGGTATGATTGTTTAATTGTTTACAGTGCAACGTATGATGCTATATTCCTAACTTCCACAGCTAACATTTTTTTTCCTGTTTGAGCAGCACGAGGAAAGTGCGATTGAAGAGCTTGCTAGGGATTACAATGCAAACTGGATGAGTGCAGTTGAGATGCTTGATGACGAGATCTATATTGGAGCAGAGAATAACTACAACATTTTCACTGTGCGGAAGAACAGTGATGCAGCGACAGATGAAGAGAGGGGCAGGCTGGAGGTTGTTGGAGAGTACCATCTTGGAGAGTTTGTGAATAGACTCCGGCATGGTTCGCTGGTAATGCGGCTTCCGGACTCAGAGATGGGCCAGATCCCGACGGTTATCTTTGGCACCATCAACGGGGTTATTGGGATTATTGCTTCGCTTCCACATGAGCAGTATGTATTTCTTGAGAAGCTCCAGTCGACTCTGGTGAAGTTCATAAAGGGCGTGGGGAACCTGAGCCATGAGCAATGGCGGTCGTTCCACAACGACAAGAAGACGTCGGAGGCCCGCAATTTCCTGGATGGTGACCTGATCGAGTCATTCCTTGATCTAAGCAGAAACAAGATGGAGGAGGTGGCCAAGGGTATGGGGGTCCCCGTTGAGGAGCTATCCAAGAGGGTGGAGGAGCTGACTAGATTGCACTAGGTCTCGATAATGATGATATAATTAATACGTAGAAGATGTTTGCTGGAACTTATTTCTGAAATGTATATTTTTTTTTCTACTCCAGTTTATTAAGCATGTGTTGGTGGGTTGAATGTTGATGCCGCTGGTGGCACAGGAAGAAGCATTCCTGTTAAGAAGAGTTACTAAGTTACCCATGTGGTTCGGTTGTAGATTTTACTCTGTTTTGTTGGTTGGATGGTCCAGTAATTAACGTTTGAGCTGCCAGTTTTAAGATGTACTCCTAGTAGTATTAGAAATTGTTTTCCTCTGTTGGTTGTGATTGTTGTGGTGGGCACGCTGTTTGAACACTTTGTACAAGGAGTTGTAAAGCAGGTCCCTCGGCTTGATTCTTGATGAGTATAGTAGTATTTTGATTGGTTGAGAACTGAGCGGCCCTGTAGGCTTTCAGTTTGATGAGTTCTTTTTACCCTCTCTGCTGAGAGTTATACACACACAGGCAGAGGAAGGAGAGAGTAGTAAGAAACAGGCAAGAGAATCCCCCGGCGTCCGGCAAGGCAACGCAACGCCAAATCGGGCCCCCAACAACGCCTTGCCTTCCTTCATTGCTTGTCTTCAGGCTCTCCTCCTAGCTCCCAGAGACCAGAGTAGTAGAGAGAGAGAGGAGGCAAAGCAGCAGCAGCAGCCGCAGCCAATACGATCCGCTCCTCCTCGCTCGCTCCTCGTCGACCTGGAGATTCCCCCCGCGCCGGCGCCGCCGATTTGATTCGCCCACCCCTAGGCCCCAGCTAGCTAGATCTGGTGCGGATCCCTCGCCGTCGCCGCCATGTTCTGGCGCATGACTGGTCTCTCCGCGGCCTCGCCGGTGAGTCCCTTCTCTTAATTACTCCCATCTCTTCTCTTCTCATCTCATCATGCCCGCCCTTGGGATTGCTATTGTATCGACCGACTACTTCCAATCCTCCCCGTTGCTCTCGCCTTCCCTACCCTACCCTAGGGTTTCAATAGCTGCGGGAGAGCGTGCCTGTTTCTCCTGCGCCTGCGCCTCCGCCTCCTTTCTCCTTCACGCATCCTGCAAGCTGCTCCACCAAATCTGCCAGCTATTGCTTTAGCACCCGCATCTTTCTTTCTTTCTTTCTTTCTTTCTTTCTTTCTTTTCTTTTCTTTTTTAAAAAAGGGATAATCCATCCCCTTTGTGCATCCGCTTGTTTTTTTTCGATTACAATCCAACAGGTATTTATGAAATCCAATCCAACATGTATTTTAGTCAATATTTCTATCTGATAGCTAAAAAACCTTAACTAGCAAAAGGAGCAATGGACCCAACCATAGTAAAATATATTTCGTTTCTTATGTGGGTGCCGTAATTGCTCTCCTTCACTCGCCCTTTGATGAAATGAAACAAATAGAGCAGGGAGAAAAGCTCCATTGATTAAAAGGGAGTTCGGTAGAATTAGGATGCCACTTCTTTCTAATGCTCTCCTTGCATTTGGAGTTATGACACCTCCTTTAGGAGTATCAACACTTGACCACATCACTCACGTATCACAGGACCTTGCTCTTCTTTCTTGTTTAATCCTTCCTTACAGCCATCCTCTTGTCTTTGGAATGTTTTCATTTGCGCTACTAGCTCGTTATGCTGTATTATTAACTTTTCTTTTACCATGTTGTGTTTTGTGCTAATAGAATTATCATCTGCAATGCTCCGCCTTTCTATTATTCCTAGCTGTAATTCTGTTATTTGCTGCTTGTTTAACAGTAATTTCCTGTGTTTTTTTATTCAGCTTGATCACTGGAATGTGTAAAGCGCTCAATTGCTTTTTTTTTTAACAAAAAATTCATTTGGGAGACACAAGTGAAATTATTAGTATACTATGGGAACATCTCTACCTAACCCGCCTAACTTTGTAATTTACTGGTCAGGTGGATACAATTCTAGACAAGGAGAACTTCACATTAGAAGAACTTCTTGACGAGGATGAAATAATTCAGGAGTGCAAAGCGCTGAATACTCGTCTCATAAATTTGTAACTTCCTTCCTCACCCTTTATTTTATTTCATTGCTTACTTTCTGCGCTGGAGCTATGGAAGATTTTTTGTATGCCTAAGGAACACTCGCATATCCAACCATGTATGCTGAGTCATTTGATCATTTCATCCCTTCAGACTTCAGAGAGAGATTCTTTTTCTAAAACTGTGTTCTTTTCCCATTGATGTAAGCTTTTCCTTAGCTGGTTCTTAATTAATGATCATTTACATCTGCACTACAAGCATAATGTAAATGTATGAATATGTTGTTATGTGGCTGCATTTGATTGACGATTTTACTGCATGCTGTTTCTTTTACCTTTGTAGTTTCTTTGTTCTTATTATTCTTGAATGTTGTCCCTAGCTTGCGAGACAAGGCTCAAGTGGAGCAATTGCTTCGTTACATCGTGGAAGAAGTACCAGAAGATTCTGAAAAGAAACGTTCTTTTAAGTATGCATTCTTTTGTCGTTTACCACCAAGTTTTGTAAAATAGCTTGTTGGTGAACCTTGCCTAACTTCAGTTATATAACTCAATGCAGGTTCCCATTCATTGCTTGTGAGATATTTACCTGTGAAATTGACATCATCTTGAGGACCTTAGTAGAGGATGAAGAGGTAAATATGTTCCCCTGACCCCTATTAACATATTCCTCTCGAGTATTTTATACTCCTCAGGCTGATAAACTTCATTCTAGCTGACCATCTCTTCCATTTCTTGTACTTGATGCAGTTAATGGATTTGCTTTTCTCATTTGTAAGACCTGGTCATCCACATAGCACATTGTTAGCTGGATACTTCAGTAAGGTACTATTTTTCTCCTGTGTTGGTTGTCTCTGAATCATTCTTTGACTTTTAAAGCTATCTGCAGTGGTTTAACTTTAATGTGCTATTATAAATTTGGACACTATTCTTCACACTGTTCATCAGCATACATGGCTTGTGGTCTCAGTTTGATCTCGTACTGTAGGTGGTAATATGTTTGATGCTGAGAAAGACTTCCCCTCTAATGAACTATGTCCAGGTATTGCTCATCTTTCTTACTTAAACATAGGTTGTCGCCAGTATGCTATTATTCTTGGTAATTATGAGCACATTTACTCATATTTTTTGTTTGACAACCTGAAACAACTTAGACTGGATTTGTAGTACTCTCCTCTGAAGCCTGATAGGTCATGAGCTACATTCTGTACGTGTAATTGTGGGTGTAATTTTGTGTGCATCCTGAAGTTTAAAGCTTTTTCTTGCTGATTGGATCTAGAAGTACCATGTGATAGAAAATGTTTTAGAACTATTGGTTCTTCAGTATTGTTTATATTTGCGATCTGCATTCCACTCATTTTATGTTTATAGGTTGCATTCTGTTGTATTTATTCTTTAAGCGGTTTGCACCAATCAAAATGTTAATTCTTACATGTAAGGTTGTGATAAGATACAAGCTTACGAATGCCTGCGTATTTTCCAATTATGGGTGCTCATATTTGTACCCCTTTCATTGTGTAGGAGCACCCAGACATTGTTGTCCATCTTGTTGATCTCATCGGCACCACCTCAATAATGGAGGTCAGCTGTTGTTAAATCCGTTCCATTCCTATTTTTTGCATGTTCATTTCATTTATTGATGCCATGATACTGCTTGTAAAACAGGTTCTGATTCGACTGATAGGTGCTGATGAGACCATATACTCGAATTATGCTGACACATTGCAGTGGTTAGAAAATACAGATGTACTGGAAATGATTGTGGATAAATTTAGCTCATCTGTAAGTTTCAAAGCTTGAGCACTTACTGACATGCTAAGTACTATAAAATGCCACTAGTTAATACTTAATACTAGTTACTCTCAGTATGGTGCATCTAGAAATATCTGATAAAATATATTGAATATTTTGACTAGAAAAGTGCTTATATATCATACACTATTTTAACCAAGCAGGATTCCCCTGAAGTACACGCCAATGCTGCAGAAATTCTTTCTGCAGTGACTCGATGCGCCCCTCCTGCTCTCGCTGCAAAAATATGCAGCCCAAGGTTTGTGTTTTAGGTTTTACTTAATATTTGATCAGAATCGTAAAATGCCGCACAGACAATTTCCTATGTCAACTATCATATGCATTTTTTTTTGTTTGTTTGTTGCATGCCATTTCAGTTTTGTTGGGAGATTATTTCGTCATGCTCTTCAAGAATCACGCCCCAAATCTGTCCTGGTTCATTCATTATCAGTATGTATATCTTTGTTGGATCCAAAAAGACTAGCGTCAGCCTCATACCAAGCATTTAGAAGTAACTTGAGCCATGGGACATTGGTTACTGCTAGTCCAGAGACAGTTGATGGTATGCTGGAGAGCCTAGGTGAGTGCTCTTCTTTTTTTTTTTTGATAGTATTATTAGGCTACTGCTACCTAAGTAGTTTCTCTCTTAGGATCTTAGTTCTATATACTGTAGACAACATCTGTCTTATGGTATATTGTGTTTTTGGTGATTTTTTTTAGAGAATCTTTAATATGCATTTCTTCTGCTTACTGATCTATCTGAAATCACATCGTAGGTGATTTGCTGAAGTTGTTGGATATTTCTTCTGCTGAAAATGTTTTACCTACAACATATGGATGTTTGCAGCCCCCTCTTGGAAAACACCGCTTGAAGGTATGGCTTCATGTAGTGAGTTTTTGTAATTGATAGTTTGTGTGCATGTTTCTTTATATTTTGCTCAAGCTAATCCTTCTTTGCTGAATACCCTGGATCTTAAGCTTTTCTAATTATTTGACGTAAAGCAAAAATCTTGCTTATGGGTACCTTGACTTACTTTTATTAATCTTGCCTCGGGATTTCTGGCGAAGTAATTTCTGATATATGCATGCAATTGAGTTCTGATGGTCTAAAACTATCGTGTCCCTTGCATAAGTCTCTTTTGTTAGTCTAGGCTTGCAATGTCCAATGAATCATTTCTGTTCTTTTGACATGTTCCTTCACAGTCCTTTCCTGTTCCATTTTGGTTTTAATGCGCGGTATGTTTGTTCCTCCCAGATTGTGGAATTCATCTCTGTTTTGCTGACGATTGGTAGTGAAACTGCGGAACAGGAGCTAATCAACCAATCTGCAGTAAAACGTTCCATTGATTTGTTCTTCCAGTAAGTGGGGCTATTTTATGTGCTCTTCTTCCTAACAATTGCAAGAGAATCATCACATATTGGTTCGTGCTGCAGGTACCCTTACAATAACTTTCTGCACCATCATGTCGAGAGTATTATCATTTCTTGTCTGGAAGTTAATAGATCCCAGCTGATTGACCATGCCCTTAATGAATGCAATCTTGTTGGCAAAATTCTTGCTGCTGAAAGAAGTTCCTCCCTGTCAACAGAATCTAACACAGTAATCTATTCCTGAATTCTTATGTCCTTCATACCCCTTGTTGCAAGACCAGATATACACAGGGTCCTGTATATTGAGTATTCTTATCTTCTATGTGCAGCCAACATTACTATCTGAAGGGAAGGTGCCTCCAAAAATTGGGAATATTGGGCACATAACTCGAATAGCTAATAAGCTTATTCAACTGGGAAATAGCAACAGCATAATCCAGTCTCATTTGCAGGTACTTTGAGTTTCTCTTCTTTCGTTAGCCTATCACTTTAGCAATTGCATGATGTACTTCTTGTGCATAATATCATCTAAACTTTATTAATTAGCTAACTTGGTGAATAATGTCTTTACAGGAGAACAGCGAGTGGGTTGAATGGCAGACAACTGCCCTGGTCAAACGCAATGAGGTTGAGAACGTTTATCATTGGGCCTGTGGGTAGGTTATCACCATGTTTTGTGATGCTTTTGTGATTGCGTACACTTGTCTTCGCTGACTTTTGGCTATCAATGCTTTGTGCTGCAGTCGTCCGACTTCTCTACATGATCGTGGTAGGGATAGCGATGATGATGACTTCCGAGACAGGGACTATGATGTGGCGGCACTTGCTAATAACCTGAGCCAGGCATTCCGGTATGGAATGTACAGCAATGATGACATTGAAGAGGTGATTGTCTGAACTTGCAGCAGCCTGAGCTTTGGTAGCATGCTAGAATTTACATACCTGAGGAAATGGGCACTGATGTCTTATGCTCTTATTACCTTCACTGATATAGTCCTCTCTAGCATTATGGAACATGTTAGTAATGTGTCAATGTTTGCTTATTGCAGGCACAAGTAATTGAACGAGATGATGAGGTATGTTAAAATGCTGTTTAGGACTTTAGGCTGCATCTGTTATTTGTATTGTCATTTGATCTGCATGTTCAATACTTCCATTGTTAAATGGTTTGTCCTTAAGACTTGTGGTCAGTTAAGTGACTCAAGATTTCGAATCTAGTACTAGTATAACAAGTGTGTTGTGTCCTGATGTCCAGCAAGTATAAATGTATTTTCGATAGTCTGAATTTCTGTGCTCCTGTTTCCTTTCAGGATGTCTACTTTGATGATGAATCAGCTGAAGTAGTAATATCTTCGTTGCGTTTGGGTGATGATCAGGACAGGTAATTTTGTTATCGTTTCGTTGTCCTGCCGTTATTACTATTACTTAACTTTCTTATATATTGTGTGTTCTACAGCAGCTCCCTCTTTACGAATTCAAACTGGTTTACCTTTGATGGTGATAGAGGAATAAATGACCGTTTAGCTGCCTCTGTCCCTTCTTCATCTCCCAATTCTGAAGAAACTTCTCTAAACACGGAGGAAACTGATGAGGTGCAAATTGGTGAGGACACTAGCATCGAGCCACAACTGGAAAGTGTCTCTCTTGAAAATGGCCCTGTTGAGGAGGCCGGGGACTTAGCAGATGTAAGTAAACAAACAGATTCTAACACGGAAGACGAGAAACTATTGTGCACTGAAGAGGAAGATTTGTCCAAAGAAGCTGAAGAATCTGAGCGACACGTGGATGTTCGAGATGGCCAGGTAGACATACAGGCAGAAGATGCAGCTGAAGGATCATGCGGGGATATGGGTACAGGGATAGCAGTGGATGAACCTGTCAGCCCATCATCTGAGCCCAACAATGCTTCGGCTGGAGCTTCACCAGACACAGGTGATATCCATACTGCTGGCTCAACTGGATCCAACGATTCAGGTGCAGAGTTGCATGCCAAGGAAGATTCACAGGATGGACAGAAAACTGATGAGCCCACAACAACAGAGTGAAAGTATGGTTGTGGTATGGATTGTACCATCAGACCAAAAGCAGCTACTGCTCGGCAGATCCTTCCAGAAGGTATGGTAGTACTCATGCCAAAGTCCCTAACCTCACATCTTGGCAATCATGGAGAAATCAGAAGCAATGAGTGCTGTGCAACAACATAAAGCTTTTGCTATCTGCAGTTGCAATTTGCAAACGAGCACTTCCATATGCCGACTGTCTCACCTCATCTCCAGATGCCTTGTCCTCAATTTGCATGGGACTCGTACCACGTAATGGTGGGAAAGTTGGTTTTCCTTTTTTGTTCAGACCTCACCTCAATTGGTGGTAGCTTTTGATGATCCGTTTCAGCTGGTTTTGGCTACGTTGGTATTTGTCTTGTTTCTTACGCTAGGGCACTCGAACTGTAGCATTGGCAGTGAGTTTTTTCCCTTGTTTCTTTTAAATTGGATTAGCTATCTCTGTATTGCTTAAGAGAAACATACGGCTGGCTTTTTCTCTAGTTAAATTAAGAGTATATTTGTTCTTCTGTTCGGGAGTGGATTCTATTCCCATCGACGATGGGATACCCTCTCGTGTACCTTTACCTTTCAAATTTGATGCAAATAGTTGTGAAAAATTCTGAAAAAAAAATTGGCGATGTAGAGTATAGTGATATCTACTAGTTCATCAAAATCAAGTTCAAATTCAACCTAAACATTGAGAAAAAAAAAAGATAAACTCAGATATAAACAGTACACCTTTACTTGGCAAAAACCATCTTGGGCCGTGTAGATACGTCCATACACCTTTACTGGGCCCATCAAAAGCCTTTACTATGCTTTGTCGTGGGCCTCTGCTGCTGATACTCCGTGTATGTATGTCAATTCATGGACCTCGATTAATGGTCCTGTATTTCTCAAAAAAAAAAAAGACTAATGGTCCTGTATGGTTCATGTGGCTCTACAATTCTCAACGTATTAACCTTTTGAAACTCCACCCAAATTTGTGACAACCGTTTTCATTAGGAGTGTTGCCTAAAAAAGTCGTGACTATTAGCTTTATGAACAAAAGTTTCGTGATTAAATTCGTGACTATTAGCCTTATGACCTTTTTTTTGGTGATTTTGGGCCATCGGTCTATAATTTCATGGGCTATAACTTTAGGCCAAAATTCCTATGTATTAATCTAAAAACACATGAATATTTATCTCCTCGAAAATTTCATGGCTATTAAACTTGGGACGGTTTGGAACAAAATTCGAACATATTTACTTTAGGACTAAATAATTAATTTTAGCCTTCGTCATATAATTTATGTATTATACCCTTTGATGAAAATTGATGTGTATTAGCCTTAGGAAAAGAGTGCACAAGAGTTTTTTTTTGTTTTTTGTTTATTTTTTACAAAATTTCACAAGAGATCATTGTGCACAAAGTTTGTGAATATTACTCGTGACATTTCGGGCCCAGGAAAATTTAGTGCGCAACGATTCCGATGCTAATACTCGTGATTTTTTTAGGAAATGGCTAGAGAAAATATTCATTTTTTTCATAAAAAGTTAAATACTCATAAATTTTGGCCCTGAAAAAAAATGTTGTGACTTTACCCAAAAGGTAATGGACAGAAATTTATCTGCCAAAGGGTGAAAATTACGAAAGTCTTAGGACCAGAATATTCACAAAATTAATACTCATAATTTTAGAGAAGGCCATGGCTTATGAAAATACACACGAAAGGCTAAAAATAGTAATTTGTCATAAGGTTAATATTTATATTTTACAAACATTGTGAGCATCGATCGTAATACTGATACTCATGACACATTAATATTAATACATTAATATTGATTATAAGGTTTTTATTCAGGAATGAATTTTATACGGACCGATCCCAATGCTAACACCATGTAGATCTAATGCCTTCGTGAACAAATGCTGAATTAATAGGCTTACCCAGTGTAAATATTCAGCCTGGTATATACTCCATTTGACTTACCGGCTGCCCTTTACATAACCACTCATACCAGGCAACGGGATGTGAAAACAGTTTGTGTTCAGGGAAAAAAAAAAGACAAACATAGCCTCTTTCAAGAACCCCTCAAAATCGGGTAGTTTCACTTATATTTGTAAAATGTTTGATCAACCGCATTTCGAACAAATTACAATAAAACAAAACCGTATCAAAATTGAAAAACTCCCTGGGCAGCTTGAACATCGGTGTGTCAGAATAGAACTTCTCAACCCGGCAAATCCAAGTCTGAGTAACGTGAAAATTTTATGGATGCTACCCCAGTAGCCCAGATGCCACCATTAACTTTTCATTTTTGCCGATTGGTGGACAGGCTTGAGGGGCTTCCGCAAGCTTAACGATTTTATGGTATCTTCAAGATGCTCTTCAACTTAACAACAAGTTTCCAGTCATCCATTGACAAATCGTCCTGCAAAAATGATTTTTTTAAGATCGTCAACGTGTAGTTTGGTACAAATAGATTCGGAGAATGCAGATCAAAATGCACAGAAACATAAACAATAAACGTTGACTTACTCTATAGTTTTCTTTGAGAAGATCAATAGATCGCCTTGTGATGCGACTAACAAGTTCATCTTCCATGTCAAAATGCCTACCAAAACTCTTCTGCTGCTCATCAGGATTGCTCCCAATAATCTGTTCACATCCCAGCAAACATATATTTAACAATATAATTGAATAAGAGAAGGATCAACAGCCACAAATTATCAGAAATACCAACCTTTATAGCCACCTTCTGCCCTTTTGTGGCCATGTCAACTTGCTTATGATTAATTTCAATAGATGCAATCTTCCCAATATCAATATATTCTTTAGTGGGTATGCATAGAGGTGTGCCCACCTAGATACAAAGGCAAATGAGTTAGCGGAACTGCACACCAGACATTTATTCGAAAAGATAAAAGAAAAGATGACTTCGTGAGTAACATAGCATCCCAGTCTTTGAGTATTTAAACTTTCATATGCTACTTGCTACTTCAACTACTTGCATTGGGATTGGAACCACACAAAAAAGACAGTGATAAATCACCAAAGAAAATACCTTGGCTATTCCTTCAAGGACATCAACACCTAAAACAATTGGATCCTTCTTGTTAAAAACACAATTTGGCATAATCTTGAGAACACAGGGGAAAACAGCTTCTTCAGCGCTTTCTTTCTTCTTTTCTTCCCTCAGATTCTTAATGTATGCAGTAAATTGATCAAAAAGGTGGTATATTATATCTGCTACAAAGATCCTCACACCAGACTCTTCTGCAAGATCACGGGCATCAGGCATCACTTTGACATCAAACGCCAAGATAGTAGCATATTCTTTCTTCCTCTCAAGCATAACACTGGCCTTCATAACATCTTTCTTGTGGACTGGCCCTATACTGAAATCACAGAAGGGAATATTCACAGCAGGGCTCTTCAAGAACTCAGTGAGAGCTTCCAATGACCCAAGGGTAGATGCCTGTACATAGACACCTTCGCCACTCTTATCAATCCGATTTCTAACCCTAGTCATCTCTTCCATCACAGCATCTTTTAGTCTGTCCAGATCATCATCAGGCTTTAACACATAAAGAGCAGTCCCTGCAATTGCATGTTCAAGACCCTGAAAGAAAGAGATCATTAAGTTAGTGTCAAAAAACTATATAATACAAGAAAAAGGGAAAGAAATTGGACGCACCTGTGCTGATATTTTAACTCCTTGTGCAGCTCTAATCTTCTTATGATGTTGGTATGTGCCCTGAAAAAGAAGTGTTTCAATTATTCCAACTTGAACACAAAGAGAAACTAATAGCAGTGAAAAAGTAATGCCATTAAAACAAAGTAAATGAATCAAAGTCCAAAGTCCTCTCGACGTTTAAAAGAGAACACGCGCGCGCGCACACACACAGAGAGAATGGCAGGTGGAAAGTACACAATTTGCTGGATTACGAATGATAGTGCGAAATAGGACCAACACATTGGTATCAACAACTGGTTTACTTAATTTGGCAAAATAATTTCAAGCCACTCAAAATAAAAGAATGGCATTGAGACCAACATTCTGGTACCTAGAATTGGTTACTTAATAAAGGTAAAACGATTTCAAGGCAGTGAAAGAAATGAATGGAACTGAAGTGAAAAACATGACTTAAAACCATCCTAGAACAAAAGGGAGCAGAATTGATGATCTCTCAGTGCAAAAATGATTCCAATGAAAGCTGTAAGTAGGTAGGAATAATAATTATAACCACATGATAATTCGGTTGCAACCTATACAGTACTTTACTGGAGTGAATTTCACAACTAAAACAAAGCTTGCACTATTATGGGACACGCACCTTAACTCGAAGCTCCCTCATTGGGTGTGGTGTCAACAAAGCTCTAACTGTTGTCACAATGGGTCCCTACATAAACATAGAACAAGAGCAGGCGGCAACTTCAATAAGCTGTGTTTGTTGAAAAACTGCATTTATAAAGAAAAACGTCTCTTACCTGCATCCCACACACAACTATTTGATCTCCTTCATGGAGTATACCGTTGACCAACACAACATCAACTGTAGTACCATGACCTTCAACAACCTTGACTTCCAGCACGGTACACTGAAACAGAAACGAGATAAGAATGCATGCTTTTATAATGACAAGTAAATTTATGCACCGTACCTGGACTTCATCAACGAAAGTAAGTCTTTCTTCCATCGTCTTTTGTGCCCATTGCACCAACAGAAGAAGCAGATCAGGAATGCCTTCACCACTGTTGAGAGAAGTGAACTATGTGTTGAGGCAAAGATGCCAATAATATCATAGTTGAATGAAGAATCAATTAATTCAGCTGTAGATCATACCTTATTGCACTGGTAGGCACTATGTTATATGTATCTTCCATCTCCTTGTTCTTGTAGTACAAAGCAGTATTCACACCTTGCATCTTGAATTGTGTCACAATCTGCATATATGTGTGATTGTATAAATACAACTGCTAGTGCTAAGTCATTTCTTTAAAGAAAAATCAAGATGGAAATTTACGCACATCAGTAAGCCTCATATTGAACTCCCTCTTAACATCTTCATTTTGCTGCCTCAAAGCCTTCCCAATAGGGGCATTTGTACACTTTTTCCAGCCATAAAGACGATCAACCTTCATAGAGATTAAGCCAAAAAACAATTGAGACATTAATAGACTGTAAGAAAAGATGAGGTCAAAGGGCAAAAAAAAACTCCAAAGCAATATACCTTATTTAAGGCAACGATAAAAACTGCATCACGGCTCTTCAAGAGATTCAGGGATTCAATTGTTTGAGGTTCAAGACCGTGCATAATGTCAACAACCAAAATAGCAATGTCACACAAACTTGAACCTCTAGAACGCAGATTACTGAACGACTCGTGACCAGGAGTGTCAATAACAAGCAATCCTGGAACCTTAAGTGTGGCATCAGCTTTAAGCTCTTTTGTTCTCTCTCTAATATTTTCAGTTGGGAAGTACGTAGCCCCAATCTGTTGGGTAATACCTCCAGCTTCTCCTTCTTGTACATTGGTCCGTCTAATACAGTCTAGCAGTTTTGTCTTACCAGTATCGACATGACCAAGGATGCAACAAATTGGTGAACGAAGGTCACTGCCATTCTTAGTCTCATCCTCTTTAATAGGTCCTTTCTTTGAAGCGCCTCTATTCCTCCTAGCATTTGCACTACTGGATTCGCCATCTTCCGTTTCACCTTTATTGGAGTTTGCAACCTTTTTTACAGTAGCCACTGTAGATTGTGCTTTAGAATTTTCCTGCTTCTGAACAGGTTCAGCAACCTTCTTGGCGACAGGGTTTGCCTCTTCCTCCTCAAAGGCACTTGTCTTAGGCAAATTGACATCTATATCATCCCAGCTCTTTGCATCCCATTCATCTTCATCTTCCTCCTCTTCTGGTTTCAATTCTTCGACATCCTGATCAGGTTCGGTTTTCTCAGATTCCTCCACTTGCAACTGAGATTCCTGATCCACTAACACATATTCTTCCTCGTCATTGATAGTTTCGTTAACTTCTTGTGGTTGTTCTTCAACTACCTTTGCAGTCTCCAGAGTCTTCTGTTGACCTTTTTTCTTCTTGGAATCATATATAGGCCTCTTCTTTGTCTCAGGGACAGCACCATCGGCTACTTGAAGTTCACTCTGCTCAAGGAATTGTCTCCTCATTGCTTCTAACCTCTTTGCTTCCTCCTTCTGCTTCCCAGTCAAGAGCTTACCCTCCTGCTTCTTCTTCAGCAACTTCTCCTTTTCTCTCTCCTTCTTCCTCCTCTTTGCTTCCTCAGCTTTCCTCTCCTCCTCCTCTTTCTTCAATCGCTCCTCCTCCTCTTTCCTCAATCGTTCTTCCTCCTCACGCTTCTTCCGTTCCTCAGCTTCCTGCCTCCTGGCAAGTGCCTCCTGCATCTCCCGCACGTGCTTCGGGAGCTTCTTCATGTCAACCTTCCCTTTAGGAGCTTCTACAGCCTTTTCCTCTTCTTTCTTAGCATCTGCCTCCTTAGCTGCTGCCTTCTTCTCCTTCTCCTTTTCCTTCTTCTTCTTCTTCTTCTTGGCTGCAGCAGATTCCACCTCTCCTTCCCCAGCCTTACCATCCTCTGCGGTTTCAGTATCTTCCTTCACCATTGCCGCAGCAGGTGGCGCCTGGGGCAGAACCTCCTTCTCCTTTTCTGCTGGCGTTGGGCCCTCACCAAGCTCAGCGAGAAGCTTATCCAAATCCTCCTCTTCCTGAGCTGTCCTTCCACTCTTCTTTTTTTTCTTCTTCGATTTCTTGCCTTCCGCATCATCCACACTGGTTGAGGCGGCCACATTACCCACATCTTTCACCGCCTCAGGCTCAGGCTCAGGATCGTCGACAGGAGGTGGCTGGTCCTCAAACTCTGCGAGGATCTTGTCTACGTCCTCATCATCGACGGTAAAGCCTCCCTTCTTTTTCTTCTTCTTTGATTTCTTTCCTAAGGCATCATCTGCATCAGGGGCAGGCACCTCTTCCACCGGCTCAGCCTCTTCGGTGGGAGGAGAAGTATCGTCGATCTCGGCGAGGAGCTTGTCAATGTCCTCATTGTCCACAGTAAAGCCGCCCTTCTTTTTCTTCTTCTTCTGAGGCTTTTTGGAAGCTGCAGCTGCAGCAGCCTCGTCGTCGTCTGCCTCATCAGCAGCGGCGGCTGGGGGCGGCGGGGCAGGCTTATCTAGGTCGAGGTCGTCGTGTTCCAGAGGGACTGGGCGAGCTCCCTTGTCCTTCTTCTTTTTCTTCTTCTTGGCTTTGCTGAAGTCGAAATCGAGGTCGTCGTCCTCGGCGTCTGATTTGGCGGCGGCATCGGGCTCGACGGGGGCGGGGGCAGGGGCGGGGGCCTCGTCGTCGTCTTCTCCCTGGTCCTCGTCGGCCGCGAGGGCGTCGAAGGCGCTGAAGGAGCTCACGGCGCCGCCGCCGCCCTTCTTCTTCTTCTTCTTACCGGTCAAGACGAGGTTGATGGGCTCCTCGTCGTCGTCGTCGTCCCCGGGCGGGGGCGGGGGCGCGGGGGGCTCGTAGTCGTCGTCGTCGGGCAGGGCGGCCTTGGCGCCCTTCTTGCCCTTCTTGCCGCCGCCCTTCTTGATGGGCTTGTCCTTGTCGGCGGCGGGGGCGGGGGCGGCGTCCTCCTGCGGGAAGGAGTACTCATCGTCATCGATGGCGACGTTCTTCTTGCGACCCATCGGCGGCGAGCGGGGGGATCGGCGGGGTTGGGGGTTGGGGGGGTGTAGGGTTTGGAGAGTCGGCGTGTGTGTGTTAGGGTTTGGGGGCGGAGATGGAGATGGAGATCGAGGTTCCTTTCCTTTGCTCCTTTGCTAATGCTACTCAGCAATCGGAAGGAGACGGGAAACCCACCCAACCCCCACCAAAAGCCCAAACGAAACGGGATACTGCTGTACTGCTCCACAATACAACCAAAACCAAAACAGGATGCGTTTCTTTATTGGTGAAAACGGAACGGATTCGGATGAATAATAGCTATACTATATCCTAAACCATATTTTTTAAGCGGATGCGGATGACGTATGGATGCGGATGCGGAGCGGATTATTTCGGACGTCGGATTCGGTGCGAACTCGGTTCAGAAACGGACAAAAAGTTATCGGATGTCAAGTTTGTATTCAATCCATACATCAAGAGGGCGGCAATACAATTTGCCCCAATACGATGGCAAAACATCATTAGTTCATTGCGTTCAGTTCAATAGCAATAGTATAACTATAAGTAATAAGTGTTCGGTTCAATAGTTCACTAGTCAAAATAATCCAAGATATATCCACGATCCATCAAAAACATAATATAAGTGTTCAGTTCAATAGTTCACCGGTTACTGCATAGCTTAAAATGTAAAAATAAAAGTCATCGGCATGAGGCAAGCCATACAAGCATACAACAACAGCAAGCATAGAGCAGTAGAGCACCCCTATGCAGTGCTACACGCAGCATACTGCATACAGGAATACAGCAGTAGTAGTACAGGTGTACAGCACAAAACACACAACAGTGAGCGGCGGCGCTAGCAGCCTCCTGCAGCCGGCGGTGGCGCTAGCCGAGGAGGAACGGCTGGCGCGTGTTGGGGAGGAGGATCGGCCTGGCGCGTGTTGGGAAGGAGCGGCCACCGCGCAGGGTCGCCGTCGTGCCGTGCCGCCGCGCTACTCTCTCCGACTCCTCGACTGACAACTGAGGGACGGCACACAGAGAGAGCCAGAGACGGATCTGGGGGATGAGGAGAGGATTAGATTAGGCCGGGTTGGGCTATTGGGCTAGCTAGGTGGGCCTGAAAGTTGTTGTGTGGTCTGAAATTTGCGGATTATCCGCCAAACAGTACATCGGATAATCCGATTAAAATATCGGATAATCCGCATCCGTCGGATATCGTTCATACCGCATCCGCATCCGGCCAGATATCTAAAAATCCTTACCATATCCTCACATCGGACAGATTCAGAGCGGATCGGATCGGATAATATCCGCTCCGTTTTCACCCCTACGTTTCTTACTACGCCTCCGCTTCCTCTTCGTTTTTATAATTTTTTTTTTCAATATGAATCATACTAATATAAACTTCACCCATCAATTTTTAACTCACTTTTTTTTAAAAAAAGCTTTGTTTGAGTGTATTAGAGACTTTAGAGTTCGTATCACGCAATAATGGACCTGTTTGGCTGCCTGTGCTGTGGTTGTGGCGCAGCCGGCACTAACAGTGCCGCACACACACGGCGCAGCCGCAGCTGCAACCACCGCAAATAGACAGCCGAACAGGCCCAACCATAACCAATCTCACTTGCATCAGGTTAGATAATCATGACTTGTCTACAGCTTACTTGCTCTAGATCTTTATCCATAGAGTTGGAGCCAAATCAAGAACTACTTGATTTTGATTGTTTTAAGAACAGGATGGGTGGATTTGCTATACAAAATACATACAAAGGATAAAGATATATTTCCCACCTCTAAAATTCTGACATTGTATCAAATTTAGAGCTCTAGCAAACTAGCATGGACTATGGATAGGGGAGGCCTCCCCCATCCCCCCCCCCCAAAAAAAAACACGCACACAACAATAGCAACAGCTTTGTTGGTGTGGCTTTATAAACTGATGCCTTCTTTCTTAATAAATTTTGACCGGCAAAAGTATTATCTAAAATAAAAATATCTAATAACCATATATCTTTCTGTATCATAATTTAAAATAGAGTGAATTGCACATTGGACTACCTTTTATTACCATAGTTACACATTGGACTAGGGACAAAGTAATATTTTCACTTTGGACTAAATAATTTTACACAAGTTTCAGATTGGGCCGGTGTTTCCTCCATCTCCCCTCTCTTCTCTTCTTCATTGAGCTGAAGCCACTGTACGTGAGCTTGAGCACTACCATGTCCTCCCTTTATTGATACTAAAACTAGCATGTTAGGTAAGGTGATACGATTAGTTTAATTTAGGGTGAATAGCTAATTTAGTCCCTCAAGTTTTACCGAAGGCTCAATTTGGTCCTTCACGTTTCATTTTGTCCACATAGCTCCTCTAAATATTTATTTTGGCTTGAAATCATCCTTGGGCCCACTTAATATGCCATATGGCTATTTCTAGTCAATATTTCTATTAGAAAATATCCCTTTTGCCCTTAATTTGTATACTATATACTAGAAAAGAGGAAACCAAGATGAATAAACAACATTGCAGATGTACTTCCCATTATTTCAACATGTGCACATGAAACTTAAGCAATTGCTATCGTATAGTACATAATTTATTTTCGTTTTACATAATTTACTATGCATTATCTATAAATAAAATCAAGCATGTAATTTTTGTTTTATATATGTGAATGATGGGGATATAAGTGTCATTTATCAAGAGAGTTGTTGGTTCAAGGATAAGTTTGAACTAAAATAAAAACTTGAAGGACTAATAAGGATAGATTGAAACATCAAGGACTAAATTGAGCCTCAGATAAAACTTGAAGGACCACTTTGGCTATTCACCCTTTAATTTAGTCATTAGCATACTAAAGTCTTCATCTTCCCCATGTGTGGTTGGGATTGAGCTCTCTGGTGAAAGCAACCTGCATACTCGACCCCAATTACTTTGCCTATTCTAGTCCCTGACGAAGTGTTGTAGTACTGCTCCCACGCTCGAGCTCAGGCACCAGCAATGACTTCAGCATTATCACCATGCACTTCATCTCAGCTTGAGCACCTGTACCGGTGCTGAACCTGTGATGATTTGCTACTCTTCCCTCCAGATTGGATAGGGTGATTGGAGTTTGGAAAACTGTCGTACTTCTACCTCCTCCTGATCGGTGATAGCATAACAAGAACAGGTTGGGAGAGAGATAATAAGGCTGCCTGACTCGGAGAAGATGAGGGGTGGTGCAGAGTGAAACAAATGGCAAGGTTATGTGGTGCAAAGTGGAAATCATGGCTAAGACCTTGTCCAAGCTGCAACAAGGGTAAAAATACATGACCCAAACTGCAATTTACTCTTTAAAATATCTACTATTATAAAAATTGAAGATGTTTTTTCCGGTACTTTGGTACGTCATCCGTGTATCCGTGTATGAGTCGGTTTTTAAGTTTGTTCGTTTTTGGAAATACAGATATGTATTTGAGTCAGGTTTTAAGTTCGTTTTTTGGAAATGCATGAGCAATCGTATAAGATATCTCTCTAAAAACTTACATGCTAACTTGAGGTGATTGGACTCCTAATTGCAGCTCATGATTGAAATAAATAAATATATACATTGTAGCTGTATCATATACCTATTAAGTATTATCATTTTCTTTACATTGATATGATATATTATCTATGAAAAACCTTTAAATTTTCGTATATTTTTATACTACTATTTTTTTATCATAATCATTTGATAAGTTGACTCCCCTAATACTCAGATCCTAGTTTCGTCACTGGTCTTGGTCTCCTACACTTCTGCAAACTAAAGTTAACTAGAGTCCGGTTTCTCTTCAGCTCACCAGTGTACAAGTTCAGGTTCAGACATTATTTTCTCTGTATTTCAAGTACTCCAAAATCGGCAAGTACATTGACCGTCTTGAACAAGGGAGAAACACCAGGTATTGATCACAAGGGAAGGCACAAGAAAGATATAGGAGTATATATGAAACAGCAATTGCAAGTAGCAGTATCTTTACCGGTTAACAAAAACGATTAATGCCAGAGGCAGAAACCCAATCTGTCCTAGGACTCCTACCTACATCTACAGATTTTGTTATGTTTTCTGTCTTGTCTTGAGAGACCCCAAAATTCCCAGATCCACCTTATGTCCTCGACCCTGAATCAGATTTGGGAGTCTGTACCGTGTAGAAAAATACAGTATACTAGTAGTACATCCCTCGGCAGAAATAAATGGCGAGGGCAAAGAAGCAGCTGCAGCTGCAGCAGCACCAGTACTGAACAGCAGCTAAACAAATTGTACCGGTGCAGCAGCTAAATAAATTGTCTTGGATTTCCCACATTTCTAGCTTCCTATAAACTATTGTTATTGTTCATGGAGGCAATGTCATGCTTTGCTCTTGAACTTCCTATGTGCCTTGAGGTCAATTACAACGACAGTGATGTTGTCCTTGCTCCCCTTCTGTAGGGCAAGCTTGGACAAGTAGTCGGCAGCTGCTTGAGCAGCCGGATCTGAAGAATCACCGCTTATTTGGGCCGATGACGTTGATGCGGTGGCCGCATTCTTCTTGTGCCATAGTAATATCCTCTTGCGAGCAGCATCACAGACCTCTTCGTTCGACATTACATCCCAAAGGCCATCACTTGCAAGAATAAGGCAATCATCGTCTTTTGCACGAGCGACAACTGTGACCTCAGGGACCGGGATTATATATGGCTTCAGGTATTTGTCCCCTGCAAATACATCAATGCACAGACCAGAAGTATTGGCAAGCGCACCAATAAATCAAACATAATTTATCTACTTTGAACTTTGAAGTATCAACAAAAGCCATATATTAAAGACATTGAAATCAAATTACCAGTCACAGAATAACATGTTAAGAGCAACAAAAACTGACAGGATACATGAACACTGGAACTAATAAACCGGGGTACAACAGAAGAATAGCATGATGTTATGATTCTCTCTCTAGTTTGAAGCATCAATACAGCAAAAGCGAATCAGAGTAAATGCTGATGAAAGAGTTATTCAAGTCTTGTGATATATATTGGGCCAGGCTTTCTCCCTTAAGATTCAATGGGAAGAAACCTCATCTGACTGCAACAGTAAATTAACAAATATGATTGACTGCTGTGCAGCAACATGGGTGAAGGTGTGAAGCTAACATCCAAAGCTCAATTGATGCACAATGGCACATTATTACATCAGTCCTTACAATCCTCGATATAGTACAGCTGTTCCTTGATCACAATGAATGCAAACAATGGCTTATACAGCTGTCGTGTAGTTAGTGACTCATCCTAGTGTTTGGTATGACAGAAATCACTACTTTGAAGTATTCTGCCATTTAGTATTACTCTTAATATTTTTCCATCAAGGTGATCTCAATGTCTAAGTCTCTCATATTCTCTTATATTTTCCTATTGTGAACTGCATGTATACTCACCAAACGCCTATACCAGTATCGCATATGGCAACATAGCTAACAAATATAGAAATATATGCCTGAATCATAGCATCGCAAATCACTTAACAGTATGACTAGGAACAAACTAACAAAGTAATTAGCCGAGGAGCTCTCTCTGCCACCATAGGTACAAACTCACTACCAGTTGCAAACAATCGCATTGATGCAAGGTATTTGTAAATAAACTTGGGGGTACAATGTCATTACACCAGGGAGCAACAATCAGCCAGTGATTTTTCACTTAGAAAAGTCACAAACCCTAGAGCACCATATATCATCACAATTCAGAACAAAATAACAAAATGAACCAGTCAAGAGACTTTTCCTTTGACACATCAATTACCCAATCAGCTATCATCAGCACAGTCACATCAGTAAAGTTGGAGAAGCATAAACAATGAAGCACAAACAAACACTGGTTCAATTATGTCAAAAGGGTGAGAATGCATACCGATTGATCGCGACATGGCAAGAACACCGAGAACTCGATAACCATTCCATTGGATAACCTTGCCACCCAGCGCCTCAATCCTCGCGTACTCGTCTTCCCTATTTGGCTGAAGCACGAAGAAGAACAAGGCAATTCGTATCCAATTATCCTCAGGACTCGAGTCAATTACTCATACATGGAATCAATGGGAGTCCATGGCTTACTTTATGATCTAGTGACAGGGGCAGGGGCTGCTTGCCCCGGCAGAGAACAGCACGCGAGTCACCGCAGTTGGCTACGATGACATGTGACGAGCAAACGACTGCGACGACAGCAGTTGACCCCACGGTGTCTGGAGCAACAGGCGGTGCTCCAGACGCAGCATTTCCTCCCACCTCAGCGTCAACACGACTGAAGCAATCCACGAACGCCTTCTCCCACAGCTTCTTGGACTCAAGGCCAGATAAGTCAGAGCCACACGCGTCGTCCTCCGCTCTACGCAGCTCCTCTGTCAGTACGGCGTGGATCCTCTTCCTGCAGTAATTGGCAACCTGCAACAGATGAGAGCATGGAGAAAAGGTTATCATCGGTGTGTTGGATTCGTTTAATGTGCTGTGACTGTGATGAGGCAAAAACAAAAGCAAAGGGAACCTGAACGCCACCGTGGCCATCGTAGACGGCGAAGAAATGGGCTGGAAGGCGGAAGGAGGCCCGGTCGAGGCCGTCGACTGCCGCGTCGCCGGCAACCATCCACAGAGGAAGGTCGAAAAATCGCGGGACCACGGCATAGTCGTCCTCCATCTCCGGGCGGCGGCCGCAAATGGACTCCAGCCCCCAGAGCGGAACGCAGTCCATGGCGAACACGCTCCTCGCAGTGGCCCCCACAGCCCTCGGCTCGGCAGCCTCCGCGACGGCGACGGAGGCGGCGGTGAGGTCGTCGAACAAGACGGCGGGCCCCGCGAGGAGCGAAGTGCCTAGCTCGGCGAAGCCCTCGAAGTCGGCGCTGGCGACGCTGCTGCAGTCGCTGGCGACGGAGCACGGGCTCCCGCAGGCGGAGTCGTCTCCGGGGGCGGGGACGGGGGCGGTGAGGGGCGGCAGCGCGGCGCCCAGAGCCTCTTCCATGGCCTCGGCGACGGCGGCGGCGGCGGCTAAGAGCGTGAAGCTAAGCGTGGGGGCAGGAGGAGCGGCGGGCAGGGCGAGGTCCTCCATGGGAATGAGAGAGGGGGAGGGGCGGAGTAGTGTCAGAGGTGGTGGGGATCGGCATGGTGTGGTGGAGTGGAGGCGCGATGGCGAGCAGGCGGTGGGCGTGGGGGCCTACTCATGGGCGGATCTGGAGCGAATCCAGAGGTAGGTGAGGGAGGGAGATGGCGGCTCACGGGAGGTGCCCTGGGGAAGAAGGAATTGAAGCAGCAGCGCCGGACTCACACAGAGAGCCACAAACCGCGCGCGCAGCCAGCTGCTCGACTCGATCCAGCACAGCACTACCTTGCCGACGCGGCCGCCGCCTCCGCCTCCGCCTCCGACGCCGGTGACGCCGACCGAGAGTCGAGTTGATGAGAGGAGGGATTTGGGAATGGATCGGGTTGCGTGGGGAGGAGAGGGGAGGAGGCGCTGGCTGGCTGGCGGGTGGAGGACGAAGAGGAGGATGGGCCCCGGCCTGTCAGTGACACAGTGGGTAGGGGTGTTGACATCACCACGTGCTGACGTCTGGGCCGTTGATGGGGGCCTGCCTTGGAAATGGCGTGGACACGTGGCGACGCGCTCAGCCAGTGGTGTGCTGCCACCACTCTACCCCCTCATCACCAAACATATTTTACTGTACACTGCACTCCCATCCCATCTCATCTCATCTCATCTCATCTCATGTGTAAGTACAACTACTCGGTTCTCTCGGTTTCACCTCTACCGAATTTATTCTAAATTTTTTCTTTAAAATTCTAACTTTTTTATCACATCAAAACTTCTCTACACACAATCTTCCAATTTTTCCGTCACATCGTTTCAATTTCAACCAAACTTTCAATTTTAGCGTGAACTAAACACACCAGCTCGGTTAATTTCTAGCTCGGTTTGAGAAGTCAATTCATATTATTCCTTTTTATTTGGGGTGTGTTTAGAAACTGCATTTTTACCTTTTTTCCCCCTCCTATTTGGTAGTATATGCTTTTGGGGATGAGGTGAGGACCAAATACCATTTCATTCACCAAAGCCAATCCAAACACACGTTTACAATGGATAAATTTTTAAATAAAATACTATCACAAGCATATTTTTTTTTGTGTGAGAATGACAATGTGGGGGTCTGGACCAACATATGAGGCCTTGGCCCTTTAAGTGCCAGTGAACCATCATGTTTCTTAAATAAAACTGATTGAAACAGGTTAAATGTGGGCTAAGGTTTTGTGTGTGCGACAGTGTGAGGCAGAGGTAGTTTCACGTTGACGGTTAGGATGGCTCACTCAGATAACAATATACGGATTGTATCATTGCGGTTTCAGCCATTAAAATTTTCAACTTGATTATGGGATTTTTTTTCATAGAAGTTTATTTTTCAGCATTTACTTTTGGATCGCTAAGAACATGTGTATAGAAGTTTTATTCACAAATTAATGTTTATTTATAAATAGAGATAATTCAAAAAATGCTATTGACAAGCATCCAAATCCCAGAAATACCATCGACAAGTATAAGTTCCAAGAAATGCCATCTTACAAATGACTTTGTCCCAAAAATGCCATCGCCGTTAGGGTTCCATTCATTCCACGATATTAAAATTCTATAGGATGAACAGTGTATTTAACGGCGCAAAATGGATAGAACCCTAATGACGATGGTATTTTTAGGACAAAATCGTTTGTATGATGATATTTCTTAGAATTTACACTTGTCGATGATATTTCTTAGAACTCACATTTCTTGGATTATCTCTTATAAATATGCTATTTGAAATATGCCAACCGATGAGGCTGCAGAATTCTCGGATGGAGCAACCACTCATTTGATGACCCTGACGGAGCTAGAGCTAGAATTGGTCAGCGTAACAATAATCAGTCCGTCCGCGTCATGCTTCCAAGTTACAGCACGGTGTGAAAAATGAAAAACATCTGACAAGCCGCTCTTTACAACAAGTCAACAACGGCATTTTGCGCTAACAGTAAAGTCCCTGCAAACCTGTAATGGCCATTTTGTTGGTGCTTCATGCTGAAGTAAAACCGGGAAAAAAAACGTATTTAACATCAGCACATAGATGGAAGGAAGGCAAAAAAAGAGAGAGAGAGAGAGAGAGAGAGAGTGAGAGAGAAAAGAAAAAATGCACCAGCCGGGAATCGAACCCGGGTCTGTACCGTGGCAGGGTACTATTCTACCACTAGACCACTGGTGCCATTCATGTCACAGACTTCCATTTTCTTTTTCACTAGTCTAGTTTCTAGTAGTATCGTCTAGTTCTATTCCCTCTGTACCATAATACTGGGACGTTGACATTTTGCTTGGATTGTTTGACCACTCGTCTTATACTGTGTTTAGCTCCCTTCAAACTTTTAACTTTTTCGTCACATCAAATATTTGGACACATGCATATAGCATTAAATGTGGACGAAAAAAACTAAATGCACAGTTCGCATGTAAAATGTGAGACAAATCTTTTAAGCCTAATTACGCTATGATTTGATAATATGATGCTACAGTAAATATTTGCTAATGACGGATTAATAAGACTTAATAGATTCGTCTCACAGTTTACAGGCGGAATCTGTAATTTTTTTATTAGTCTACATTTAATACTTTAAATGTGTTTTCGTATACGTCAAAATTTTTTTTTTGCCAAAACAACTAAACATGGCCTTATTCAAAAAAATTGTGCAAATATAAAAAACGAAAAGCTGTGACTAAAGTAATTTGGATAATAAAGTAAAAATAATAATAATAATTTCAAAAAAAGTTTTGAATGAGACGAATAGTCAAACAGTGTAAGCAAAATGTCAAAATCCTTTATATTATGGGACAGAAGAAGTAACATGTTTCCTTTGAAATGTCAAAAGTCAAGACACACAACCCCACTGTAACAAAAACACTAACCAAAGGTACAGACTACAGAATGATTTATTAAGCAATAGTATTCCCAGAGTGGTTGGTCACCAGAGGAACTAAAGCTCAGCACGTATACTGTTGTAATGCTACTGTATATGTTTTGCTACTTTAGCATTGACAGCACACCGTTGGGGGAGCAATGCACATTTGGCCAACAAGCATATCAAAAGATCCAGAACAAAAATTTCGGCAAGCCTCATGGTCCTACAGTGGCATCTCTCAACCTAGGATTGGATTCAATGTCATCCCCTACAATTAAAGTTTCAAGGCCACACTAATCGTTCGTGCAATGAAGGATAAGCTATAGAAAAATAAACGAAACAAATTAAAAAAACAATTTGTCGTTAGAACTTTTATTCTTATTCATTTAAAGCAAAGCTAATGCTGAAAATAAAAGCCACTAAATTCAAAGTTTGAATTCTGGATGTGGCTGATAAGTTGACATGTAGAGGAGATTTGTACGAGGGGTAAAATTTTCAGGTCAGACAATAGAACAAAGCGCAGAATTCTAGTATCCTACCCAAATACTGTAGGTCGTGCTTACTTATAGGAGTAAATATTCAGCTTGTATGTGTAATTTACCAGTACCAGGATAAAGAATAGTCCAAAAAGCAAAGCAAATTTTGAAACGAAGCGATGTATTCCAGTGATTTATTAACGAGGAGGGCAAAGCATCACATTTCAATCTTGTGTTATTGTTGTTGTTGAGTGGAGCACCTAAACTAATCTATAGCAATAACAAGAACAAACAGGAGGGGAGGAGGGAAACCTCAATACAGTGTTTGTAGTGCAGATTGGGACGGAAATCGAAATGATCAGAAGAAGGCGGTGCCGGCCAATCCGCGGTGGAGGAGGTTGTGCGCGATGTCGTCCCTCACCTTGTTGGCGGACTCCGACTGCACAAGCACGGTGTCGTCCTCCTCCTCGTCGGGGGGGAGGTCGCAGCGGAGGTCGGGGTCCATGTCCTCCCCCCTGGTCTCGCAGATGTTGTGGAGGACGCAGCAGGCGGCGAGCACCGCGGGGAGGTCCTGCAGCTTCACCTCCGTGCGCTTCTGCAGGCACGCCCACCGCCCCTTGAGGCGGACGAACGCCTCCGTGGCCACGCGCCGGACCTCGCCCACCTTCTCGTTGAAGGCGTGCTGCGTCCACGTCAGGTTGCGCTGCGCGTAGGGGACCAGCATCCACTCCGTCAGCGGGTAGCTCGCGCCGCCCACCACCCACGACATCGACCCAGCCGCCGCCGACGCCCGCTGGTGCAGCGCCGACTTGCGGAGCACCTGCTCGTCGCTCATGGACCCCGGCCACCCGATGCAGACGTCGGTGAAGGTGCCGTCGGGGCCGACGACGCCCTGGAGGGTGATGGAGTAGGAGGTCTTGTGGTTGCGCTCCGTGTGGCGGCGGTTCAAGTAGGCGGCGACGGAGACCTTGGGGGCGATGATGGGGATGTGCGTGGTGTACATGGCGCCCACCACCCCCGGGACACCCGAGGTGGCCTCGAAGCGCGTCTTGTAGGCGGTGGAGGTGGGGTGGTCGGGCCAGTGGAGGAAGCGCGGCATGAGGAGGTTGCGGATGGCGGCGCAGACCTCGAGGATGAGCTTGTGGCAGGTGGAGATGCCGAGGCCGAAGCGCTTGGAGACGACGCGGAGTGGCTCCCCCGTGGCGAGGCGCCAGACGCAGACGGCGACGCGCTGGCGGACGGGGATGGCGGCGCGGAGGGCGGTGTCCTCCTTGGCGACGGCGGCGGCGAGCGCGTCGCAGAGGAAGTGGAAGGTGGGGCGGGACATGCGGAAGGCGCGGCGGAAGTCGGCCTCCGGGTAGTCGGCGCTGCTGCACAGCTCCCACCACGCGCGCGACCGGTCCTTCACCCACAGCCGCCGCTGCTGGTGCGGCGACGACGACGACGAGGCGTCAGCGTCATCTGCCTCTTGGTGGTCGTTGAGCTGGAGGAGGGGGAGCTCGTGGCGCGGTGGAGGTGGCGGTGGCGGGGCGTCGTCGAGGGAGGTGAGTATGTTGTCGATGGGCGTGGTGTCGCCGGCGTCGTGGGCTTGGGGCTTGGATTCGCCGCGCTTGCGACGCCGGTTGGACATCACGTGTATCTCCTTCTCCTATGGAGGAGGAGAAATCGATCGATTTGGAGATTGAATCAAATCAAATCAAATCATCAAATGGGCAAGCAGAAGCAAGGCAATGGATTCATACAAGGAACGGAACGGGGGTAGGTGAAACAAGACTACTCTAGGAGTATTAGTACACTCCTAGAGTATTATTTATACAAGAAAAATACTGCACTACTGAAGGAGTATACTAGTAGCAGAATGGAATAGTAGTACTGGTGAGGATATTGGTTGGGTGTGTAATGTGAACGCCGGCGCCGGAATGGACCGGATCATCGACGACAAAATGCAATCTCGAGGATGCCATTTCCTCCTCTCTTCTCACGCGACGCGATGAGGGGGATTGGATTGATTTTGCCCATTAATCATCTTCTTATGTGCCTAGCCTAGCTGTTTCTTCTTCATCCACATTACTCCTATTAATCTTAATTACTCCTTGCATTTTTTTTTCCATCTATGACTATTCTGATCCATCCTTCTCCTTGCCGACCTCACCCCGCTCTCATAACGCGGTCCTACTCAAATCAAAATGAGGCGATCACCTCCATTGGGATCCTCTTCAGTGAATCAATAATTCATCAGACTCACATATGTTAATGATAACATCATGAGACTTTGATGCTGATCCAATTTCACCCACCCTCACCTCTCACCTTGACCATCATCTCCTCTTGTGTCTTGTCTACTCCACTATCATCAGTGGGAACTGGGTCACCAAGGATTGACGTTCTATACATAACCCCCAACTTGTCCTTCTGTCACAACACCATCAGTATTATCATGTACGGGGTACGGTGCACCACCCTACTGAATGTGAAAACACAACCACCTTTCTATTTATATATGAGTGCAACAGTCGTAATCGTCAAAGAAAAAAGGAGACAGCTCGAATTCAACAACAAACTGTTTACAATCAGGCTCGGCGACCTGAATTATTTATATTGATCTTTTATTACGAACCTGGCTGCTCAAAGTTACAAAAACATAATATCCACAACATCTTACACGGTGCTCTCAAAGCACAATAGATATACTAAAGGAAACAGTTGGAATATTGTAGTTGCCGGGGATAAAATAGTCCAAACAGATACCCTATTGTGCCAGGAAAATAGTCCAGGTTCCCCCAAAAAGCTACATTATTGATCGGTTCAAACTACAGGATCATATAAGCTGGGTAAATAAATCAAGAAAGAATTGACGTATCACAATTATAATATACACCGAACCATTCGCTGGTTTTTTGTTTGCCAAAGTAGTAATTACTCCAAAACACTGCCTTGCCTGGCCACAGGTAGCAAGGAACATACTGTGCTCAGATAAAATTTATTGTGAAGGAAACATAGGGGTGAGCCTCGGTTTCACCTCCCAGACCAGCTACACCAACATCGTCTTCAGATTTCCAGTAAATACTGCAATTCAGAGGCTCAATTAATGACAAAAGCAGGTGCATGTTGTGACTAACAATGCAATGAACACAAACTCAAACGCTGAATTACCTATGGACATTGCCACAGAGTTCCTCCAGGATGCTCCTTACTTTCTTTTCACCCTTTTGAGAAGGTGCTAGAACAGCAGACTGATGAAAACATAAACAGCATATGATATTAGATCAGGCATCAAAGTACAAATTTGACTATCATATACTACGTAACAGTAGAATAGATTACCAGGAATGATGGGGGAAGACCATATCTAAGAATGCTCTCTACAAAGACACGCACAGCACAGAAGTGCATCCAGGAACTGAATACCTGCAGAATAGTTTTATGTAAGCAATTACAACTGAGCACCATGAAAACACAAGTTCACGAGGAATGAATCAAAGAAAAAGCAAACCACAAAACCCAACAATCAAGAAACATATGTGCTACTCCCTCCGTCAATGACTAGGACATGATGAGACAACCTAGTACAACGAATCTGGACATGACTAGGTTGTATCCCATCCTTGACTAGGTTGGTTTTTTTTTTTGGGACATAGTGAATATGTAATAAGTATGTCTATAGCCTATAGAGCTAGGCTCTAACTAACTCAGTTCAGTAAACAAATCCTTCATGACGGCAATTCACTGCATAAGCAGAGATAAACAACAGCAGAATTATTTTCTTTTACGCACATAGAGAAGCACAAAGTTTTGCACTTTAGCATGACGTACATAAATGGTATTCTGCACAAATTAAAATAGACAATTATGGATAATAAACACAAGCTTATTAATACATCCCAGAAACAAGGATTTATCCCTGAATAATAAGGTTCTAGTGAGATAATAACAGCAGTAGGAAGAACTTGCAGTATGCCATGAAGTTATAACTTACTAAAATCCTTATGTAAAATTTAAACATAAAACACAGCGTGGCATCTATCTATTGCTGGCAAGTGGCAACTGAGACCAGACAATATCTTCTTACTGGTTCAGATTCCGCATAATTGGATGCTTTTAAGGACAATTAAGACCGTCAGGCTACTAAAGGAGATGAAAACATATTTATCTCTATTCTGGTGCAAAATGATGAAATGAACATCAAACATTAATTGGTAGTAATTTTAATAGAACTTACATGAAACAAAAATGACATTCATAAGAATAAAAAAGTTCTTCTCTAAAGAAATGTCATTGTTGACAGGATTATTAAATAAGCCTAAAAAGACATGCACCTCACTGTAGCTGGCATAGCACCATTGCAGAAGTGATGCCCTCATTGCTTCCTGGTCTTGCATTAGCTTTTCCAGCTCTTCCTTCCTACTTTCCTGTGCTTCAGAACTATACTCAAAATCGCGAACCTGTATTTCAACGTAATACAAGTTAATGGGTGACAGAGAATTGCCAGATTGATGGGGACAGAAAAACAAGACTGAATTTCTGTCCCAAGTTATTTGGAACTCCTAAGGCTCTAGGGATAAAAGCTAAATGTGAAGTGTAAACAAAGGTTTTTGATGAAAAAGTTAGGACGGCAAATTTACCTGGAAACCTTTTTCACGTGCACGGACCTTAAAGTTGTCAACAACCTTAGCAAACAATGTTACCGTGTAGAGAGCATACTCATTGTCCTCATAAAGTTTTTTAGACGATCTCGGTACCTATAAATCAATAATTAGTTCAAGGAAAAAAGCACTCAAATATAACAACCAATTACGAATACTAATCACATCAACATGTAGTGCTGGAAAAAAAAACAAGGTCCTTATAAGGGCTAAATAAAACAATCTGAGTAAAGAATTTACAGGTCAAACAGATCTTTACTTTAAGTGGTTTCTACAGGGGTAACATCTCCTGCTAGTAGAACTATTAACGCCACAAGTGGTAACAAACTAAACATTGTTGGATTGAACAAAAACTACAAAAGTAAAATAAGCAACTTGCTGAAAGGACGAAAATCATATAAATAGTTGAAATGACAGTCTATTACTAACCATGTCACTATAAAAGAGCATATACTTACCACAAATGTGTCAAGGGACTCATAGCTTGACAACCAATCCTTTTGAGAGTACTTAGGAACAACTGCAAGGAGTGTCACTAGATGTTCTGATGTGACCATATCCTCTGGTTTTACCAGATTGGAAAGATCACGAACTGCTAAGCTATACAGAAGGAAAACAAACTAATTAGAGTTGACTAACAAAAGATGAAACCATACCCTCGCATTTCTGAGTCCTTTGAAATAAAACAAGAAAGAATTGGCTTAAAGCCAAAAACTCAGTGGCATGCAATCTACCTTCCAGTTTGCTTTCTGTTGATCGCACTAAGCTGGCTCCTTACATTATTGTATTCCGCTCCTCGAACCTGAAGGTAAAAAACACATTCAGCTCAGCTGTTGTAAATTCAACAGGTCACGCTGTAGTGTTGTGCGTGATAACTCAATGCTAAAAAAGGAGACGTGGATGCCTAATCACAAGAATATGGTTGTGTTGATAGCTGGCTAGAACAACAGAACATACCAAAACAGAAACCAAGCTAGACCCTGTAAAAACACACTTGGCAGGAGAACAAAGCTCACTAGCTTGAACTTTGCACGTTATGGAGATAATGTCAAAACTTGCCTACTTGTTGCAAAGCAAGCAAACAATTCCCGCTGAACGGCAAAACTTTATGTCTTATGTACAAGAAGAATAAGAATACACCAAGTGTCGTTAATTAATGACTAGAGACAGCATTAGGGTCGAAACATATTAACAGCACTATATGTAGGTTGGGTCTTGACTAGTGATTATGTGGTCGCAAGGGAAAAAGGTCATCACCTTCATGTCATCTTCAATCTTGGAGACCTGTGATTGGATGCTGCCGACAATCTCCTTGAGCGGTGACATCGTTGGGTATTTGCCCTCATCCCACACAAACCTAGAAAAGAAGAAGAAGCAAAGGAAGGAAGAGGTAGAGAGCTTTAGCAAAAGAGTTGGAATCGCTAAGCTGAGAGGCAGCAGGGGCAGGAGCGAGCGAGCGACCTGGTGAGGTAGGTGTCGACGGGGACGCCGTCAACGGTGAGAGCCCCACTCTCGACACCCCCGGCGCGCTCTAGCTCCTCGATCTGCCTCCGGATCTTGTGCGAGACCCCCTCGATGAAGACGTTGGACTGCAGCAGCGGCAGGAATAATAGGAATCGCGTGAGAGCTGGGGGGCAAGGGAGATCGAGATCGGGGAGAAGAGAAGAGATGGGTTACCTTGACGAGATCGTCGCTGAGGGCGAGGAGGGAGTCGAGCGTGCCGACGCGGAGATCGGGGACGTTGAACTGCGGGCGGGAGGCGGAGGAGGAGGGTGAGGATGGTGGTGGCGGAAGGAAGGAAGGAAGGAAGGAAGGCGGGGAGGATGCTTACCCGGTAGAGCGGCGTGTCGAAGGAGTGGCGCGAGATGGAGTCCTGGAGGCGCGCCCAGAGAGAATTGGCGGTGGAGCCAGGAGTCTGCACGGGAAGAGACACGATCCAATAACGTGTGGCCATCTCCGCCGCAGCCGGAAGCTCGCCGGCGGTGAGGAGGAGGGATTCGGGGTGGAGATCGATCGGAGTCGGAGTCGGAGGGGAAAACAAAACAGACGAGACGAGAGAGGAACCCAAACCCAAACTACTACTCCTAGGTGGAAGCGTCCGTGGGTTGGTTAATGGGCCGAACCCAGTAAGCCCACCTTTTCTATGAATCTGATGTCAAACAAACTGGAGTAGCTGGTTTCCCTTTTATTTTTTTTCAAAAAAAAAATGTTGATTTAGACTTGCTACTATATTACTACAACTCCTAGCTAATCTGCTTTATATTTCTACGCGTACAACTGTATTTTGTATTGGATTAGAGTGATAGACTAGTTTCTATCCCTATAAACATAAATATGTTTCTCCTAAAATACATAGATATATTTTATATACAATAGATGTTGAATTTGATCATATACAACTCTTAGGGTGTCCCCCTCGTCTTTTTCGCGCATGTTTTTCTAAGTGCTAAACAATGTGTTTTTACAATAATCTTATATAAAAAGTTGTTTTGATTTTCTTTTGCACGCATACTTTTCAGGCTGCTAAACACTGTGCTTTTTTTTAAAAAAAAAAAGAAGAATCTTCTACAAGCAAGTTGCTTTAAAAAATTGTATTCATCCAAGAGTTCAAAACAATTAATATTTAATTAATCATTTACTAACGACTCACCTTTTGCATATCTTCTCATTTCCTCTCCCCTCAAACATTCCCTTAACTTCTAGTATATACTTCATATACAATTATATCGATCAATCTACACTATTATAACATGTATTCATCGTTTACTCCAATTTACATGGGTATTTCTAAGCCCTCGGAGCAAATGTGAGGGCTTCTTTTCAACCTTTTGTATAATAGTATGCGAAATAGTAATTGATAGATTGATGATGGCAGCATTTCAGGTCAACAGAGCAGTTGAGCTGGCAACTATACATAAGTATATTTGTAATGTGACAAGCAGGCTCAAGGCTGTAAGAGACCACAAACATCAATATATGCTGATGAACTTACACAGCACCAATAGCTGAAAAGCCCAAATCAACACTGATAATAGTTTCATACATCATCTTCCATGCCTCCCAGAAATCGGCTTCTTGATACCCAACATGTCCTATGAAAGAAGCCAATTCAATTCAGGAGATCAAGCTCAACAGGGTCTTTCCACAACTATCATTTGGAAATCTGATTACAGTGCTGGACTTGTAAATACAATCAAACTCGCACCGTTCCCAGTCAATCATCAAACACAAGAGCACTACAGATCCAAATAATAGTTAATTGGCGATCTTATAGGCTTGGAAGGGATCCTGCTCGTATGAACTCTTTGAGAAGGGCCTTCTCCCCGTTAATCTTCTTCTTCTCCGCAGCATCGCGTGGCTTGATCTTGCGCTTCTCCTCCAGCATCCATTTGTACAGCTGGCGCTGATCGTCTTGGGAGATTGGTGTGAGCACCTTTATGGGTGCAACAATTGGTTCTGCAGGCTTCTCAGCAGCCGCGGGAGATGAGGTCGGCGTAGAAGAAGTAGGATCATTCTCGGTATCTTTCTTTCCCGAGTCCTTTTGGTAGGTCCTCATAAGCATATAAGCTGCATATTGTTATAAGGATGTTAATAACTGAACTATAATAGCATTTGAGTAAGAAAAGCAGAAGTGCAGAATAACAGCACATAAGAGCTACAGAAGTGGATCTCTTTCAGAACTTAAAGAATATATATACATATATGCGCTCAATTTATGCATGTACTATATTTCTTCAGTACTACATTAATATCCTGTTAATAGATATGCTCAAATATACTGAGGAGACAAAAAATGCACAAATATGATTGGCAGCTCTGGTTTACCATTACATGCATAACACTTGAGAAGAAACAAGAACAACTAGAATAAACGTAAATACAGTAGTAGTAAATGGCACTGCAGATGCTAAGACAACAATGCACTAGTCTAGCCCAAACAAGGCAGAGACAGAAGTTGCCCCCAATGTGAGTAAAAGATTATGTGTAGTTGATGAGCTTATATTAATATAAGTTTACTGAAGCGGATGGATCTTTCAGTGATGAGACATGTGAGTAAAGCCGAGAGTGAATGCAACAACCAACCCGCCTAAGAGATGAATACTGATATAGCCCCAACTGCTGGTGCGACCAACAGTAGTCAGCCCTGGGTACGGAGGTGATCCCGCAAGGAGGAGTAGCAGCGCAGCGGTAGAGGTAAGGTAGATGACAAGGACGCGGCATCGGGTAAGCTAAGTAGAGAAGGAAAGGGGTGAGCTGACCTCCGACGAAGACGTTGGCGGCGAGGAGGAAGGGGAACATGCGGCGCATGAAGCTCTTCTTGGCCTCCGGAGGCGGCGGCGGCGGCGCATGAGGAGGAGGCTTGGGCTTGCCCTCCACCGGAGGCGGGGGCGGCGGCGGAGGAGGAGCATGAGGAGGCGGCTGCTTGGGCTTGGCCATGTCCTTGAGATTGGATTTAGATTCTCTCTCTGTCTCGCTATAGTAGGAGTACACAGCACAGCCAGACAGAGAGACAGACTGGGAGTGGGAGGGAGGGGAAAGGGAAGCCAACACAACACAACAATGGCTGCCACCCAACCCAAGCACAAGGAATAAAATGCAAGCAATGGGGGAAAAACAACAACAATGGCTTGAGTGGCTTTTTTCCCCTTGAACAGTGAACAGCTAAATAACCAAATGATTTTGTAATAATTATTCGAGAGTGTAAACGAATTAAGTAGTAACTATTATGAATGAAGTTAAAGAGTATCATACTTTGATTTTTTTCTTTATTGTTGAGAAATCCTACTAATTTGACTTCTTTCCTTTGGGTGGTTAGGACAATAAAATACAGTACTCCTTTCTTTCTGCTGTGACTGTGATGATCAGGTTCAATCTTGCAAGTTTCCGAGCACTACGCACATCGGCACATACTCCTACATCTGGGTAACTAGTACAACACAGGGAACGCCCGTCATTCTCTGTTGCAAGATCACAACAATTCATATGGAAAATGCAAGTACTCCACATCTTTCGCTGGCGTAGCTGAACTTGCAGTGCAGACCACAAAATCCCACAAAAATGATTCAAACCCAAACCCAAATTAATCATAACATCCCACATAAACCAAAACCCAAATGAAGCAATCCACCTTTGCCTCTGCCTCCTTCCACACTGATGCTGCAAAACAGCACTAGCGAGGTGTTTCAAATGACAAACAAACTGCGCATTACAAAATGCAAATAAGCACTTTTGCATTCACCAAGTTGTAGTTGAAGCAATTACAGGGTTACACTTTATCCTCCTGATTCTAGAAAGCATGGACCTCGCATCGAAAATATACAGCCGGGCCCAGGATTTGGGTCAGAATCCACCAAAAAGAAACGAAGTTTGCCGCTGCAACAGCCACCTCCATCCAGTTATCTAGACTGCATAAAACATATTTCACCTTCTAAAGGTGGACTTAAAATGGCACGGAAACAACTATCTACCTGACACTAAGGTGATTACGATTAGCTCCAAGTTGAATTAACATCACTATCATCCGCAGCTTCCATGTTACGGAGTCACTGACACCTAGCAAGTGAGATAAGGTAAAAAAATATCAGAAAAATACTCCCTACAAAGAATATAGTAGCACAAGCTTTAAATTACTGCAAAAGCCCATCTGCTTTTAGACATGGATCATTTAAACTGCTCGACTCGAATATCAATTCTATCACCCTACCTCTACTTCAAGAAATGATGAATACGAGCAACTTGATGTCCTAGAATAATCAGAAGGAAAAGCAAATGGTTCCATAAGTTTACTTAATCTCTGCATTGACATAACAAAATTCAAAGACAGTATCCGTTACCAAGTCAAAAAGTAAGGAAGTTAAAAGTGCATACCTGTACAATAACTTTAGATTTCAAAAAAGGGTTGCTCTGTAAAAGTGACCAACCCAGATTAATTTATCATCAGCCAGGCCCAGGATTTAATGGAGCATATACACTGCCTTGAACAACTGGTCTCTGCTGGTTTGGGGACTGCAGTTGCTGCTTAGATTGCTCCTGGTGCCACTGGCCACCATACATAGGCAAACCACCTGGCATCTGCCTTTCCAGCACATCATGGCTAGATGATGGCAATAGTCTCTCACCCCCAGCAAATGTATCTTGAGGAGAGCTAAGCATCATAGATGTTGAATTAACTGCATTTGAATCATTCGACACCTCGTGCTTCTGCTGGCTTATGGATGAAAGTCCAGCGCTGCCTTTCTCTGTACTCTGAGGAATAGGTGGTGTTGGAACTATCTGATTGTTTTGGACTTGAACGACCTGTGAGTCTGGCCTACAATCAGAATTACTTTGGAGGTTTTGGTGCATCATCATTCTTTGGATGCTATTCTGCGATGAATGGACATGCTGTTGTTGCTGTTGTGTGGTCAGTGAAGATTTAGGATGGAGTGGAAGCTGTTGTGAAGTTAAGAGGGCCTGACTAGGAGAACCCTGCAATACGCCTTGGTTACCAATATCTGGCAACTGTTTTGGTGATTGAGGCAATGGAGAACTGTATAGTTTATGTTGATTTCCAGGATGAGGGATTGACGGATTTGATGCTTTATTTCCGGGTAAAGTTCCTTGGCCATGTTGAATCAGTTTGTTCTCAGTAATTTGCTTTTTGGAAGACGCAGAAACAGCATTGGTTGGAGTGGTGTCAACTGTAGTCTGAGGTATCAGCATGTTCCCTCGTCCTAAGCTCTTCATAAGCTTAGCCTGTTGACTACCTTGATTCCTTTGTTGCTGATTCTGTCTAGGCTGCTGTTGACTCTTCTTTGGCTTATGTTGTGTAGCATTGGTTGGTTGATTGGGATGTGCACAGCTATCTGGTGGATTTTGTGCAGCTTGCTGCCGCTGATGCTGTGGTTGTGAAGATGGGGCTGACAAGGCTGCAGGTGATTGCTTCTGCTGCTGACCATGCGAACCATTCTGTACACTGGGTACTGCACTTGCTCCAGGAAGATCATTCTGTTGCTGAGGCACCATACGTTGTTGGATGTTCCTTTCTTTAGCCAAGCGCATAGCATATGTTTGCTGCTGTGGATTCGAATGGCTCATCCCTTGGATCTGAGGATGCTGCGGATTTCCAAACATGTGTGATGGCGGTGAAATTTGATGTTTCTGTTGATGTTGCTGAATAGGAAAAGACTGAACAGGTGAAGAAGATGCCGCATTGGAGAGTGAATGATTCATGCTGCTGATGGCTTGAGTATTTCCCTGTGAAACCTGCATGCAGAACTCTGGCATCACAATCTGCCTATGCTCTTCCATATTTTGACCAGGCTAAAGGAAAGGAAATATAAATTAGCTATCCCTAGTTTTTAACAGTTTATAAATTCAGTGAGGTACTTTAACCTTCATAAAATTCAAGTCACATAAATAACAGATGTAAATGTAATCCCTCCGAGTCTAAAGCAACTAAGCTTTAGAATGTGTTGAGTCAAACTTTTTAAGCTTCAGTTACACAGAACTATTTAGATTGGTCAGATAAAAATAAATTTCATATTTTTCTAATTTCCCAAGGAACAAACATGTGGATGTCCAATCAGTTAACTGTCCTGAAGGAACATTGAAATTTGCGTAATCAGTTAACTGGCAAATGACATCTAAGCATATAAAATCCGTCCATAGAAAACAAAGAAAATGTGACACAGCAAAAAATTCGAGCAGCAAATCACTAGAGAAGCTGCATAGCATCCTACACAAGCCTCTGATATCCTTCGATAAAGGCAACTTCTCATTTACATAAGTTTGCTGGCAACATTGGTTCAATAAAAAATATAGAAAGCAACTAAGTGGGAGCAGTACTCATGAATTTGTTTATATAAGACATAAGTATGCTGGCATCACTTATGCAATAACAAATAATGCATGGATTGCTTGGAGGGTGCAACTGGAAAGACAAGCAAAGACACCAGTAAAAATCTCCCATTCTTTTCTTTATAGGAGAGATGATAACCAATGGAGAAGAGCTTAAAAGTTAAAACATGCAGTTAACTCAAGTCTGACTCTGTGTGAGCACCAAGATTTAACTAGATAATAAATAAAAGGTTAACTCACATGAAGCGCCTGCATAGGATTATGTGGCCGTAAGGTTGGATTTCCAGGGGCAGACATGGCTCCAGGATGGACATTTACTGCGTTTGGCGCTCCTTGCCCACTGTTGGCTAATACATTTCCAGGTGAAACCACATTTGGCTTTCCAGGGGAACTATGCCTAGGAAAGCCTACAGTTGCAGCAGGCATACCTCGATTTAGTCCTGACACCATGCCCATACCATGGGTACCAGGCATCACACGTGCACCACGATCAACCCCAGGAGGAAATGCTCCTGGAACAGAACCTCCAGTCTGCTGAAGATTTCTACCACTAAGAATCTGGTTATAGTGAATCTTCTGTTGCTCATCACTTTGTAAAGAGGTACATCTAGGAACACCATATTTCTGAGCATCCCTATAGAAGAAATTGCACAGACGAGAACTTTTTAAATGAATTTTGTCATGCGTTCTTCTTAATACCTGCTACGAAGAATTAAGAATTTACCTTGAAGAGGCACTAAATGTTGAAGGCGGCAAAAAATTGTTGCTCAGAACCGTACCAGGTGACCCTGATAACCTGGAATTCAGAGTTGAATTGGGAGTTGTAGGGCCATTGGAACCATGATGGTTTGGTGGTGTTAACCCAATTGTATAAGAACTCTGGTAACCACTACCAGGCGTACTTGCATCTAGGTTTGAACTTACAGCGTCGCAAAGATCAAGTGGCCTGTTACACATTACACATCAACATGAAGGTGACCACTGGATGCTGTTAGGGCCATAAAATAATAATAATAACTAGAGAACATATAGGAAGATGAAATATCTTAGTATTTTCACCAAAAAAATATTAAACTAAATATCAAAAAGAACATTCAAAAGCATTACATACGTCAAAGCGCCTCCGGATAAGTTATTTGGGCATGCTTGTGTTAGAGCGGCAACATGAGAACTATGTGGCTGTATGATCGACTTGAGTTCCTGGCTATTACCCTATAGACAAGACACAAGAAAAAACATACCATAAGAAATACTTCCCAGTAACAACAAGAAGGGTAGTAAAAAAAGCACTCTGGCATAATGTGAATAATACATTATCAGTTCAGCATTACTAGTTCAGAAAGATGATTGAGACAGATGGAAGTGAGATAGTTCAACGGAAGAGTTTGCTACCACATCATATTATCAAATATAGCATAGGTACATGCATAAATTGAAATAAAGAGGTACATAGACAAGCACAGGTATAGAACTAATACAAGTTCAAGACTAGAAAATGAATACTTGGTTTCACCATTACAACCTAAAATTCTTGCAAGACAAAAAAAAAAGCAAGAGTTACCTAACCTCTGTTATAAATGTAACAAAATAAGTTGCATGATTATACATTATAAACCACCAACAAATTAAAGCGACCAGAATAATCATAAGGAGAGACATGAACCTTTCTACGTCTGGCGTGCAGTTGCCGCATGAGTAGAATCATTTTTTCAAAATGTGCCTTGAGATTTTCTTCCTCTATTGGTCCTTGAAGTCGTTGGAATAACTGCCTAGCACTTCCCTGATGTTCATATGAATAAAACATGTTAGGAACTCAGTGAAATGCTCAACATGTCTTCACTTATAGCAATATTGCTGATGAAAGCAACACCTGAATTCAGAAAGAAAGTATCAGACAGTAAATAGGTCCAACATCACATTTTTGTGAGATGTACCCGCATATGTGGCAAGCAATTAAATATATAAATCAAAAGAGTAGTTATAACATGCCTTTGGAATGCCTGGCAACGTAAAATGATAGTGTTGAGATGAACCAGAGTCCTCTGCACTATCGGCACCATCACCAGAATTTTTATCCACGAGAACCTTATAACGCTCCTTGCACCCTTTAGGTTGCCTATATACAGACTGCATGACAAGGTATGCAAAACTCAAGTTAATCAGGGAAAGATCACTAACAGCAGCCCATGAGATTATGATAAAATGTATTTTTTTTCACTGCAACTAGAGTTTACAACAGAACCCAAAACTTACTCCTAATGGCATCTACCACTAAAATAAAATGCCTAGAACCAAGAACGGAAATAAAATCAGAGCTTGCAGGACATGTTTGAAGAATATACAAACATAGAAAAAGTTGCTATCCCAGATTTTAAATTACCTTGAATTGCTCAATGCTATTAATTGCGTCGCTTACTAATTCCCAGTTTTGACCCAAGTCGTGGACAAGGACAACAAGAGCCTGAAATTTATGATATTTAAGTCATTACCACAAATCGTATTAAAGAACACATAATCAATCAAAGCCATCTACCAAAAGCATAAAAAATATGTGCACATGCAAACCTGATCCTCGAAGTTTGACCATCCACCGCTGGAAGCCATCTACCAAAAGCATAGAACTTCAATAAGCAAATTGTAGGAAAGATATCCTGTTTGTACAGCATGTGTTGTCCACAACATTATGCTTGTATGTTCATGATTATGATTTATGACAGCTCAACTTAAAAGGGAAATGTTTATCATGTTAAGATTCAGTAGCAAAACAACTGACTGAAAAGGACCAAATGGAAAGGAACAAAGCAAGACCATAAGAACAACATATGTGCAGCCAAACTTTAATTAGATCAGTGGTTATAAATATTCTGCAGAAAATATTGCCATATTGGTGGGGACAGTTTGTATTCTGAATAGTGAACCAATGTCCAAAACGACATGCATTTGTGACTACAGATAGTAGTCTTTTAGATCATGGATGAGAAATGAGAAGGTTCTGGACTTATGGACAGCTTTTCCTTGGATATCAGCAACCCTTTTCAACATTATTCACTGTATTCCAGCCATACAACTGAAATAACTATAACCTTACTACTTCCACCTGCTTGCTTGACCTGAGCTGAGTCTGTCTCTCTATCTTGACCAACCAGCAACACAGGCCCTAGGTGAAATTAGCTTACTGGTCTATTGCTCACGGAAAGAGGAACATGACATGACAAAAGAATCATCTTAATTTCTAACTTGATTATAGGTATACAGAGCAGAAAAATGTGCAACACAGCAGATCAAAGGTCCCATCTTCGACCACTGACAAAACTATGATGCTTATGCAAATAAAGAGAAAGGTGCATGGTAGTAGTTAGAGAAATCATAGTACCTTCAGTGCTTTGCCTTTTCTCCCACGATCCCTATTGGTGATTATCTTTATAATTTTAGCAGAATTTGCCATGTTACTCATCTGTGATGCAACAGGAGAAGCTTCCTGTGAAATATCTATCCCTTGCCTCATCAATTTAAGCTTCTTCAAAGCATGTTGACCACCATGGGAAGCTACGAATAAAAATCAATACATGAGATGTTAAGAGCTACTTAATGTTTTCTCTCAAATAAAATATAGAGCAAATAGTTCGATTGCTGTATGACACAGGGTACAAGCACAATAATTAGAGGGGGTGAAGGTACCAATGTTCCATTTTGAATCAAATTGTTCAGAGTCTGATTTCTTCTTCAGAAAGTCCTTCTGAATAGAATGTTCATAAATGGTATTAAAATCAAATTAAAATTGCAAAATAATCTAAATAGCATCATTAAATGAACCAGAAAATGAAAACAAAGAGAAAAAAAAACCTGGTCATACTGAGTAAAGAAATCAGCTTGGGATCGTTGATCACATATACGGCCCTGAAGCAATAGGAGAATAAATTTACTTGGACAAACATTGAAAACAACAATAATTGAGAGCATGCTTAAAGAATTAACCTTTGCAGAAGCCAAGGCACAGGAATTGGCTGCATTTTGAGAAGTCTTATATCCTGGGTTCTTAAGCTTTTTCTTCTTGTTAGCTTTAGTGACCACTTCCCTACCATCATATGGCAATTGTCTGTCAAAATCAACTGTTGATTCGAAGTCTGTATTTTTCCATGGCAAGGACCCCCCATGCAACGAACTTTGATCATCTTGGTAGGAGCTTGTGTCCCCACTTGAAACATCAGTTTTACTTGTGACTTGGGTGGTTCCACCAATGCCAGCAGGGTATGGGCTTACGATTCGTTGTCTAGCAGCTGTACGGATGCGTTTCGTAGGAACTGCAAGGAAAGATGAAGGCCTTTTTCCATTCGATAATTTGCTTTCCAAATATGGTTCAAAAGGCACATGAGTACTTATTCCATATGATCTTGCACCGTTAATCCTCTGCTGCCCTAGTTGTTTCCTATGGCCCATCTGTGATAACAAACCACCATCATATGCTTCCGGTAAATAAGTGCATGTCTCCCCTTCATCCTCATAAGCATTCTCCTGAGGCAAATCTGAGAACAAAATGTAAAGCATTAGGAGGAGTAAAGACATAATAATAGGAATTAATAACATAGGGCACAGGTAAGTATCACCTGCAGCAAAGTCACACCCAGATGCCTCATAGTCATCCTTGAGACCAATGTAACCAGTCTTCTGCAATTACCAACACTATCAATATAGTATTTGACAACAGAAAGTGCCAACACTGTGAACATGGAAAAAGCAAAGTGCGCCAGTAATGATGAAAGAAATGGCAAAAAAAGCAAATAAAATGGCATATGTTCCTTTTGGCGTTCATGCAGTACAGTACATCCAAACAGAACAAAAGCAACAGGATAATTAAATGCAGCATATGCCAGCAGCCCAGAAATATTTTAATACAGCAGTGGGAACATTTCAAACTTCTATTGCCAACAATATTCTTATGAGTCCTATGTGAAAATACAGGCGACCTTATCATTTCTGTTTGTTTACACATATAATGCCAGTCTATCTTGTGATCCAGCATTTTAACACACTATCTGCATACCAGAAATATAATATGCATAATATGTTCATTAGAAAAAACTCTCTTCACCTTATGATGCACAGAAAGAGATTCCACAGACTCCCTGTATACCTTCATTGCACTAGGTGCTACTGTATAAAAGAGACTTCCCTGAAATTCAACAAAAGGATCAGAAACAACCGCTGTTGAACACTATTCATGCATGTTTCTAGTTGTCAAAACAAAGGTAAGTGTGTCTATTGAGTGTTTATCAGGGCGTTAGTACGAGATATCTTGAAGTAAAAGTGATGAAAAAAAATCAATCATAAAAAGACTGCACAAAGTTACAGTAGTTTACTTCTGAAAGATCAGACACTTTCAAGGTACCAAAGTCATTTAGCCTGTCAGGAGTTGGTGGTGCTTCAGCCAACACAAGAGAACCAGATGTCTGACTGTTATATTCAAGAAATTTAACTGCATAATCCTGAATTCGAGATTGGCGAGGATAGTTAGGCTCTTCTGCTTCCGAGGATTTGTTACCCTGTTCAAATCCAAGATTGTGTCAACCTCACAGACAACAGCATAATCATCTGCCCTTGCTATAACAAAGTATATACCAATTAAACTGCCAAAACATGATTTTAGCAGGTAAAATGGCAAAGATAAGACTAGTGTACTCAACTCCTGATTTTTTTTTTGTAACATCTAAGTACCCAACATCCTTCAATATATGGCACTAAAATGTGAACACATGTGATGTCATGAGCACAAATACACTATCACCCTTCAGAAAAGGTTATGTGAAACAATTTGTTTACCTCAGATTTTTCAGCTTTCAAACCAGTATGATTTGTCGTATCCAGCATATCTGAGTTGTGTTCTTGAATAACAGCTGTCCTACCAATAGTTCGCAAAGCCTCTGCTGAACGCCAAAAACTCATGATACCTTTTACAAGGCTTCTTGTAACAGCTTTCTGCTTTCTCTGAATGATTGCTTCCTCAAATTTTGCCCTTCCTTTAGACACAACCCAATGGCATACCCGAGCTGCAGCCATATTTTTCCACAAGCGCTCCTATTAAATACAAACAAAAAAACAGTATACAGTTTATGTAAGCAACTCTTAAAAGAATGGCACAAGAATTTTGGCAAGGATTGAACTTTAGCTAAGAATAGCACAAGGAAAAACAAAATCAGAGACCAATTCAGAAAATACCTGCATGAAATCATTTGCCATCCAAGCCATCTCCTCAAGGACAAAATCCCAGTGACCCCTTGTCCTCTTCTCTAGAGACATATTATAGAGAGATCGTTCACCAGCCCTCTTAAGATTCACCTATTAAACACAATTTCCTTTCTTTTCAGAACAAGATTAACATCATAGTAGAAAAATACATAAACCAGCATACCTCTATAAGATGAGCCTTTTTAAGGATAGAATCTTCATGTTCCTTTTGTGCCATTTGGTCCAGATTCTCTCCAGATGTTTTAATTTCAGTCTCCATATCAGAGCTGTATTTTTCAGGTAGAGAATTTTTAGGCAAGACAGGGCCTACAACAATTGGATGGATAGAGTTAGAATTCCCAAGACAACTGTTTCTTCCCTCTGAACCTGGACTTTCCTCTTTATTCATACTGTGGACAGGAGACGAACAGACAATATCCTTCTGTGCAACTATTGCACTGTCAAAAGCTTCTGATTCATCTTTAACAGGAACAGTGGTGCTTACTTCAGGTTGTACATGATTGGAATTTTCCTTAACAGAAGTAGAACCGATGAAACCTTCCAACTGAACACTTTCCTTGATACCCTTGTTAGAAAGTCTACTAGTGTCCAGATCTTGAGGCTCGTCAACATTTTTCATATCAACTTGATTACTTTTTCCATCTGCATGATTATGAGTCATATCTATGGATTCTTCACAATGTGGATCCACCAAATTTGTGCACACTGTTCCAGATTCTACAGCACACACTGGACTGATGCCACTGTTATCTAGTTCATCTACATGGATAGAGGTAAAACCTTTATCCAATTGACCATCCTCAACCTTCTGATCATAAGCATGTGTTTCACTTGCATGATGTGTAGATTTTGCACTAGAATAAGATGACCTCAATATAATGTTTGAAGTAGAATCAGGGATCTCTACAGGTTCACCTGCTGCAACTACCTCACCACATCCACCAAGCTGTTGATTGCCATACGCATTGGGCAACACTTCAATAGCTTTACTGCTACCATCACTTTGTGATGCTTCATTCTTCACTAAGCAGTTGCTTCCACGATTGGTTTGAATCCCATCCAACTCCATTGCAACATGTTCATCAGAAGCTGTACTCTTAGTTGCATTTTCACGCTTCTGTCCTGCTTGTTTTAAACCAGAAACAGAACGTGCACCATGCCCATCTGCCTGTTTTTCCTGCATTTCACCTTTTGCATCTTTTGGTTCAGAACTTTTAGCAGGAACCGTAGGTGATTTGACTGAAGTAATCTCCCTACATGGTTTTGACCTGTTGCGTCGAACATATGCCTGGCTCTTCACTCCAAGGCGTGATAGAACAGAATCCTCAGCTTGTTTTGCATTGTTGTGACCATCAGTGGGCAAGGGCTGCTTGGATTGAGCAGCATTAGTTCTCTTTGTTCCTCTTTTTACAATCTTCTCCTCTACAACGTCATTTTTATCTCCACGAAAGAGCATAAGATTGTCTGCTGTGTTGGTTTCACGGCATGGTGAACTTCCTGGTCTGCCGTTACTCTCAACAGAATCTCCACGAGGCGAAGCAGCAAAAGCAAAACTACCTTTAGCATCACTACAAATGAAGGAAAACAACATGATCACAGGTGAGCTTAAAATATTGTCATCGAATGCTATATCAGGAGAAAAAAGAAGTATTACCTTATCACATTCTGTTCAACTATTTGCTCTGTGAGAGAAGTCGATTGTACACTAACTGATGCTACATGGACAAATTTGAAATCCAATGGGTTCCCTCCCTGCAAAGAAAAAAGGGGAGTAAATTAAACAAAAGGAAAGATCAGAAATGGAGTCTGAAAGATAACACGGAAACATACTTTCTCTAGAAAATCCAGCTCTCTCTTCCGTTCTTCACGAACATCGTGCTCCTGCCTGAAGTTGAGAAATCATGTTATATGCTCTCCGTTTCCGTACCAATCATCCACAAAAAATGATCGAAATGTTTCTCCGCGCAACATACCTGAGCTCCTCCTGAGCTTTCTCAATGGCCAGACTGCGTGGTGAAGACTTGTTACCAACACTAACACCATAATTGAAAATTCCACCCATAGAGCACGTTTTGATATTCACCATATGACAGCCAAAGCAGGCATCATCCGGACATCACTGGATGCAGAGGCTCATTCCTCAGGGTTCTTCAGAGCGTGTTCGACCACAAGCAGTATCTCCCCGCAAGAGCTCTACAACATGGAATGTAGAAAGCAGAAATAGATAAGGACAAGAGCATTAATACAGTAGTAAAGACAAGAGAAACTGTGTGATAGATTCAGTTGTGGTATATTTCTATTGTTATGTATATCAGAGAAGAAGAACAGCACATTGCTGCCTGCAATGAATGCGTAAAGAATTGTTACTATGTCTGTTGAGGATACTCCTATCAGGCAGGGGAAACTAAAATAGATAGAGTGCATGAGTTGATAGAAATACAGCAAAGACATGTAAATGTAAATGCGGCAGTATTAGCGATTGTGGAACCAACATAGAGAGTCGTATGATATGATAAGGGCACCATGGTGTGAAGAGTGGCACCGAGGCTGACCCAAGGCGTGAAGCGAGGGTGGAAATGAAGGAGAAACCGTACCTGGCGCGCGGAGCTAGGGTTAGGGTTTGCGGGCGAGAAGACGGGGCAGGGGCGGAGCGGGGTGGAGGTGCGATCGAGGGGAGAAGGCAGGGAGGCGAAGGGATGAGTGGGCGGCGGAGGAGGGCGGGGAGGTGGGCGGTGGAGGGGGGCGGGGGTCGCCGGAGGAAGAGGAGGCGGGAAGGAGAGCTGCGTGCCTGTATGTATGTATAGCGCGAACCAACAAGAGGAGAAGAGAAGAGAGGCGAGGCGAGAGGAGGGGGGAGAGGAGAGGGCGGCCGGCCGGCCTGTGTCTCGCTCGACTCGGTTCGGGTCGGGTCGGACTCACACTCAGGACATTTTGGCAGGGCTCCAGCTCCCAGATTCAACTTATTTGGAGCTGAAGTCCAACCAAACGGTTCAGATCTGTTCAAATCTGGAGCGGAGCGCATGGAATCGCTAACTGGTGGGTTGGAGCGGCATTTTGGTCGCTCCTTAACTCCAACTCCAACCGCGTTATAGAATTGCCCACATATTTTCGATGAAATTACCCGCAAATGCCATCGCCCTACCCCTCATCCCTCTCTCCCGTACCGCTTCACCCCGTCTTCCCCAACCTCCATCTCGCGGGAGCGAGGAGGCGAAGCAGCAGACGGCGCACGGTGGAGGAGGAAGCAGCCGGCGGCAACGACGCACCGGCTGGAAATAGCCGGCGCATGGGCTTCCCCTTTCAGTGTCGCTCCCCTCCTTCCCATCCCGGCGCACAGCGGTTGAGGGCGAGCATGGCGGCGCATGGCGGTTAATGGGGACCACAGGGGCGCACGGTGGCTGAGGGCAAGCACGGTAGCACAAGGTGGATGGAGACGGCGCAAGACGACCCCAAATGGCGGCACGGTATTTTCTCCCAAACCCTAAAAATTTCCCTCACCTCTTCCCTTCAGATTTGGTTGAGTAGTTGTTATCATGTAATGAGCAAATGGGGAAGTTTCAGATCTGAAGACTTGTCTAGTGATGAATGGTAAAAATGCAATGAGCGATTGGGATGTGTGAAATTTCAGAGCAGTGATGAACTATCTAGTAACTTTTTTTTGTTTAGTGTTGTACCTTGTGTTTACAATTATATACACACTTGGTTGGAATTGAGCATATCAGCAAATGGTTATATACACACTTGGTTTAGAATTCTTTAGTATAAAACCTGGCAGTGGAAAGAATGTCCTTTTATGGGAGGATAATTGGATTGGGGGCATACCCCTGGCTGAGCAATTGGGAGAAAAAGAATAGGGAGGAAGCTATGACTTTCAATTCTGTGATAGATTTGAAGCTATACAATATCTTTTTATATATTGTCCTTAATTGATTCATGGGGTGTTTTGCAGACCTCGACGGAAAGACAAGTCACAAGTGAGATTTTCAAATCAAGATTTGGTTAGAGGGCACCTCTACAAAGGATTCAAGATTGAACTGCCAGAAGTCCCTTTTTTTTTGCCGTCATCACTGTTGTCCTTGCTTTCACTTGTTAGTTTTTCAAATATGTGATACCGAGATGTTTCGCAAAGGTTCTGTTGGATGTAAAGTAGCAGCACAAAACTTCAGTGGGTTATGAGATGTCGGTATGACTGAGAGACTAAAACTATTGTTGGTTTTTTTGCTTGGAGCTGACCTGGACTCTTGCTTGCAAGCAAGGCCTTGAACTTATTCATGGATGGATGCATTTTACCTTGTATACGGAGCACGGCAACAGCGGCGGGGTCGGAGCACGGCAACGACAGTGGTGTGCAAGGTTTCCAGATCTGTGTGGAAGGTATCTGCATGGCAACGATGGGTTATAGCATTTCATTTTGCAGGTTAGCAGCTGGTGAACTGCAATCTATCAAGATTTCACGCCTGCCTTCAGTTTTATCTGTTAGCTAATGACAGCTAGTGCACCTTTGTGTTTTTTCTGCTCTGTGTATTCTGCTGGTTTGTGAATAGATTACTATGAATCTCTTGGAAAGTCATTGAAAATTGTCTGGACCTTTATTAAAAATTGTTTGAACCTTTATCAAAAATTGTTGTAAATTCGGTTCATCAATCATGTTTTCCAAGTGATTATCTGTGTTGTGATTCTGCATGTAGCAGCTGCACAAATTGTGATTTGGTTTGATATCTTGCAAGAGAGAGGCCAATACTTTCAGGATGGGATAACACAAAGCATTCATGATGATCTAGCTGGTCATACTGCACGATGATAGACCATATTATATGTTATTTTGTGGTCTTTTGCTCTATCTTTTGATGATAATGATGCTACAAGTTGTTAAACATTTATATTACTAAGGAAAAATAGCATATTAATCCTTCATGAAGTAAACGACAAGAATTACAAGGGTAGTATTGTCCATCTCCTCCCTATCCTCTCTTTCAGAAATTTAGGAGCTGACCAAATGAGCCAAACACTTTTACATCATCTCTAGCTCCTACAAGAGCTAGCTCCAGCTGGAGTTAGAGTTTGGAGTTAGGATCTGAGAGTTGGAGCTCTACCAAACAGGCCCTCACTCTTGTGACTCTGCTCCTCCGTCCAATCGGATCGATCGCCTCTCGTTTCTGCCCCCCAATACGACCATCAGTATTGGGCCGAAACGGTATTCGCTTGGATCGAAAGAGTCCACTTTCGGTCCTCACCAACTATGACTCGGGTTTTATTAATTTTCTGAAATCGGGTACAGAGTATCCCTCACTATCAAAACCCTCTACAGTTTATCCTACATGGCACGTTGACTTACTCTTTGTCCGACATAACATTTACGTATCAGTGAAAAAATATAATGGGACCCACATGTTAACGGTAACTATACTACAAATATTTAACCTACATATCAGTCATATTGAGGGGAAAAATCATCTCTCTCCCTATCTATCTCCATCCAAGCGAGAGGAATTATATGCATGGGAGGTAGAGGTGGATCTGACTATAGTGATGGTGGGCGGAGACGCTCGTCATCGAGGTTGATGAGGTGGTGGGCCCTGCGGAGATCCTGGTTGATAAGGCCAATAGCAATGCAAGCTACGCCAAGGATGTCTCTAGCCCAATTGAAAATAAGAAACCGGTCAGAGGTCCCCGACGCCACAGTGCAAGTGACCTTTTTGCATTGGGGTGAGGTGATGACGAGACGGAGACACGACCCCACAGTGCAAGCGCGACTGCTTTGCAGGCTGCGCGTGGACTCGTGACGGCGAAAGCACTTGTTGCTCTGTGTGGGGGCGAGATGCTATGTAGGGGCACACAGAAACTCGCCATGTAGGCATTCATCTGAGCTGGCCACACGAAGAAATTCGCCACACAAGCGCACCGTGAAAGGACTAATGTGCTCAACGTAGATGAAGTGGTTGATGCAGTAGGGGGATGACAATGGCGCCTAACTGCTGGAAGCCGTATTGGCGCTATAAGACAATCAATCTTATATTGAAACTAATTTAGAAAGCATATTTTTAATAGTCTTACGATTTAATGTGCACCATTTCTTTCGCTATTAAATTAAGCCTTCCAGAATCGGAATTCTAAAAGTATAATAAAATCTTATTCGTTAAAACCAAATATGTATGATCAGAGAGAGGGAGTAATTGAGAAAGACTTGATTCTCATCAGATTGAACAACGATTTCGGGGAATTTAACTATTTGCCACTTTTAGATTGGGCAATTATCCAAATGCCCCTTTTAAGTTTGCACTTTTTTTTTGCCCCTCTTTATGAGATGTCATCTTAACTATTTGCCGCTTTTGCCCACGTGGCATGTCAACATGGCAAGGAGGGGAGAAACCGATGTGGGACCCACTAGTCAGCCTCTCCTCCTTCTTCTCTCCCTCCGATCCGGCGTTGCACCATCATGACGGAGCAGTGGCAGACGGGGTTCCTTGCGGCGGTGGAGGACACGGCGACGCCGGTGGTGGAGGATGCGGCGGCGCTGGCGGAGGAGGAGGCGTCGCGGCAACGGACGGGCTCCTCGCGGAGGCGGTGAAGGCGGAGCGGCGACGTCGGTGGAGGACGCGGAGGAGGTAGCGGTGGCGGACGGGCTCCTCGCGACGGCCGAGGAGGCGTAGCGACATTACCAGCGGAGGAGGAAGCTTAGCGGCGGCGGCGCTAGCGGAGGAGGCAGCGGCGGCGGACAGGCCCCTCATGGCAGCGGTGTTGGCAAAGGAGGCGTAGCGGCACCGGACACCGGACGGGCCCCTCGCAGTGGCGTCGCCGGCGGAATAGTGGCGCCGGAGGAGGCGTAGCGGTGGCAGCGGGCGTGGCACCGGATCGGAGGGAGAGAAGGAGAGAGAGGAGAGGCTGACTAGTGGGTCCCACACTGGTTTCACCCCTCCATTGCTATGTTGACCTGCCACGTGGGCAAAAGTGGCAAATAGTTAAGATGGCATCTCATAAGAGGAGAAAAATATGTGCAATCCTAAAAGGGGTATTTGGATAATTGCCCAATCTAAAAGTAGCAAATAGTTAAATTTCCCGATGATTTCGTCACATCATGTAGTTGTATATTCACATGCTGACATGCGTTCTATTGATCTGCCCAACGATGAGAAATAAAAAAGGAAGGGGGAGAAACTTGATGGACGATCAGTATCTGAATATTCGGTAAAGCCATGAGCTAGTATTCCTAAATCAGGAGGAATGTCTGAGAGAGAATCCATCCAGGTTTTGACATGACATGTATTTTCTTTTCTTTTCTTCTACTACCACAAAGAACAGACAAACCTGGAATATCATTTGCACGTGCAGGGCAAGTCAGACACACGTTCTATTTCCTTCTTTTTCTTTATAGAGCAGAGCAGAACAGACCATATGCGTTCGTAGTATCATTTGCAAGCATCAGTCGAGTCCTATTGCCGGCTGGCAACTGTTACTGCTCTCACAAGGACCAGGCCACAACAGTTATTAAACCTTCACTTGTACATTGACATTCATCCATGAAGATTATTAGCAACAGAATCAGTTTAAAATCCACCCAAGCTATGCTCTACTTTCTGCTACGAACAGAGGAACATCATCACCAGTAACTAACATACTCACGTCTGTGACAAACAGCATACATAACCCTTCTTCTCATAGCAGTTTTCCTTGTCCATAAGTTACAAGAGGCTGGACACCTCTCCCTAATATTCAAACTTTAAAAAAGCATCCCCCAACTTCCCCCACCGGTCATCCAATTCCAGTTTCCAAAGAAGCACATGGCATGAGAGCCCTGCATGCAGAAATCTCTCCAAATACAACAAGATTCAAGGGGCACATGTCCGCGCAATGAAAACAAATGGGAACCTGTACAAACAGCCTAAGCATTGCCATGAGTCCACCAAACAGTTGCTAAGGGCCAAAGCCCCTTAGAACCAACCAAACCTCTTATTTTCCGGTCTTTAGTACTCCACTTCAGCAGGCGTGACCCATGGAGTAGGGGCTCTGATGATATGCACACCGCCAAGATTGAGACATACTAGTACTGAATCCTATCATCGCCATCGAAATTTAGGCCCTGGATGCCCCGTATGGTCGACTCGTAGTTCTTAGCATTCGATGGATGCCTGCCAGAAGGCGTGCGCCTGTTGTCAGAGGAGTCAACCATCTGTGGACTCCACCGCGGGGCCCCTGATCTTTGGAATGCCCCCGGACTTGCATCTGTTGTACGACTACGTGACTGGTCAGCTTCAGTGCTTGGTTCTCGGCTACTAGAGACAGCAGGTCGCCTTGAGGATCCGCTTGACCGTCCCAAAAAAGTCGAACTGGAGAACTACACGCCACTTAAAGGTCAGATATTACATAGCAATTGTGTATAAAGTAGCACTTCAGGGGCACACTTTTTTGTCATGGCACTAGCAACACAGGCATCATGAGAACTCTAAGAACTCACCACTGCATCTTTAGAAGTTGATTGCTCATGTCCGATAGGGGACTTCTGCTTGGCTAGGCTGCCTGCATTTATAGCTGGAGGTGGAACCTGACGCCGCATCGCATCCATATCTGACCAGCCGCTTCTCCTTCCCTCTTCGGTGGCTACATCATATCAGTAGACAGTTAACCACCAAACAACTAGCAAGCTTTGTTAATTGGCAAGACTCTACATGAATCAAGCAGTCTCAAGGGTTGACCAAACAGTAGAATATTAGAATGGACGCCATCTATATTTTATTTGATTAAAATATAATGATCTCTACAAATGCAATTCCTTCTAACGGTTTGACCCAACCAAAGGCTCCATTCCTACTTTACTGTCTTACTAACAGATTTGGTAATGATCGACCCGTTTGTAACTCACTAACACTAACATTACCCCTTTTTCCATATCTTATTTGGGGTGGTAGGTGATAGTAACATCATTTTATTGAATATTTCCATGATTATGAGTTGATAGAAACTGAAAAACACCTGCTGTTTATCTAGGTGAAAATAACTTAGGAGCTGCAGTACAATTACAATCCACTAAAGAATAGATTTATACCTGACAGCCTGTTATTATTTGCTATAGGAGCCATCGCCGAGCTTTGTCCTGTTGCAGGGGCCTAAAATAAGATACATCAGCAAAAGAAGAGTTTGAACATAAACCCCCAACGTGCACACACAGTGAGGAAAAGAGGAGTGGTAGTTGTTTTCAACTGACAATGGCACGTGGTGGAGCACTGGTCATCTGTGACTGTTGATACTTCAGGATTGTCCAGTCAAAAACATAATCAAACTGAAATCCTACATGTAGAAAAAAAAATCCCATCAGGTGCTTTCAAAAGGTAGCATTTTGCAGTATATACAAGTCATAAACACTGTTTAGTCACTGAAATAAATATCGAGCATGTTTAAAGAAAATCAAAACAATAAACCAACCCTCTCGAATAAAAAGGTCTCTGAACAATCTCTTCAAATATTGGTAGTCTGGCGAATCTTCAAAGCGCAGCGAGCGGCAATAATGGAAGTAAGATGCAAATTCAGTAGGATATCCACGACAGAGGGCCTATAGTTGAGAAATCACAATAAGAAATAGTTCAGGAAAGGTGGTGGATGCAATTTATAGAATAATATTTACCTCAGTTGAAGTAGCAATTTTCCTTTCGCTGATTTTCTCATATTTTTGTTTCTTGTTCCCAGCTTTTAGACCCTGCCACGGAAGGCTGGCAGCAATAAACTATAAGTTAATACAGAGGACGCAGTTGACGCAGAGATACAAAAGAAGAAATTACTTGAGGTTATGTTGAACAACCTTCCTCTCAAGAAGTACATCAGTACATATCCAAGAGATTCCATGTCATCCCTCCGGCTTTGTTCTATGGAGAAGCATAAAACCGTATTATGATGCTAGGAAGACATACAAAAAGGTCATATAAGCTTACTAGGAACAAATAACATCAATGTCAATCTTGACACTGCTACTGGATAAAGGAATACATATACAGTAATCAGATAACTTACCAATTCCAAGATGAGTGTTTACACTTGCATATCTTGCTGTTCCCGTCAAGTTCTTGTTCTCCCTATGATTAAAAGAAAAATTGGTGTGTTTAATTTGGAAGTAATATACAGCAACTGCCATTTCAACTTTCAAGTAGATTAAAGGTATCCTTACCTATATGGGATGTGCTGGTGTGTTGATGTATCCCTGTACTTCTTTGCAAGTCCAAAATCTATGACATAGACCTACACAGAGAATGAAAGCAAGGGTTAAGTACACCTATAATTAATTCATGAATACGAACAGATCAATTGAACATAACTATACCTGATTTGCCCTTTTACCTAGGCCCATGAGAAAATTATCTGGCTTAATATCTCTATGCAAGAAAGACTTGGAGTGAACAAATTCGACGCGATTGATCTGAGAGATAGAAGATGGTTTTGGCAAAACAAATGAACTGAAATCAGTTGAGAAATGCTAGCTTTGGGTAAAACAAAAACTAGAAAATAACCAAATGAATAGCAAATGGGTTTAAATTGACTGCTAATAGTACCATTTGATCAGCAAGCATCAAAACAGTTTTTAGAGACAGCTTCCTGTTACAAAAACTGAAAAGATCTTCAAGGCTTGGTCCTAGTAAGTCCATTACCAAAACATTGTAATCACCCTCGACACCAAACCACTTAACATTTGGAATTCCAGCTGCAGAACAAAAGGGTCATTAGTTGATGTGTCAGTTTAAGGAAAACCCACTGGATAAAGTAACAAGCAAGCATCAAGCATGCATTACTTCCTCCCTGGAGTATTCTGTACAGCTTCGACTCATACAGCAGTTGTGGATGCTTGGTCTTCACATTTTCCTAGACAAAACATTGGAGATTAACAAGGGTGTTATCTATTAAGACAGGAAGAGGACTGGTGGAAACAGCAGAAACAATAAATTATTCTCACAAAATACGCGCAGCATTACGTCAGATCAAGTCCATGCTTGCGATGGACGTCAAACAAATTTAATCCTAATCAACCGCAACTGGACAAGAGGCATTTGTCAGGGTATAACAGTAGTATACCCAGTGGTACATCTATATAGCTCTTGAAAAAAAAATCATGTTTTGGCAGAGAACTATTAACAGAACAAAAACTTAAGTAGTAAAAGTTATGTTTCAATAGTTTTCCTAGCAACAGAACACATTAAAAACTTTAACACATACTCCAGACAACCTTTTATATTAGAGGTGCCATATACTATCACCAATTCAACTGCATTAAAATATATTGTTAACAACAAACTACATTCGCATAGCAACCAGTTGACAGATTTCCAACTCAGAATTCCTCCAATCAAGTATAGAACATGTCCTCTGCATCTGAGATCCCCACATCTGAAGCAATCGAATCATAAATCGAGTAACACAAAGCAATACTAGGAAACTCACGAGCTTAATAGCGACCTCCTCGTTGGTCTGAACATTGGTACCTGCGAGAACACACGCAAAGAAAACAAAATAGAAGTCACCAGAGGCTGATGGGTAAAGATGAGAACTTTTGAATCAAAACGAGGACTTTGGGTAGAATTGCGCACGAACCAAGGTAGATCTCCCCGAAGGAGCCACTCCCCAGCTTGCGGCCAACACGGAACTTGTTGCCGATGCGTGGCTCCATCACTGTGTGCACCAAGCTCCCCGGGACAATCCCTTAATCACAAGGAGTGGGCCCTGCCAGACAAGGATCGAACCAATTCGATCAGCTGCTCCAGGGGAATTTGGAGCTAGGACGCATAACATAGCGGTGAGGTAAATGGGGATTTATTTCTTGCTCTCTCTCCTCATCCATTTACGTGCTGCTGCAGGTGTTGAGCACGACACACACAGGTGTTGTTGGTCTCAGAATAGAAAAATATTAAGAAATCGATGCATCAACGGAATTGGGCACGGCGGCGCGGTCGGAATGGTTTTCCCTCTCTACCTGATTTTTCCTTCTCCAAGTGATCTGGATCTCCTCCATCTTCCCTACACAGTTTCGATCGGATCCAACTTGTTTGGGGCTACAAACAAACTGTTACTACTTGCTTGTATTAAGAGAGGTTAAGGCTCTGGAATTAAGGAGGAGAAGAGCTTCATCCAGATCTACTCCAAGAGAAGCTAGGGTTAACGCAAGCAAATTCCAGCTCCCGGTGGGAGAGAGATGAATCAGAAAGAGGATGGGAGGTGCTCACCAGGTCCAGGATACCCTGCTCTGCTCTGCTCTGCTCGCGCAGATGGAGATCGGCAGCCGCGACTCGTCTTGGCGCAAGGAGCGGAGCGGAGGAGACGACGAGACGCCCCCGGGAGATTTCTCTTTCTTTTACGCCGCGAGGGAATGAAGGGTACTCCACTTCTTCTTTTTTTTCCCCTTTTACTTTAAAACTGCATTTGAGATGGACAACTTCTCTTCTATGCTAATATTTCGAAATTTTCATCCCAAAGCTATTTCGGACATTAGGACAAAATTATAAGTACTAACCAAAACTAATTAGACAACGATGGTATATTATCGAAGTTAAGCAAAATACGATGACATATTGTAGAACTTAACAAACTCAATGACATATATAGAACGGGAACAAAGCCAGTGACCTACATCTTTTTCACTTGATAATTGATATACACTTTATTATAAATTCTATAAATAAATTATTGGATGATTTTAAATATTTGAAAAATCAGGGTGTGGCACTCCTCAACCAATGGAGACGCACAAAGTCGCTGGTTTGCTCCCCAATCGAGGCTGATCCGTTGCCACCATGGGAGAGAGGTTGCCATTGTCGAGGAAGCGATTCCTCAGACGGTAGGGAATGGAGACCCCCCCCCCCCCCCGAGTGTGAAGATCCGACCAGGGGGTTTGATTGTGAGAGGCACGAACGAACTGCAAATCAGAAAGGATTCGCGGGGTCCGACCACCCCGCGCAGCAAGAGACACACAAGAATTTATACAGGTTCAGGCCACTCGGAGGTGTAATACTCTACTCCTATGTTGGTTTTTATTGTCTTCCCTAGATCAGTGAAGTACAAAGAAGCCTTTTTAGGCTACAAGCGAGAATATTGATATAAAGAGTCCACCCCCCATTCCGTATATGGTCCCCTTCCTTTTATAGTTCAAGAAGGGGCTCACATTATTACAAATCTCCTCTTAGTCTTGTCTTATCAGCCGTCTTGTCCTTGCTGGCTGGTTCCCAGACACAATCTTCAAGAAACCCATTGAGATTTGTGTCATGTAATGCCCCGAGCTCTGTCTGAGATAGTTGGGTTGCGCCAGTGTGCCCACCACGTGGTGAGTAGTGGGCCTGGTGAGACCCGAGCTGCTCGAAACAGTGCCACGGTTGCTTTTCTGCCCATCTGGCTAAATTAGGTGGCGCGGGACATGCACAATGCGTGTCCAAGGCAGCATCGGCCCTCAATGACTCAACATTGGTGTCTTGTCCATGTCTTTTCGACTCCAAACTGGCTAGAGATCCCCCATAAACATGTTTCATTTATGGCGGGGCACACCACATCACAGTTGGCTGTGGAGTGCGCCTAACTTCCTAGTAGGTTATGAGGTCGCGTCCTCTCGCATTTAAAGTAGTTTAGTTATTTTAGTCGAGCTTCTCGGAGATGTCGTTGATGAATGGATATTTCAAGATATTGTATCTTGTATATTTCGATGCTCCTCGAGACAAAGGTACCTGAACCCTACAAGGACCGAGGTGAGCCCGGGTCCCAGGATAAGGCCGGGGCCGAGGCAGACCTCGGTTCATAATCTTGTTGGTATAGCTTCTTATGTCTCCATCCTCCACACCTTGCGAAGAGAGTGACTTATGAAGACTAAGGTGAGCCCGGGGCCCAGAACAAGGCCGGGCTCGAGGCATACCTTAGTTCAATCTCTTAAGATGTAGATCTTATAGATCTCTACGATCTTCCCGCTAAAGGACGTAGGACTTATAAGAACTGGGGTGAGCCAGGGGCCCAGAATAAGGCTGGGCCGAAGGCAGACCTCAGCTTACATCCTTAAGATATGTGTTTTGTACGTCTCAACACTCCTCTTTTCTGAGTAGTGTGTGACTTCTGCAAACTAAGGTGAGCCCGGGGCCTAGAAGAAGGTCGAGCCCAAGACAGACCTCAGCTTTACATCCTTAAGATATGTGTTTTGTCCGTCTTGACACTCCTCTTTTCTGAGTAGTGTGCGACTTGTGCAGACTAAGGTGAGCCCGGGGCCTAGAAGAAGGCCGGGCCCGAGGCAGACCTTGGCTCAATCTTCTTAAGATATATATCTTGTAGGGATCTACGCTCCTCTTGCTGAGAACCGTAGAGCCTACAAGGACTAAAGTGAGCCCGGGACTCAGGACAAGACCGTGTCCGAGGCAGACCTTAGGCTATATTCTTAAGATGTATTTGGGTATGTTTGGCACCGAAGCCAGGTCCCAAGATGCCCTTATATTCAAAGCTTTGAGTCATTGTACATCTCATATATTGCATTCCTCCTTAGCCAGGCAGAGTTCCATATATGAGAACACATGTGGGCCCGGGACTCACCAGAGTGGGCCCTAGCTACGCCACCCTAGGGTTGCCTTTTTATTTTTAAAGATACTCTAAGCATGATATTTATCTGATAATGATCATTTTGCCAGGTAAATGGGTACCTCGATTCCCATTTCACCGACAGCCATCGCCGTTAGCAAGAGGTTGCCATTGTCGCCAGCGGGAGAGGGTGAGGAGGAAACCACCCTAGCTCGTCCTCGTCAAGTTCCAGTTGACTGCTCCCCGGCTCGAGGGAGAGGATAAGGTTGGTGAAAAAGAAGATATGGGCTGAGGGTATTTTCGTCCATACAAAAATATGGTATGCAGAAAACAACTAGCGTAAGAACGTCCTAGACGCATATATAGTAACACGATTCGAATTTTACAAAATACCAGTGACATTGAGTCACACCGAGTTTTCATTATAACATATTCTTAACGGCATGGATTTAATTAATTGAACCACCATCTTACAACATATTCCAGGAAGAAATATATATTATCTGCAATGGGTCATCCATCGTTGTACTTTTTTTTTCAATTAAGGGTAAACTCGATGTGAGTGATCGATATATGGTTATAGATCGATCACAACCGGTATGCGCTAGGTGATAAATTTTCCATGGCTTCCCCGGCCCACTCTCTGGCTCTTTGTCCCCTGGATGGAGTAGCTGATGGAGATAGATAAATAAATAAAGTAGTCTTAATTAAAATGAAGAAGTTTGTTTGTAATTAAGCGATGGGATACAATTAATAGGACATATATGTACCCCTAATCTGTATGCTCACCGTGCAGGACGCTTATCATGTGCAGATTACTGGTGGCAACGCTGGAATAATAATCTGTATTTAGCCGGCCGTTGACAGTGGCAGCTAGGCAGTAGTATGATGACATATATTTGATTTGGTGATGCACATTACATCGATCATTGTTATTGCAGGCTGCAGCTAGTGATGGAGATCAATTAGAGATCATAAGTGTAACGGAGGAGGGGATGGACAGGCCAGGGAGGCGGCCTTGGCCATGGCGTGGTGGGGGACGCCGGCGTTGCAGATGTTGGCGAAGGAGCGCATGTGCTTTATCCCGTACTGTCCCAGCGACCCACACTGATCCTCGAACGTCCGCACCATCGACCTGAGGCACTCCCAGTCCTCAACCAGCGCAGCCCGCTCCCGCACAACCTGCTGCTTGTGCTTGGCGCCGCCCAAGAGGAGGCCCCCGATCATCTCCACGCTTCTGTCCACGCGCGATCGCCGTCCCATCTCCTGCACAAGCCGCTCCCGAGCCTCCACCTTCTCTGCCGTCCCCTCGCCGGCTCTCCGGTACTTGCGCCACAAGTAGAGCAGATCGGCGTCGCGCTGATTCACAGACACAGTGTAGGAGTGGCTGCCTTTGGCGCCAGCAGCAGCTAATTTGTGGTCGTTCGCCGTCGCAGGTGATGTATCCATGTAGTAGAGGTCCAGGCTCTGCGGTGCGAGCGCCATGTCGCCGTACTGCATGACGTGGGAGCCGAGCGTGTAGGTGCCCTCGTCGGACGTCCGGTTCTTCACCGTCCTGTACTGCTGCCGCAGCGTCTCGGCGAGGCGCCCCTCCTGGTGCGCCTCCGCGTCCTCCATCCACGCCACGCTGTAGAGGTCCCCGAGGCAGGTGTCGAACTCCGCCGCCGGGGCGTCGTGGTCGTCGCCGGGGCAGTAGGTGCCCCAGCTGCTCTCCTCCGCGTTGGAGGCCGTGGTGGCGTACACGGAGATGTCGGAAGGCAGGAGGCCCTCGAAGATGCTGCCGGACTCGCACGCCTCCACGTACACGACCAGGCTCTTGTACCCGCCGCCGGCGTGCTTCTTCTTGAGCGCCTTGACCAGGTCGTCGGCGTACAGGTACTCGCCGTCGGCTGGCATGCTCAGGACGCCGGGGCCGCCGTGGTCGGCGTAGTAGACGAAGACGTGGTCGTTGGGGCCGCTGGCGACGACCTTGCCGCTGCCGGAGCCGGTGAGGGCGGAGCGGTTGCCGAGGAGGACGGCGAGGAAGTTGTTGACGTTGACGTCGTCGCCGGTGTAATCCTTGGGGACGCCGGCGTAGACGTCGGGGCCGGAAGGGTGGTTGAAGATGAGCCCAGGCCTGGGGTTGTCGGGGTTGTGGGCGATGTCGTCGTACATCATCACCACGATGTTTTGCTCCTCCACGCCTCCCTTCCTCATGATCTGGTACGCGTGGCACACGTCCGCCTGGTGCCGGTAGTTATAGAACCCATTCGACCCCGCGATCAGCACCGCCCACCTCGTCGTCTCATCCGACGACGGCAGCCGGAGGAACTCCTCCTGCCACCGCCACCGCCCACCGCCGGCGACGACGAGGCCGACGAGCTGCAGCAGCAGCAGGCAGAGGAGACCGCGCCCCATGATTGACAAGTTGTGCTTGATGATCGATCCTGCAATCAAGATGCTTGTTATATCGACATTCTCCGATCCTCCTCGTTCCGTGCGTGACGTACGTGCTACAGCATACTCCTGATAATAGTATAAAACAAAATCCTACTACTACAAGAGGGACAGATTGATTACTCCATCAGCTCAGCTGGCACCAAAGCTAAGAATCCTAGCATTCCTACTACTATTAACAACTATTTCCTGGGGCCGTTGATTTGATTAAATAAAACTAGAAAAAGATACTCCTCTAGTACAACTTATTGTTGCGTTGCGTGGTGTAGGTGCGTGGGTCGCCTGGCGTGTAATCTTGAGTGACAGTGCCATCCTATATACGGCTTGGCTTATTAGTGTGCCTGCCTGCCTATCATGCTTAGACGCAACAGGGATCGACTTGCAAACTAAACTAGCCAGTGGCTTATGCAGCACCAGAGACTCGCCATCTAATTTGGAACTCGATCGACCCGGAATTAATAAACAAGTCGTCATCTCCTACGCTACGCTCTCTGCATGCTTCCTATCATATATACGGCTGCATATATACGGGATTTGAAGGATTTTGCATCACGTAAGTCGCTCAAGCCCTGCTGCACGTAACTATTGTAATTTCAAGAGTAAATTTCACAAAACTACATGTTTTATGGTCCAAGTTGCAGAAAACCACCCACACTTTGACACTTAGCGTTTAAGTATATATATTTTGATAGTATAGTTTCACAAAACCACACTATCAATGAATAGATTTACCCGTGATATGACATGGCTGTTCTACTTAGGACAAAGACGTGGCATCCTATTACCAGCCATCGCACGAAATTAATAGGATGCCATAGGTGGAAGTCATCTCGTAGTTGAATCCATTCATTGATAGTGTGGTTTTGTGAAACTACAACACCAAAATATATGTACTTAAACGCCAAGTGTCAAAGTGTGGGTGGTTTTCTGCAACTTGGACTATAAAATGTGTAATTTTGTGAAATTTACTCTAATTTCTAAGCCCGTTTGGTACGGCTACAACTCCCTAATTTAACTCTAGAAGTTAGATCTCAAGTAAAGTTAGGGAGCTGCTTAAGCCCAGTTTCCAACTCTCTAATTTTAGTCCTCAGATCGATATCGATCTTCTCTCGCTTATCTGGTGACATTAGCTGCTTTGCTCTCCAGTAAAAAATAGCCACAAGGCATTCTCTCCATTAATTAGCATAGCAGCCAGTGCTCTCCCTCCATTTACAGTTTTTAAATTTCTTCTACAAGAATACGGGCTCAAACACGCGTAAACATCACCAGCAGATCACAAACTCAAGTCTCCAGGCGGCAGATGCAGCACTGAAGCAGCAACATCAACACCTGCTCAAATTATGGCAGCAGGGAAGGGCCATTGACCACACGCACAAACCAGACAAGATTGATGATATCCCCTTCCTAGATTTCACTGTTAGTTAGATTCCAAAAAAAAAAAAAACCCAACCTAGAATGGGATGGGACATGTTCTAGGACAACGTATTTGGACTGTCTAGATACGTTGTACTAGAATATGTCCAATCACATCCTAGATTAGGTTTTTTTTTTTTGGACGGAGAGAGTAGATCATGCTTCACAAAAATCCAAGGTGGGCCATCCAACACTCCATCCAACCTACCCTAGCCCCAATCCCCAATTGTGAATCACAATCATTACTGTCATCATGCCAGTATCAACATCTTCTGGAAAATTTATATAACGCAGCAGCTACCGGAACTGAAGTACCCTGCCTAGACATCCTTCACCAAATGCAAAGCTACGGCTGCCCCACCTTGTAGCCTACGGTACATCCGGAGCATAACCTCATCCCCATTTATCCTCGTTTCATTTGAAAGCTCAACGTACGCTTCATTGATCCTACTGAAAACAACTCGAAGCGGGATGCATGCAATGCCCAGAGATTTAACCTATTACTGACTTCTTGTTTCCGGCACCTCTGTGATTTATGTCGAAAGATGAAAGGCTCCGCATCTTTCTTGAGGAAGGCACATGATTTTTTTGTGTGCGGTCGCCATGATTTCTCTGTTTCGAGTTCGGACATCTTCCTGTGGCTTTTGGGCTCTGTTCCACCTGTGTGTGATTCCAGACATCCCAGGCTTGAAGCTTAATCCTTCTTCACTGGTCCATCAACAGTGCTTGTGGCAGGGCGGTGATCACTTACACCTGATGTAGGAAGAAAACATACACCATCCGAGACTGGATAACCCACAACGGGTCTTCGGTTCCATATACTCATTAGGGAAACAAGAGGACCAGTTGGCTTGTTTAATGAACTCTTGCCCACCTTTTCTTCCAAAAGGATAACCTTATTGATTGATATCCAACCCTGTCTTTGTGATATCTAGGCTCCAATGCATTTCGTTCCATGTTGTTGGCCCCATGATCAGCGGAGCTCATGATTTGCTTAGTAAAATTTCCGCGTTCGCATCGGGAAGATATGCTAGCTTTGCTGCAGTTGGTAGGTCGCCTTTTGCGTTTGCAGATAGGATCCTTTTTTTTTAAAAAAAAAAAAACTAAAATCGACAAGAGAATTGTCGGGTTGGCACTGCCATAACCAAATTATTTTTTGAAAAAACACTATGATGTAGTATGCAATCAAAGGACATAAAAACAGAATCCTCTCAGAAAATAGAATATAACAATGATCACGGTTTGTCTTGATCTTGTAATCGTCAAGAAATCGAATCAGGGGAAGAGAAAAGGACTAGATGAAGAGAAACAGTGTGTGGGGGGGGGGGGAGAAGAACAACTAAATAGATTAGGTCATGGAATTGATTGTTCTGAATTTGATAGATCTTCATGAATTATGGATCACATTTGGATAGTATTTTGAAAAATCTGATCAAAATCTGCCAAAATTCTTCCATAAGAATTGGGTGTTTTCTTTAAAAAAATATATATGGTGAAGTGATCACTAGAATAGGCACACCCAGTATAATTTTTCTGGGTCCGCCACTGCCGAGAGAAAGAAAAGATTACGGCGGTTTGAAAGCAAACTCTCTATCGTTGATGTCCTCTAGGATGACAGCTACATTGTGGGCAATATTTGGGAGTTCTCCTTTAAAGACTTTTGCATTTCTCATGAACCAAATATGCCACCATGTCGTTATTAAAGCTCCAATATTTATTCTTGCTTGCACCCTATTTCCAGAGGAGGAAATATTTAGAATCTAGTCTTATATGTTATCCTACATATGATGGTTTGGGATTCCTTTTATCGTTGAGATTGATTGCCAGATCTGATTTGTGAGATCACATCCTCTGAATAGATGATCAGAGTCTTCAAAAGCGCCCCTGCAAAGTGGACAAATCCAATCACAAGGCCAATGCCTAATTAGTAAATTCTCTACTGTTAAGGTCTTCTGGTGAAGGATTAGTCAGCCCAGGAATCTTTGCTTAGATTGAGCTTCTGCTGTCCATATCATCTTGAAGGCTGGGTTTGTCTCTGATCCAATGAATTGGGCTTGGTAAGAACTCTTTGCTTTGTAGATACCTGCAGCATTTCTTGTCCACACAATATTATCTTCCCCAGTTTCAATGAGAGTGATTTGTGTGAGTAAACTTCCAAGTTGTACTAGCTCATGAAGAGTTTCAACATCTGTTATCTGTCTAAAGGATGACAGCCAGGTGTTGTCGTTAAGCTCTGTTTTGACTCTTCTATTTTTCCTGATTGCCATGTTGAATAGGTTGGGTGAAATATCTTGGAGCATAGACCATGGAGCCAGTTATCTTTCCAAAACATAGTTTTCTGTCCATTTCCAAGAGTGATCTTTGTGCAAGCTTGAAAAAGTTGATGATCTGAATCATTACATGGGAGATACATCAGTTCCCATGGTTTCGAAGAGTCTTTCCATTTCAGCCAGAGCCACCTTTATTACCAAGGCAGAAGGTTCACACTCTTTCAAATGATCTGGGGGAAATTCAGGTGATAAGCAGGAGTCAATCAAAAATATAGGAAGATAAGCTCTTTTTCCTTGCCGAAGCGTTACCGTGATATATATATTCATTTTTTGCTGCTCGTCATATCGCTGCTATGCATATGGTTAGTTGCGTGTTCTTCAGTTAGGTTCCTCTGCTGTTTGGTGTTGATAAATGTACGGTTATATATACTTGAATGATCCCGATAATAACTCGTTCTTGCTGGTGATGGTAAATATATATACATAAAATCTGTTTGTGTATCAGTATCAGCAGCCAAAGCAAACATTGATGAATCATTTGAACAAAAGCCATATTATTTTTCCTCGCCTATATTATGTAACTTGTTCTTACAGCCATAGGAGCGTACTATGCGTAAGAAACAGCAATAAGCTTCTGTTCCGTCCTCTATTAGCTACTCCATATAGCAGTAAGTAAGTTGTAAGTAGTACTCCAGTTACTAGTACTATAAATTTAACAAGGGCGATGGATGGATGGTGTGTTACAGTAGTATAATTGAGATGGAAGAGGTAGGATGGATGGTCAGGCGAAGAGCTTCTCGGCGAAGATGTCAAGAAGGGATAGGGCCTCGGCGACGGTGAGCTCGAGGCGGAACTTGGGGCCGTCGTAGTGGTGCAGCACGGGCCTGAAGGCGTCCTCCTCCAGCGGCTCACAGATCTTGCGCGTGGCCACCCGAACCTGCGCTGGGAACCTGGACTCGCCGCCGGGGCACTTGCTGTCCTCCCAAGCGCCGGGATCGATGTTGGATCCGCCGAAGCTGGTGGCCTCGAAGATGCCGTGAAGCTGGTGGGTGGAGTAGTTGTAGAGGAAGAGCGGGAGGCCGGGCCTGATGGCCCTCACCGAGTCCCTGTACCTGGATGGCAGGCCGAACAGCTGCCTCTTGAGATTCTCCTCCATCGTCTCGTTGTTGCACACGAATATGTATCCCCCGATCGCCTCCTCCTTTGGCACCGACTCCGACGCCGGCAGCTGGCTCTTCTTCAACCTGCTGCTCATCTTGTTGTCGTTGCTGCTGCTGTTCTTCTTGTTGTTGTTCCTGCCTCCTCCTCCTCCTCCAGCAGGAGCGTCGACAGCGGCCTTCTTCTTCCCGTTGAACGCATCTACGACGACGCTGTTGCTGTTGTAGTTGAAGTTGAAGTTGTTGTTGGCCGGCCTGCCGACGGACTTGTTGAAGTAGGTCTTGGCGGTGGCGTTGTTGTTGCTGTTGTTGGCGAGGGCGAGCTTGTTGCTGCTATGATCGACGGCGGCAGGCGAGGGGGAGGACCAGATGGAGTCGGCGATGGAGAGGCTGGAGAAGTTGTGGAGGCGGAGCTGGTCGCTGAACTGCCAGAACTCACGCTCGTCGTACCCCTCCATCTTCTGAATTAACAGAAAGATCGGGTCTGCTGCCACCGCCGATGGGAGATGATCGATTGATCGGAGGAGGAAGAAGCAGCAACACCAATTTACTCAATTAACAGAAAGAGAGAGGAAATTAAGGTGGAGAGGAGGGAGTTAATTTGGCGGTGCACGCGGGTGGATGGCACTTCCTAGATATGCTTGGGTTGGATGGGGAGATGGAATCAAAGTGAACACTTGCTTTGCAGCTAAGCAACTAGGCGGACGACTGAGGACTAATTATATGAATCGGACGCGTAGAAACAAAGAAATAAATGGACGAAAAGAAATTATGGTTGGACGTGCAATCAGTCAATAATCTGATTTTTAAATTTCATTGCATCCATAGACACGATGACACGTACACATAGAGTGGTGAAGCAAAGTCTGCCTTTTTGAACGCGTCAACGGCCCGGACTTCTTCTTCTAGATGGACCTGCTACTATACATTCATCCATCCACCACCTGACCGCCTAAAATTTCCTTTTACCAAACACCGTAGAGACATCTTCAAAGATGTTACTTTGCCCAATAATATCTACTCCCTATGTCCGGATTTCTAGTTTTTCTTACAACGTTTGACCATTCGTCTTATTTAATTTTTTTTTGCAAATATAAAAAACAAAAAGTTGTGCTTAAAATACTGTAGATAATAAAGTAAGTTACAAATAAAATACTTAATAATTTTAAATTTTTTTAATAAGATGAGTGGTCAAACGTTGCAAGCAAAAACTCAAAATCCTTTATATTATAGCATGGAGGGAGTATAAAACTAAGATGTTTTAAATAAAAAAAGTTGCATATTATGATAGTATGTTTAATGATAAATCTAGTAACTTCAATTTTACACGATTGATTCTTTTTTTTTCTATTAGTGGTTAAAATTAAAAATGTTTGACTTGTTACTGTACTAAAAGTGCTTATATTTTGGGACAGAGGAAATACATTTTTTTCACCTGTTTTACGTATAGGAATATACATGTTTCGAAAGTACACAAGTGGGGATGGAAACTTGCACCGAATCTGCACAGTGAGTGTGCGAACTAATGATATCGCGCAGGCCAATAGCAGAGTCGGACCCGCCTCGAGTTCGTGCAGAACGGCACCAAGTCGCGGCTTCGCGCAAAGAAAATGTGACTCGTTTCATTAGCTAGTTAGGAATTAGGATTCCACAGGAAGTCGTCGCGACTTCTTGATGTTCCGGTGAGTATACTCGAGGATGGGGTCCGAGTTCGCGCACCCACTATGCGAGCTCGTTGTGAGTTCGTGTATAATTCTACCAATTCTTTCGAAACATGTATAAACCTCGAAAACTGGTTAAAATAGTTTTTTTAAAGTCATCTTTAACTTTATCCCAAAAGACTATATTTTTACTTGCCACGAATTAAGAAAATTTATCTCTTTAAAATTCAAAATATACCTCTTACATGCCGCTTCAGAATACTACTTAAGGATACCTTTTGATCGAAATGAAGGATATTTAATTTGATTTTTATCCTCATCACTATTTTATTAACTTTGTTAAAGAAAATGCGAAAATAATACAATCTTTGTGCGGCGAGAGAGATCGAGTAAATATTGTACTATGCAGATTACTAGTTTTTGTTTATAATATGTATGCTATGAATAACTACAGTATCAGCATGATATGAAAGTATTTTTAAGTATACGACTCTAATGTATGGCATGCATGACACTAAGTATATATATTAGTACTAGTTTCGAGGCGCCTACAAATCGGACGTCCGATTTTTTTAGCAAAAATCGGCTGCTGTTTTACCACATAGATTAGAATTGTTTCACTAAATATATCGAAAATGTTTCAATATTAAAAAAACTGAAACACAACCAAATCATGAATAAAACATTTTGCTACAACGTATGAAAACAATGATTTTCAAAAAATCAGGCGTTGTTTCACCCTATATAAAAACAATGCTTTAGCAAATAGCAAAAGAATGTTTCAATTCACTGCACTATTTGATTCATATATAATGAAACATCATGAGTACACTTATTGAAATATTGTTGGTGGAAAAAAAAGAAACATATTCCCTTAATAGAACATTTTCGTAATATACGGATGATTTGTTGCAACGGCGCATGTGGTGGGATAGCGCGGAGGCGCGGGAGACGACGGGCGCCTGATTTTTCTACTGCTGATGGGGCGCTCGATCGTGGTCATTTTCCTACTAGTTTAATTACATGTGTGCGAAGAGATGAACAAATATATACTGGATTGGAGTTTCTAGTAGTAGGCTACTAGCTAATACTACCTCCGTTTTTTAACAGATGACGCCGTTGATTTTTTCTGACATGTTTGACCATTCGTCTTATTTAAAAATTTTATGCAAATGTATAAGATATAAATCACACTTAAAGTACTATGAGTGATAAAAGAACTCATAACAAAATAAATTATAATTACGTAAATTTTTTGAATAAGACGAATGGTCAAATATGTGAGAAAAAGTCAATGGCGTTATCTATTAAAAAATAGAGGGAGTATATATAAGATGGTGGTAACATACATACATACATAGAAGAAATTAAAGTGGTGTGCATGCTTTTGGTTAATTAGTGGCGTAATGAGTGGTGTGCGTACGTCGAGCAAGCGCGATGATGGCGACTCATCACCTATCTTTGAATCTTGCTGACCGTGACGCCGTACCGCGTTTAACATTTCCTCCCTCAATTTAATTTTCTTCGGTCAGTATCAAAGTTATGTCATACTATATATCTTTATTTTAAAATGTAATAATCTTAAGATGGATGTATATTCTAGTAGTTCGATAAACCTAAACAAACTCCTTTGAAAAAGATAAATATAAACAAACCATTCCAAAACGACCTAAACTAAAGCAACCCATTAAAACCCAATTGTGATTCCCTATTTGAATGACCAAACCAGCCAATTGCAGGGACGGATGGTTGGGTCGTGGTATCATCCTCTATCGTCCGTCAGTCTAAACAAACTGGATCCATGCATCGATCTCCGCCCAGTCCGGCTTCGATCGGCTGCCTCCTCAAGCAAGCAGATCGTCTCGTCTCCGCCGCCTGTGCTAGCTACGGTACTCGATCCTCTTCTCTTGTGCAAGCAGTAGTACAGTAGTGTACAGGAGTACTCCGTAGCTAGCACGTACTGTACGGACTCCATATATATGTTAGGCGCATGTACGTACGTTTCTGCTTCTGCGGTCTGCCTGTTAGTAATTTGCTACACAATCACATCCAGATGGTGAACACCGTCCGTCCCTCCTACACACACACACACACGCACACGTATATATATGATCAGTCGGCCGGCGATCGACCACACTATCAAATGCCAAATTACTACTCTACTCTACTGTCTAGTAGTGCTTCCTACATACTGTAGTAGAAAGTACATAACATAACATATACCTGCAGAACGCCGTCTTATAACGAAAAAGCACACGCTGATGACAGCGTAGCACAGGACAAGAATCAATCCCTTCAGATAATGTGATTCTCCCTCCTGAAACATATATATACTTCTAATAAAATACCGACAATCTTAAGAGTTTTACTGTACTACTGTATTTCACTTTGATTCTGAACAAGATCGAACCAATAATTTCAGCTTTTACTAGCTAGTACTTACCTGGAGGGTGAAGGCTGTCACTAATATTGCTAGAAACAGAGAGCCAGTCTCCAGCAGGTTGAAATCAAGATCCATTGGGATTCCCATAGTCCAGGCTACAATCACACTCACTGGAACCTGCCGCACAGTTCATCACTTCCATCACAACAACATACTAACACGCATGTCTACATACATACTCCACTAATAACTATTCCCTCCATTCCAAAATATAAGACACAACCACCCTTAACCCAAAGACCAAGAAATAGTTATTATCACCTTGTAGTTTGGATCATCCTAATAAATGTAATGCATGTATCCAATAGAGTTAGAGAATGTGAGAGTGAAGGATTTTAAAAAAAATAGTAATTTAATGGAGAATTGTCATAGTTAATGGCATGCATGTGTATGTATGTCTTACATTATGGAACATGTAAAAAAAAGTGGTTGTGTCTTATATTATGGAATGGAGAGAGTATCAATGTATAGAGCGAGGTTAGTAAATTACTAGTACTACGTACTAGCTACTCCTACATACCACAAACATGGAGATCTGTGTGGCAGAGCCCAAAGACACTCCGAGAGTAATATCCTGTCGTCACAAGTCACAACAAATTAATGATAAGAAAGACCAATACTCTGCTGCATATATATATATATATACTGTATGTGTGTGCTGCTTAATTATATGGAGTACCATCTTGTTCTTGAGAGCAAATATGACGGCACCGGCATGCTCTGCTGCGTTCCCAACGATGGGAAGCAAGATGATGCTAATGAAGCTCACTGATAGTTCCCATGATTCTGAGGCCGCCTGTACATTCACAAGATACGTACAAAAGGTGGTTTAGCTAGCTTCATTATGCATGCATCTTGCCAATTCACTGAAGATTAATACAGTACAGTACAGCAGCATATATGTAAATGGTACTAGGATGATATATATATATACTGTACCTCAATTGTGCTCACAACATACCCTGACAAGAGCGCAGTCAGGAGAGTCATGAGAGCCAGCCAAATCATGGCACTCGAGAATCCCAGTACTGGCTCATCATCTTGAGCGATCACTAAATCATCGTCGTCATCATCCTCAACCTAATTAGAAAAATATAATAATTACCATTTGGTGTTGGTGGGATCGAACGTAGTACAGGACATGCATCGATCAATCACAGACGGGACGTACCTGTTGGGGCTCAAACAGCTGGCGATGCGTGTTGAGTTGGAAGAAGAGGTAGGCCAGGTAGGCGATGAGCATGAGGATGCTGCAGGCACGCGACAGGTGGAGGGCGGCGTCGCCGGAGACGATGGCGTGGTCGCCGGAGGTGACGGCGTACCTGAGCATGAGCGGCAGGGAGTGGCAGAGGACGGCGAGCATGAGGAGGGCGGTGTTGACGTGAGCTTGCTTGGTGTCGTACGGCTGGTGGGCGCGGAGGTTGGCGATGCCGGCGAGGAAGAGGGAGGTGCCGAGGACAAGCAGCAGGTTGGAGAGGATGGATCCCAGCAGGGAGCATTTCACCACCTCAATCTTTCCTTCTCGCAGCGCCAACAGCGCGATTATCACCTCCGTCACGTTCCCAAATGTCGCGTTCAGTAGTCCTCCCACTGCAACCATGCATGCACTTCACTTGATGCATTTCCACTTGATCCTGATCGAAACGAATAGCTAGCATGCATGGAATTCACTTACCAGTAGGACCGGTGTAAAATGCAATCTGCCTGCATGCATACACGCAACCAATTAATTGTCACAAAATTCAAGATCACTATTATAATTACTCTCCCCCATTTATACTTATAAGTCACTTTGACTTTTCTAAAAGTTCGATCAAGTTTATAAAAAAATATATTAATATTTACAGCATTAAATTAATTTTATTAAAACTAACATTCAATATATTTTATATTTTTTCTTGTTTTATGTTAAAAATATTATTATAAAGTTAATTAAAACTAAAGAAGATTAATTTAGAAAAAAATCAGAACGACTTATGATCAGAAGAGTATATGGTTGCATGCATGCATGATGTACATTATCTGAGCATGGTAGGAATTAGTTAAGGGAGCTTACTCGGTGAGGAAGCTGAGTCGCTCAGCAAGAGGAACGAGGCCGATTAAGCTAAGCACAAACACCCACACCTGCAATTAATACTGTAAGAAAGCTGGTTGATCATTTAGTTTTTTTTTTGAATGGTTGATTATTTAGTTTGTACTTAGGTTGTGTTTAGATCTAGAGGTGAAAAGTTTTGGCGTATCGGATATACGAACACATATTTGAAGTATTAAACGTAGACTAATAACAAAACAACAAATGACAGATTCCGCATGTAAACTGTGAGATAAATTTATTAGCCTAATTAATCTATCATTAGTAAATGTTTACTGTAGCATCACATTGTCAAATCATGAAATAATTAGGCTTAAAAGATTTGTCTCGTAATTTACACACAATCTGTGTAATTAGTTATTTTTTTTATATTAATACTTCATGTATATGTCCAAACATTTGATGTGACAGGGTGAAAAATTTCACAGGGATCTAAACAGGCCTTTAGCTTAGGGATGTTACAGTAGTTTTTGGTTAGTACAGTACTAGTGGAGTGTATCTAGGACGCACCGTTGCCATATGGCTGAGATGCGACGACGAAAAATCCGTGACCGTGAGGAGGGGGATTAATATTAGCCTGGCCATGCATGTGATGGGTGTGTCAAGTGTCAACTTGCTTAATTGTTGCAATTCCATGATTCCATCTGTTTGTATTTTAATAGGGTTTCACAGGCTGCAGGCAACTTCACCACATGCGCGAGCACATGCACTCAGCTAGTACAAATTAATCTAATCGCCATCATCCGGCTCGATCTTGTATTCGTCATGTGTTGTTGGTGGAGTGTTTTTTTTTTTTGGAAAATTATAAAAAAAAACCTGTTATGCTAAGTTTAAAATACCCTCCTAATTTACTTTGGTTTGACGTAATTTAGTGCATCTCTTGATGAACATGGCCCCAAACATATTTCTCAGCGACACAGTACGCACTACTCACATCTTTCTTATCTCGAATCTAACGAACAAACCAAACATCGTTGAAACCCATGAGACAAATGCAGTTTATCTTGCGGTAACATAAATGTTCAAGAGCTAAGACTCACGACCTTCACTGCCTAACGATACGATGGGCGCCATGGGTAGGGATTATAGGGCTTGGCCAACAATTGGAGTTTTTTTGTGTTTAGCCCCGTAGTTTTTTTAAGCTTTAGCTTTTTATTTTGTTTTTTCTCTCTTACTCTAGTATAAGCCGGTCTGGCTGATTGTGTTGTGTAATTATACTTTTTTCTTCTAATATATTGACGTGTAATTCTTTTGCGCATCCGTAAAAAAAAAAAAGGGCTGGGATTATCGACCACAGTTCCTTGCCTAGTACTAGTATTGATATGAGCATGCTTGTGGCTTGTCATAAGAATGGACGAGCAACGTAAATTGGAGAGAGATGGATGAGGAGGGTACCTGTCCGAAGTGGAGGTAAGTGGCGGCGATGGCGAGGAGGACGGCGGGGAAGAGGAGGAAGAGCCTGGTGGTGAGGAGGACGTCGTTGAGATTGGCGAGGAGGGAGCGGAGGGCGGCGCAGGGAACCTTGTGGAGGAGGGAGGCGTCGGAGCTTTTGCGGAGGGAGGAAGATGAGAGGTTGTGTGCGGTGCGGCGGCGAGGAGACCCCGGAAGGAGGTGGTGCCGCACGGCCATCTCCTTGGCCATCGTATTCGACTCCATCATCATCCGCGACACTGGCATCAAGCTCTAGTTGTTCCTCGCTCGCTGAGTCGCTGTGCGTGGTTGGTTGGATGAGAGAGAGAGAGAGACGATCTATCGATTTCATACAAATGCGGCCGCCGTCGTGGTGCTAGGATTTTGCTGTATGTATGTAGTGAATGACTAATTGAGGAGGAATAGTATATTAATGGAGCAGCTCAGCTCATCGGGGTGGATGCAAATGTCAAATGCTCCATGACCAGAGTACTCCAGCATGCAGTAGTAGAATATGGAGTACAGATATTAATAATGAGGAGGCACAAGCACAACACAAGAAGAAGCAGAGAGAGAGAGAGAGTGGACTGATGGTCTGGTCGAATCCCGGGTTCTCTAAACTTAAACGTACAAAATATCACGCGAATAATTAGTATGCATTCTTGGTAGTACTCCTCCTGTTAATTATGCAGTTACTAGTAACTAGGCAAATGCAAAACCTCCGTCCAAAAGGTACCTACCATAGACAACGGAGCTGCAACAGAGCAGAAAGAAACCAATCCAATCCAAATCCAGTGAGGACTGAAGAGGAGGTGAGAGACTGACAAAAATGGAGGAAGCTCCGGTGGTCTATTCCGCTCCTTCCAGGGGCGTCGCCGTCGATCGCTGCTTCTCTTGTCTTCTATTGTGCTCCCCTCCCTAATCCAATCCGTACCCACCCAAGGGATGACAATCCCAATCATATTAAACCCTTTTCTTCTTTTGGATTTTTTGTCTCCGGTGCAACGCAGCCAAGGCCCACACGCTTACAAATAAAGTCCATACAAATCACGGCCCAACCCACCACACCAACCTATCCTTTTAGGCCCATTTGATGGATAATAGTTTGGAGGAAAACGTTCACATTATGTCCTCCAATTTATGGGTTGAGTTTCATTTGCATCCCTCAACCGTAAAATCAGGTATATAGCGCCCTTCAATTATCAAAACTAGATCAAATTGGGTCCCCTCTCAGTGGGGCATGCATGTCAGTGGGGCCCATCTCTCTTCCTTCCTTCTCTCTCTCTCTCACCATCCTCTCCTGCTGTAGGGCGGTGATGACATGTGCACACATGATGGAGGCTTGCAACATCGGGTAGACCAGCAGAGGCCCACTGGGCAGGGGAGCTCGATGTCAGCTGCTGCTCTGCTCGTCCTTCCATTGAGGCTCGGCTTCTTCCCAATCAACATCAACGTGCAGAGGGGATCCCCATTCCCCCGTCGAAAGCAGAGCGCCTCCCACCTTGATGGAAGAGGCAGTCAACGGCAACGACCTTGCATGGCTGTTCCAGGAGGCCGTCCTCAACCTCAAGCGCAACGCCAATGAGGTCCTAGCTAGGCTTCTCCTTGCCATTCATCATCGACACCTCTGCGCCCATCGCTATTCTGCAGCGCTCGCCGTCTTTGGCCACATAGGGAATTGTCGTCAAGGCGATAGTGGCGGCTTGGTGTCCTCTTCATCCTCAAGGGCTTGATGGTGGTCATGGGACAACAAGCAAACCCCTTTCCTTGGACACGACAGCGACAGTAGTGCTGGCTACACCAGGTACTTCGAGGCCTGCTACCCCGTCATCAGTAGCAAAGCCGGTGAAGGAAGGGACCTGTTGAGCGTGCATATGTTGTGACCACGGCGATGATTGGAGGAGATATTGAACTATATGCCACTTTTAGATGTGGCAATTAACTGTTTGCCACTAGACTCACATGTCATAGACACATGTGGACCCACATGTCATTGAGATATGTGTGGCAAATAGTTAATTGCCAAATCGAAAAGTGGTAAATAGTTAAATGCCCCTTATTGGAGATAGAGAAAAATGGAATCGTAAGGGGAAAGAGTGAAAGGTCCCACATATATTTTTTGTTTCTATTTTTTCAACTATAATTCCACATGAACCCCAGAGCATATTAGAGACCATGACACATTATGAAACCACCAACCAAACCGTGAGGGATGTAAATTTACCCCGCTTTAATAGTTGGGGGTATCCTTCATATCTAGTTTTACCGTTCTAGTACATGAATCAAACTGGGGCTATCGTTGAGGGATTTAAAGTGAACTTTTTCCTAGTGTGGACCAGCGTTATTGGGCTGGGGTACAGTTAAAAAATGAATTGCTCCTACTATAGTTGAACTAACATTTTTCACTCTGCATTATACTCCATATGTTTTGCATATATTTTGCATTATACTCCCCTGTTTCTTGTCTGAGGCTGAGCAGATTCGAGCAGGGAGGCCATGCATAGGGCAGAATAGATGAAGGTGAAGTTGTGCACTCTGGTTGCTCTGTAGTGGACAGGGAAGAAGAGGGACATCACCAGCTTCATCGCTGGATTGATCGTCTTGCATACATTGAATGATTGATTGCTATACTAGTACATATACATACACGAAGAACATAGTATATATTGTAGCTGCTGCCGTACCCATCTGCTACCTGTTGGAGAAGATGGCCTCAAGATCCTTGTAGAGTCCCTTGGACTTGGAGCTCCACTGCGAATGCGAGTTCTCGGGTCCCTTCGCCTTGGAGTCCGACGACGACGCCACCGACGACATGCTCCGGCTCCCACCCTTTGCTCTGCTCCCCGACGCCTCCGCCTCCCCTCCCTGTCCCTCCTTGCTGAAGCTCGCCTTGGCCATCTCCCTCAGCTGCCCCAGCCACGACCTCTCCGTGCCACCACCACCACCACCCAGTGCCACTGCCTCCGGCTGCTCCTGCTGCTTCTTCATCTTCTCCAGCTGCTCTCCAAGCGCCGACGACGGCAGCACCAGCAGCAGCAGCCCCACCCACGCCGCCTTCGCGCCCTCCACGAACGACCTCCTGTCCGAGCTCAGCAGCCGCACCTGCCGGTACAGCGCGTTCCACTCGTTGCACACCTGCGCCGCCAACGCCACCGCGAACACCGTCAGCATGGCCAGCCCTACCCCGCTCCCCTCCGCCACGGCGCTGCCCCCGCTGTCCACCAGCCGAAGGCATGCGGCGAACACCAACACCTCGCTTGCCACCGCCACGATCTCCACCAGCTGCACCCGCTTCTTGATGAAGGGCTTCTTGAGCACCATGAAGAAGAGCTGGAAGGAGGCGATGGCGAGCACCACCACGGCGTGCGCCCGCGACGAGTGGTCCGACGACGCGTGCGCGCCCGCCACGATCCCCAGCGCCACCCGCTTCACCGACTCCAGGAACGTGTAGTAGATCCGCAGTATGCCGAACAGCTTCTGCAGGAACGGCGCCTCGGCGTCCTCGTTCTCGTCGTCGGACACGATGATCCGCTCCGCCGCGCGCTTGCCGCCGCTGCCGCCGGCGATCTGCGAGAGCATGTACTTGGGCGGGCCGCGCAGGTCCTCGAAGAGCGGGCCGAGCTTGACGAGGCAGGCGGTGCGGGCGGGGTCCTTCCACGTCCACTGTCCACGCTTGCCGGGTCCCAGCGTCCGGCGAACAATCTCCTGGTACCAGTGGTACTCCCGCCCCTCCTGGTGCACCTCCTTGTACTGCAGCAGCCTCCCCGTGGTGACGCCCAGCGACAGGAACAGCAGCAGCGCTACCAGGAACGCCGTTAGCACCCCCGTCAGCACGATCCCGACGGCCAGCCCCGCCGTTGTGCCGCCTCGGATCAGCGCCGCCGACGCCTGGGACACGCAGGGCATGGCGAGGATGACGAGCATCAGCTCCAGCCTGGGGAACACGAGCGCACCGACGTGTGTGTGGCTGTGCCTGTGGCGCAGCTTGAGGTAGAGGAGGAGGGTGGCGTGCAGCAGCAGGAAGGCGGCAGCGATGACGGCCAGCCAGAAGATGTTCCTGAAGAAGTACTTCCATCCGTCCAGATCCTGCAGCTTCATGATGATCTGCGCCTCGGGCTTCATGTCCTGGTTCTCGAACAGATACCGGTACTCCATGGCGGTGAGAGGCTTGCCGTCCAATGGCGACGTCGACGGCATGGCCATTGCAACTCCTGGAGCTGCAGGAGGGCGGCGGAGGACGTCGGCGGCGAGAGCGGTGCGGTCGAGCATCTCGGAGTAGGCGATGGCGGGCATGGTGGAGTAGCCGACGAAAGGATCGGCAGAGGGGCCTTCCCATGGGAGGCGCATGTAAGGGATGCTCCACTCCAGCCCCTTGCTCAGCTCGTAGTACTCCACCGGCAGATTTATCGACAGCCATCGCGACAGCGCGAATACCTGAATGTGGCACGCCATTCTCTGAAACCAACATCGCCATCGATTACTGCTCTACCTGCTAGTTACTCCATATGATTCTATGGAATTCGATTGTAGTGTACCAACCAAGAGATTTCGTGATGGCTCGGATACGAGGTAAGAAGGCGGCCTCTGGATGACACCTGATGCCAGTAGCGACGATGTTGAAACAGTCAGCAGCGTGGCGAATGCTGCGGTTGCTGTAAAAATTACCGTCGTCACGATCGCGATCGATGATGATGATGCAGGAACAGAATCTGCACTCAACACAGTAAAAATGCACACAATTAGTTCGTGCGTGCATCTGTCTGCTATTGCTACCTAATAATTCAGGTTTTGACGAGCATGCATATATGGACTCTGCTTATGCTAGCTGACAATTACTACTACATTACGTATCCAGACTCATGTTACTAAGATTTACTCCCTCCGTCACAAAAAAAGACAAACCCTGGTTTCCGTGCCCAATGTTTAACCATCCGTCTTATTCAAAAAAATTATGAAAAAAATTAAAAAGACAAGTCACGCACAAAGTATTAATCATGTTTTATCATCTAACAATAATAAAAATACGAATTATAAAAAAAATTCATATAAGACGGACAGTCAAAGTTGGACACGTAAACCTAGGGTTTGCCTTTTTTTGGGACAAAGGGAGTATGTATTTTGGAACGAAGAGAGCAAGTAGTAATGATGCCCTTACAATGCCTCACTTCCAGACGATCTGACGGTAAGTTGGTATTTCCTGCAACGTCCTGAGCAGAGTTCTCGGCGACGTGGACCGAAACCAGATTATCAACCGCCTGTATCTGCGCTGTGTATATGCTCTTACTAGCTTCATGGAAGCTGAAAACCACGACGAATTCGTTTAATTATTAGGAAGCTGCATGCATGCATATGGATGGATGGATAGATGGGTTTGTTCTTGCCTGAGGAGATTGCCCCCGGAAACCTGCACCGCAGAGGAAGTGAAGTTGAAGACAGGCTTTGCAAACTTTATCAAAACCGGGATGTTGCGTGAACTTGTTCTGACAGTGGATGTCGCCAGCTTAACAGAAGGCCTTTGATTATCTGAACAAACATTCTCTTGTACACGTGTTATCGTATTGAAAACTGAAAGTAACGTATGGATTGAGTGGAAGTGGAGCAGAGTAGTACTGTATATATGATTGGCTTACTAACCGTAAAGAAAAGTGTATGGCTCTGAAGAAGAAACAGGAGTTCCTTGTCTGCTGATTATGGAATTCCCGTCACAGGAAACAGTGACAACGGCGGTGTTGGATGTCCTCTTAACCTGGAAATGGTATGGAATGAAGGTTGTTAACCCAGCAAGCAATTAAGCAGTGGGATTAGCTAGGACATGACAGTGAGAGTGGATTAGAGTAACGTACGAGGTATCCAAAGCGGCGATTCCCGAGCGTGCTTCGGTTGGTTGGCGTGAGAATGGCATCGGTGGCGGTGAGAGCGGCGAGGATTTGGGAGGAAGAATTCATGACGGGTTCAGCGAAGGAGAGGTATACCCTGAGGTCCTTGTCGTCGTTGGTGGCTTCCACCACCCTGGTGGCGCCCTCGATCTGAAGCAGCTTCTCAGGGATGCTGCTGCCGATGTTCATCGAGTCGCTCCGTCTGTCTGCAGTACATCCAATCTCGATCGATCATGAATAATACTAGTACTAGCAAGCAAGCAAAGCAAATGAAAGTGTATCTAGTGTAGGTATACGTACCGAAGCGCAGGGTGAAGGTAGAGTTGGCGGTTCTGATGAAGTGGTGGCCGGCAGCATCGGTGCAGAAGCCCTTGGCCATGACGAGAATGAGGCGGCCATAGAGCAACTCCGGCGGGATGGTGACGTGGACGGAGTATTGCAGGGCAGGGCGGAGGACCTGAAGACTCGACGGATCCACGCGCCCGGGACCGTACACGCTCAGCTGCAAATGCAAAATTCCAATTAATACCGTATTACATTCCATTCCATTCAGTAACAAAATGATACTACTCCATGTGGTAGTGTACTAGTGGCTCGTAGTACATGGCAGTAGGTGGCGTTGCAGGTGAATCCGCCTCCGCCGGGGCAGGGCTCGGAGAAGGAGACGAGCACCGACACGTTGGATCCGCTCGTGAACCCCGCCTCCGCCTTCACGGACGCCGTCGGAGCAACCGTGTCTGCATCCAAACCATTTTCATTTCTACTACTATAAGGTTCCCGCCTGTTAACCACATTACTGGAGTTGTACGTACGAGTACTGTACTAGTAACGGCAACAATCAAATCAAATACTAGTACAAGTAAAAAGGATGGGAATTAATTAAAATGCTACTACTGTACTGTCTAGCAATAGTAATAGGGTGTTGTTACTGAACCAACCAACATCCCAGGCGTAGGTGGCGCAGGTTGTTGTTGTTGTTGTTGTTGGTGGTCGTCCCGCACCCGCGCACACAGCCAAGGTGTGGTTGCCGTCTTTCAGCCGCGAGTACCTCACCACCGCTGTCCCGTTGCTGCTGCTGCTGTTTCTTCCGCACTCCCACGCCCTCTCCCCGTCCACCTGCATTCACGCATGCACCCAAATACCAACTTACATTCGCATCTTCTTCAATACTCCTACCTTTTTTCTCACTTAATTAACCTCCTTCCTACAAAAAAAAAAACCTTGATACTACTACTACAATGCTGTACCACAACTTGTTGGCTTGTTGCAAATCAAATGGTCTAATCCGCCAAGACATTTCCACCTACCTATATAGTAATCTGACCAACATCTATGATCTATCCTTGTCATGGTAGTACTATACTAGTAGTATCACCGGAGAAATTGATGCATCGATGAATGCATCTACTATGAGGCTATTATTAACTGACTAATTGCTCTTTCAGGGGACCAGGCACCCAAATCCACAAAAAGGCACGGCATATGCTAACTGAAACCACATTTTTACACTTGATTCTCTCTATGCATTCCACTGGAGTAGGAGTACTCCACTACCACTACCTAGGGAGATAACTCGAGGCAACACATGACATTAGCAACTGTAAAAAAAAAAGAGATTTCATTTCAGACAGAAGCTACTCCTAGGTAGCACCGCACGCACACATTTGGAAAATAAAAATGATGGATGTCGAAATTAATGCCGAGACATGGAATATATGCAATGCGAGTGCGTGATGAAGCAGATGAGCTAGAAAAGCATGGAATGGAAGCAGGCAGGTGGAAAGTGAGGAGTGACCTTGCAGGTGATGAGGCAATCCTGGCACGGGCCTGATCCATTGGTGTGCAGGACCTGGAAGGTGAAGACGGCCGACGCCGACCTGGAGACGCGGGGAGGGGTCTTGGAGAAGCTGACGGAGACCACGTCATCGGCAGCATCGGAGGAGCACAGGAGCGCCGCCGCCGCCGCCGCAACCGCAAACACGACGCCGCCCCAGCTCTTCCACACCATCCTACGCGCGCCTACTATTATCTACTCCTACTCCCTAGCTACTCAGCAGCAGCAGCTTGCTATGCTACTCCAGTACTGTTGCAAGAGAAAAGCTCAAGAAGTTACACCTGGTGTGTGTCGACCTACTGAGCTACTCCTACTGAATTCATTCATGCAGGCACCCAGCCAACAGTGTTATGGACTGGAGTACTGGACAGGGAGGGAAGTGAATGCACGCCACGCTGCTGCCTCTGCCTTTGGGAAAGGAAAGCTAGAGCTCCCTCTTGACAATGGCAGTATTACTGACTTGAGTTCAGTGTGGTGAGGTCGCAGTGCAGTAAGTATGGTGGTAGATTGGAACAGACAAAAAATGAAGGGAGGGAGGGAGGGAATAATGGTGGGGGACAGACAGGAGGGGAGAGGGGGCCAAATGCACACTGGCAGGCATCGCATCGCCCGCCATGTGAAGGACGAGACGGACCATGGTTGAAATGCATGGTTGGCTGCAATGCAAGCAGAGGACTGAAGAAGAGGAAATGGATTGGATGATGCACATGAGGACTAGAGCGCCCAAACTGTCTTTTGTGCATTTCTACCTTTTATCCTATTTTCCCTAATCCTTTCAATAATCAATCAATCCTCCTTCCTACTCACTAGCTCGGATGTAATCCATGTCATTCGATCGGCCTAGCTTGCTTCCATCCATAGACAGGAAGAAAACAACAACCAGCGCGAGATGCACAGATTGCTACAGTACGCGACGATCCAAATTTGCGAGCAATACTGATCAACTGTGGCAGCAAGGACAAACATGCAGCTATCACCGATCGAGGCACTGAAATTTCAGTCATACGGTGGCGACATGACGATGTTACGTAATCAAAATTAAGGATGGGCCTCGCTCGCGAACCACTGAATCAGGATATGATGCCTGGGGATTAGCTCACCATGGGTGGCTGCTGTCCGTCATTTAGACCATGCATCAACAACAACACCTAGTAACTCTTCACTAGTTACATCGATCAAAGATGGAGTACTACATACATGTAAGAGTAGTTAATACTAGTTTATTTATCTCAGCGCGCTCAGTTATCATCGAAAAATAAGGGTTTTCTGACAGCAAGGCATACTGCTAGTTGCCAAAATGCAATCGGTGACATGCAGGTCCCAAAATATGATGGTAGGAGTATATATTGGACCAGCAAGCCACAAACCCTCTTAAACTTCTTCTTTCACCCTCACCCTCAACAACAACATGCATGGTCCTCATCACAGACAGATTCACGGTGCTGTGTGAAACATACGAGTAACTAGTACATAATCTCAAATAAGCATATGATTGTAGCACAAAAATAGGGGAATCCTCTCTGAATCTTGGAGGAGACTCCAGATCTGTACGTGCACATGCAGCAGCTGCCTGCCCCCCGCAATAACCACCATGCACATTGTAGGTCAGCTAACTTCATATATACTCCAGTTTCTAGTATTCTTCTATTGTGTTGTGTCACCTTTTCTACACTGGTCTCCAAGATTCATATCGTACTTCGTACATACCACAGTGATTTAGTAAAGAAATTCTTACCACAACTTGTGTTTTTTCCAAAAAAAAAATGCAAGTCGGAAGAACAAGAACATGTCCATTCTATTTCGTGGTGAGCGTTAGTAGTAGTAGACGACAAACAAGCTAGGTGTGGTAAGGCCTGATTCATAGTGCGCAGCGGTTATAAAAGAAATTGTCATGCATCCATGGGCAGCTCTGAATTAACGTCGTGTCGCCAGGGAGAAGGGGGCACTATTTCAGAGGGTCGGTCTGTAACATGTAGTATTGCCAATATAATTCATCTGAGCATTTACACATGTGTACAACTGTATTGACTGCAGATCGACGACGAGGGAATCCAGTCAGAGACGTCGTTGGACGGATCAAACCTTTTCTCCATTGTAAATCAGGCAGATCACTGCAGCTGTAGTACTACTAGTGCTGGAGTCATGTGATTATCACTGAAGATTACTGCAGTCCATCCGGTTGCCTCCGACTGATGAATGAAGAATCAATCAGTAGCAAGAGCATCCCAGGTTAGTTGATTTTTCAAATTATTTATATTTTAAAAGATTTAAAAAATAAACATTCCAAAGTTCTTAAAAAAACATACTCCTTCTGCCCAACTGTAGGGCGAGGCATATAAATCCCCTACAGTACGGCAATCTATATAACGTGGCACCTGGCGAGAGAGGCGTGCCATGGCAATTTTTGCAAGCAGCCCCTTCTCAGCAATAAATCGCATTCCCCTATAGCGATTTATCGCCAGGAGGGAATGGTATGGAAAATTATCACAGCGCAAAGTTGGGTGATGGATGGAGTGTGCCATGTCAATTTTGCAGGCGGCCTCCTCCTGGCGATAAATCGCCCTTCCCTAAAGCGGTTTATGACCGGGAGGGGGTCGTCTGTAAAATTTGGCAGGCATTGAGGAATATATTTATGTAAAACTTTAAAATTGTAATTTATTTTTTTAATATTTTAAAAAATAAATAAAAAATCAGGTTAGTTCCCGGCTAATATATGATGAAGTCAAATTGGACCTTTTCCACTTGTATCATCATTGTTGGGTTCTCGAAGCCAACCCATCCTGCTCTAAATAGTACTCCGTAGGGCTGGGCCTGTTTAGTTCGTGAAAAGAAAAATTTTGGGTGTCACATTGGACGTTTGACCGGATGTTGGAAGGGGTTTTTTGGTATGAATGAAAAAACTAATTTCATAACTCGCCTGGAAACCGCGAGACGAATCTTTTGAGCCTAATTAAGCCGTTACTAGCACATATGGGTTAGTGTAGCACTTATGGCTAATCATTGGACTAATTAGGCTAAAAGATCCGTTTCGCGATTTACATGTAAATTGTGCAATTAGTTTTTTATCTATATTTAATGCTCCATACATATGTCAAAAATTAGATGTGATGTTTTTTTAACTAAACAACCCCGTAGTATTAGGAAAAAGTACACCGAAGGTCTCTCAACTTGTTATCGAGTTAGAAAATTGTCTCCCAACCGCAAAACTAGATATATGACATCTCTCAACTCACAAAACCTTTGACTTTAGGTCCTTCGATGGTTTTGATCTGATGTGACGGTTGAGTCAGCGTGGGACCCATATGTCAGGATGCCACGTCATCCCTTTCCCATTCCTCCTATTTCTCTCGCTTCTTTGCGCAGGGCCGGCGGGTGGGGAGGATGCCGTCATCGTTGAAGAAGCCGCACGCGTCCGGCGAGTCGCGTGGCCCCGACAACCCCCACAGCGGGTCACCAGCCTCCGCCGCGTGCCGCCTCAGCTGCTGCAGCATGTACTTGTGTCGTAGCACTGGAACTCGCCCACCTCCCGTCGCTCCCGACGGGTATCGGAGCTCGCCGTTCGGTCCCAACCCCACTGTCACATCCTGCGAGAGGAAGAAGAGATCCTGGAATGATAATGCACACATGCGTCCATGGTAGATGGTCGGCCGGCACAGGACTGCGGCGACAACGGTGAACGGCGGCGCGACGGTGAAAACGGATCGGAGGGCACCGGAAGGAAGAGCATGACGCGGGGAACTCACCGAGGGGCAGCTCGACGACGACGGACGGCAAAGGGAGCTTCAAACAGCGACGAGGTCGGGTCCAAGGCGACGGCGGCGTTCGACGCTCTTTGGCGGCAACGAACGGGTGGACGGTCTTCACCTTGGTCCTGCGAATCCAACGGAGGCGACATCTAATCTTGGCGTCGATGGGAATGCCGGTGAGGCTTGGCCGGAGGCGGAGTAGATCGATCGAGTTCACACTTGACAGTGACAGCGGTGTTCCGGTGGCTTGTGGCTTCGAGGAGATGGTTGCCGGCGGTCTTCGTTTGGCGAGATGCGGCTGGAGCAGCAGCCGGCGGCGTTATGTAAATCAGTGATTCAGTAAATTTAATTTGGGTATATATGTGCGCCATGTCCGTCCCGCTCCTCCGTCTCGCTCGCCGTAGCACTTGTGATTTCCACCGCCGTCCTCCCACTCGTCGGAGCGGAGGTGCGTCCGCCGCCGGATTGTCAAACGACCCCCACCTGCAAGACCGCGGGTTTGTCAGCGAGGTCAATTGCATACATGCCCATGCGTGCAAGCTAAAACTCACAGGATTTATTTTCATGGCGGGTTGCTGCCACCAGAGGTAGGACTAGGAGTTGAAGACGAGGATACGTCGGCGTGGGCGGCGTGCTTGTTGATGGAGGCGGCGCGGACGATCCGGTCAGCGATGCGGTGGCGCAGCGGGTGATAGGAGTTGGATTCCACCAGCACCTTGCCGCGCGCGTTAACAACACCTTCATGGCGCACCACCACTCCAACAGAGGAGAGGGAAGGAGGAAGGGAGAGAGTTAGAGGAAAAAGGAAAGGTGCTAACGTGGACACCTTGACATGTGGGATCCACGTGGGTCCTATGCTGACTAAGCCGTCACGTCGGATAAAATTGGGTCAAAACCACCCAAGGACCTAAAGTGAACAGTTTTGTAAGTTGAGGGATGACAATATCTATTTTTACGATTGGAGGATGATTTTGTAACTCGATGACAAGTTGAGGGACCTTCGGTGTACTTTCTCCGTAGTATTATGGGCTTATGGCCACATCCCCGCGTATAGGTCGAGAAATCTAGGCGCATACATATACGAGGCCTGGGATTTGGGCCCCCTCAACCTCAAGGGCCGAATGTGATCTCGCTCGCTCAACTTCTTTTCGGTCCCCCATCCCCATCCCCATGTAAGATACCATAGAGTTTTAATCTTTGAATGAATTCTTGGCACAGCAAACAAGGAATGAAATGTCTAAAATCATCGGATAAGTGGCTGAATTAGGCTTGGTTCGATAGTAGTACTTCTAGCTGTAGCTTTGCGATGGTATAATGTATAACGATATGAGTTACTAGGGTACGAGTTGTAATTAACTATTCACTGTTAATAAACTCAAAAGGTAAGTTTACTTTTTAAAAAAAACTTACATAAAGTTTCCTTTTAGAAAAACCACACCGTATAACAGTTTAAAATTTGCTCACAGTAAATGAGCTAGTTGAAAAAGCAAAACGTGGAAACATAACCCTTAGGGCTCCTTTGAATCAAAGGATTTATATAAGTATTTCATACGATTCAAATCATATAGGAAATTTTCCTATTTGGCCCTTTGATTCAAAGGATTGAAGCTTTCCAAATCCTATGAAATTTTTATGGAATGGCACATTGCATGTGGATTTTGGAGAAAATTTAGCAAGAGCTCCAACCTCTTGGAAAATTTCCTTTGAGTCTATCTCTCTCATCCGATTCCTGTGTTTTTCATGCGCTCCAGTCAAACGACAATTCCTGTGTTTTTCTTGTGTTTTGTAATCCTCTGTTTTACACTTCAATTCCTGTCAGAATCCTGTGTTTTTTCTATTCTTTTGTTTTTTCTACCCTGCGATTCAAAGGGACCTTTAGAGTGTGTTTTTTGCATGGCTGTAGAGGAAAATTTGTAGCGCACGTGAAACGAGAAAACCCATTAAATTAAAAAATAAATACATTTGATTTTTTTAAAAAAACAAAATTTATATAAAAATTTATTGTAAAATACGTATCATTTAACCGTTTAAAAAATATATTAAGAAATTGAAATGTGGAGTTAAAAGAAAAGAGCTGAGCTTAGTCCCACTAGGCCACTACTACAGTCAAAATAATTGAAAATTTGCAGCTACACTATTAGTTTTCAAAATAATTGAAAAGTGAGTAGTTTAGTGGTTTCGTGCAGTGTGCGGAGCATTGTTGTACGCAAGCATGCATGTGTGCACGTGGGCAGCCACGTGGCAATATAAAAACCAACTCGTCTACATCTTTGAGATGCAGACAAGAGTCAATGCCGTTCTAAGAAAACCATGAGATATCGTACGAGTAGAAAATAGAATTGAGTAAATTACATAAATTTTCTAAATATTGACTAAGAAACAGCACACTAGGAGTAGGGGATATGCTTCCCAGCGGTCTAAACATGTATAAACTGTTCGTTCCTTACTTTTTTATGTGCCCGTGATTTAGATCCCGCGTACCTCCTAAGAGGCCAAATCTAAAAAAGCGGTTTGTTCTGCTCCCCGCTGAAAGAGCTCGGGCTCCGATAGATATATAATCGTAGTTACTTTCTTCGGGTTAATAGTATTTATCATCTTGATCAAAGCTGATGTTAAACTTTAAAATATTTGATTATATCATAGAAATATGAACGATATGTATAGAGTAGTATTAGAAAATACTACAACAAAATTGTTGATATTTCTAGTTACATTATAATAAAAAATAATAGTTAATGCTATTTATTTGAAACGATAAATACTGTCAAACCTGAAGGGAATATGGTACTAGTGCTACACAAAAGCACACAGTTTTGATAAATTCTACTTATAAATCAGACCTGACATTTTAGATGGTAATTTTATATAATCTGACAGAAACTCTAAAGTGGATAAAAGAACTTGTGGATCTTACATGTTTGTTTTGGGTTTTTATGATTTTAGTTTTGTGAAGCACGGATACTGTAATACCTAGGATTATGTATCACGTGTAAAGATAAACTTGTGATTTTATATAACTTGAACAACAACGCTATAAGATTAGTGCAATTTACTGAATAAAATAAAATGCAGGACAAAACATATAGTAGCACAAGTAGTGGTAGGGGGAGGAGCAGCGTACGTGTGGTTTGCGACGTGGTGTGCGTGGGCGGTGCGGTGGGCATGTATCTGCATCTGCATGATACTAGTGTCCACCACATATTACGGGACTATTTTCATCTGCTTTTTATTTATTCATTGATTGATTGGTACTACTACTGCTAGAAGAAAAGGCGGTTTAGGCTGTGTTTAGTTCTTTTTTTAATTTTTTTTAACATATACGAACATACATTTAAAATATTAAACGTAGATTAATAACAAAATAAATTATAGATTCCGTCCATAAACTGCGAGACGAATCTATTAAACATAATTAATTCGTTATTAGCAAATGTTTACTGTAGCACCATATTGGCAAATCATGACGCAATTAAGTTTAAAAGATTTGTCTCATAATTTACATATAAACTGTGCAATTGATTTATTTTTATCTACATTTAATGCTTTATATATCTAAATATTTCGCAACCTTAGTTTAGGCTGGTGGCAGCAAGGTGACCGTTGCGCGTCCCCATCCAAACCCAACCCCCCGTACCATACCATAGATATCCCCAATCTCCCCCTCTCTTAGCTTTCTCTCTCTCGAGACTTCCTTCCTTCCTTCCCTTGGTGGTGGTGGTGGAGACTGGAGAGTGGAGGCGAAAAAAGAAACGAATCGAATCTCTCGTCCCTCCTCCTCCTCGATCTCCTTCCTCTCAATTCCATCCATCGTCTAGTCTTCTTCCCAAACCCAACAACTCCATCTTCTTCTTTGCTTCGCCCTTGATTTGTGTGCTGCGTGAACAAGGTAAGCCTCTCCATCTCCCCTCGTATCAACTTTTCTTATTTATTTATACTAAGTAGTAGCATAATATATCATCCTAGTTCCTTCCTAGATAGTAGAGGATTTATTGATATTGGTTGCTTGGATTGGGTGCCGCCGCTGTCCACCGTCGCCTTAGTTTCCGCCGCCCGGTACTGTCTCTGCTTGTAACTAACCATATACTCCACTCGATCAGATGCTTCAATCTCCATAATTCCTCCTCTTTTCGCCTTTACATCATAATATATGTGTTTGTTGCATTCCATTAGATTGGATTGGAAAACCATTCCATTCGACTTGTATTTCTTTTGCTGCTTCATTACATCAATCGATCGATCGATCGTCGGTTGGGAATTAGGCCATCCACTCCATATATCTATCACCATCTCTTCTCCACTTGTTCATCCATTTATGCTGTCTCCACTTCCCTTCTCTTGTACCCATGCAATTCAAATCATACTTCATTTTCAAGCACTTCTCTCTCTCTCTCCCTCTCTCTCTTTTCCAAATTATTATTATTATTATTATTATTATTATTATTATTATTATTATTATTATTATTATTTTCATTCATTCTTACCTGTTAAGCACGCCTCCTTAATAATTAAAAGAGGTCTTGAGGTACCCATGTAAACTTTTCCCTTTTTTTTTAAAAAAAAAGGATCCTTGCTAGCTTGTTATGTCGGCAACGCAAAGCTATTTCGTGTCACCTCAGCTGCTTCAAACTTCAATTTGCATTCATACCCTCCAGTCCGACCGGAATATATGCAAAAGCAAGCTGCTTTTCATTATACTGCAGCTGCAGCATTGCCTTTCACATAATCACATTGCTTGCTTCATTGATTGTATTCATGCGTCCAATACGCGTCTAATAATCCAATGCGGTCACTACCTTTCTCGCTACAGCTAGCTAGCTGTCACACCACCACCAAAGTCTCTTTCCGTGCGCTCTGGCTTCATACCATTGGAGTCCACGTTTCCTGCTCGCACTTGATAATGTGTCACTGTCAGATTTACTAGTATAATACTGGTCTACATTTGGGGTGCTGGCACTGCCAACTCCCATTTTTTAAAGCTCAAAAAATCCATTCTTTTTTCTGAAATAAGATTTTCTTTTTTTTCTTGGTTTGCATTAGCAGTATATATGCACACACACTCATTCCTACACTAACAATCTTACTACATCATATCATTAACACTTGCAGGCCTGTCTAGAGGGCAGCCATGGCCACTGTTTCTGACATCGGCCTCTCCGCGGCTATCAACGTCTCGATGGCCGTTGCATTCTTGCTGGTCTTTGCTTTTCTACGATTACAGCCCATCAACGATAGGGTTTACTTTCCAAAATGGTACCTCAGAGGAATGAGAGACAGCCCTGTTTCCTCTGGTGCTGCAGTGCAAAAGGTTGTCAATTTAAACATGAGATCATACTTGAAATTTTTAAGTTGGATGCCGGCTGCTCTCAAGATGCCAGAGGATGAGTTGATCAATCATGCAGGCCTTGATTCCGCTGTCTATCTACGGATATACCTAACAGGGTCTGTTCCTTTCCATCTTTTATGTTTCTGCTCTTCTCAATTGTTCCTTGTTGCCATCTCATTTTTTGTTCCAAGTCATACTTGTGGAAATAATGCCAATTAGTTAATGATACAGTGAGCATTTAATCCAATGGGTAAAGGCCTGCGGCTTCACTTTGTTATTGTTTCTAAACAATAAGAGATGCTAATGAAGAAATGATGAGCAAATTTATCACTCTGCATTTTTCCCATGTTAATTTAAACCTGAGAATATGAATCGTATCATTGTTGTCAAAATCTATTTGTGCCTAACTTCAATTATGCCTGTGTATTGATATACCTGTATTGACCTTTTACAGGATCAAGATATTCGTTCCAATATCAATTTTAGCTTCGCTTGTTCTGTTCCCTGTGAACTGGACAAATGACACCCTAGACAGCATGAAGGTAGTCCACAGTAAAATTGACAAACTTTCAATATCAAACATACCTTATGGGTCAAACAGGTAAGCCTCCATAAATCATTTGATATCTGGATGCGGTGTATTTTGATGAGTTGTGTAGAGATAAATGTTTCTTTTTTTGGTCTGGTTCAATATAAATTGTACGTAAAACATCAATAAGATTGCCCATTGGTCCACCAATTACACAAACAAAATCTGTATAGTGATTCATTTTACATGCAGATTCAACCTTTTTAAGTTTTGGGCGGCACCTGAAATCCAACCACTTTTACTTATCTTCATGCTGATTATGCACATGTACTTGGTACAATTTTTAGGAGCATTATCATCTTATGGTTTTGGGTGATTTGATAAATATGCCACTTGCCTGTGTGACTGTCTAATTTAGTAAGGTACAAGCACTCTATTTTGGCCTGTGTGCTTGGGACTTAGCAGCTGCCCTGCCAAGTTCAATATTGGGTGGCAGTTGCTCTGGTTGAAAATAAATTCATCCACACTGAACTTCTAGGTTTCATTTATTAATTTCTGTTGATGCTAGCACATGTCTTTGCTGTTCATGATGAACATTCCATCTGTTTTACAGGTTTGTTACTCACTTGGTTATGGCTTATGCTGTCACGTTTTGGACCTGCTATGTACTGTTCCGAGAGTATGAGATAATTACAACGATGAGATTGCGGTTTCTTGCTTCAGAGAAACGGCGACCAGACCAGTTTACAGTATGATCTTGTCAACTTTGCAAATCCCCTCTCTATTTAGTACCAACATGTTTACATTGGATCCACAAGAAGGGTAAAAAATTGTAATATTAATGGACTGAAACTATTCACCACTGGAAATAGTCTAAGAGATTGTGGCTAAGCATTTTGTCTCTGAGCACCCTGATACTCACTTTGCACTGACTTGGTTTATATTATCTAAAGCAATGTTGTAGACGGGAATGGTTTCATATCTCAATTGAATAAACACGATGAGTTAATTTCCTTCTGGTTGGTTTGTTGAATGCACCTCAAATGATTTATTTTAGGTTCTTGTGCGGAATATACCTCCAGATCCTGATGAATCAATTAGTGAGCTCGTGGAGCATTTCTTCCTTGTTAATCATCCTGATCATTATCTAAGACACCAGGTAATCTTTGGTAAAAATTTGTGGATAACTAAGTCAGATGTAGTTCTGTTGCTTTTCTCTTCTGGGGGTTTCAACAGGTCATCATCTGCTTAGGTAGGAGCTGTGTTTCTAGTTATGCTGATTGGCCTAATGCAAATAGATTTTTTTTCTACTCAACAGAACCCCCTTCATATATTATCCTTTTCCCACAAATTATTGATGGTTTCAAATGAACCTAATATTAATGTTTGCTAGTTTCATGTTGAGATTTTTTCCCCCAGATTCTGAGAATAGTCCACATAATAGCCTACCCACAGATTATTTGGATATTAATACATAAATATTTTGGTTTTGCCAAGTAACAGGAAAGTTATGATCTCTTGGTTATCTAGATTTTCATTTAAATAATCATATTCATATGTTAAAGGGTCTAAAAACTGTCTCTCTGTGCTAACACTTCACAGTGCTAATTGCTGAATGAGATTTAGAAGGGTCATATCCAAATTTGTGTATCATATGCACTTGGGTTTTCTACCCTGACTTCATTGATTTTTTTATTCTTCCTTATACTAATTACTGTATTTATTCCGTCCTTTTTCTGGCCGATTGTCTATATCTATAGGTGGTTTACAATGCAAATAAACTTGCTGATCTGGTTGAGAAGAAGAAGAAACTGCAAAATTGGCTTGATTACTACCAGCTCAAGTATGAAAGAAATCCATCAAAAAGGCCCACCACTAAGGTTAGTCTGCCATATGGACCTTGATCAATTTATTTTTCATTTCAATTATAATATTACATTAGGATCTTTTTTCTTTTTAATTCTCTGTCCCCCTGTTGGATTTTTGTTCCAGACTGGCTTTCTTGGCTGTTTTGGTTCCGAGGTGGATGCCATTGAATACTACAAAGCAGAGATTGAGAAGATTGGGAAAGAAGTAAGTTGTACTCCCTCCGTACCGTAATATAAGGGATTTTGACTTTTTGCTTGCACTGTTTGACCACTCGTCTTATTCAAAAAATTTGTGCAAATATAAAAAACGAAAAGTTGTGCTTAAAGTACTTTGGATAATAAAGCAAGTCACAAATAAAATAAATAATAATTCCAATTTTTTTTTAATAAGACGAGTGGCATTTTTGTCTATTAATTCCAAATAAATAATAATCCCTTATATTACGGGACGGAGGGAGTAGTATTTTTGTCTATATAATCATTGGACCATTCGGCATTGTCCATTTTTTCTGATTGAGTTGTATCATTCTATGAACATGGGTTTGCACAATCGATTCTTTTTTAGGATTAGTATTATGTCTAAGCATCACACATTCACACCTTGTGGGAGTTTAATTTGTTTACAGCTAACAGTCAGATAACAATAAATTCATGTGTAACAACATGCAGGAAGCTGATGAGCGTCAAAAGATCATGAAGGATCCCCAGTCAGCTGTTCCAGCAGCCTTTGTTTCATTTCGTTCACGGTGGGGGGCTGCTGTTTGTGCTCAGACACAGCAAACCAGTAATCCAACAGTCTGGATAACTGAATGGGCTCCAGAACCTCGTGATGTCTACTGGAATAATCTATCCATTCCATTTGTGTCCCTCACAGTTAGGAGGCTGATAGTTGCTGTGGCATTCTTCTTCCTCAACTTTTTTTATGTCATTCCAATAGCATTCGTGCAATCTCTTGCAAGCCTTGAAGGAATAGAAAAGGCGCTTCCATTTCTGAAACCCTTAATCAAAATGTAAGTGTTTCTTCATGTGTTGATTATTTATACTATTATTGCATTTCCATGATTTATTCAGCGTGTAATTAATTTGGGTACATTAGACATATGGTTATCTTCTGCTATTCTTTTGAAATGCCCTGATAAATCTTGTTGACTATTGTGCAGTGATGTCATCAAATCATTCATCCAAGGTTTTCTTCCAGGAATTGCTTTGAAGGTCTTCCTTATATTGCTTCCAACTATACTGATGTTTATGTCTAAGTTTGAAGGATTAATATCACAGTCATCACTGGAGCGAAGATCTGCATCTAAATATTATATCTTCTTGTTCTTCAATGTATTTTTGGGAAGCATCGTTACAGGATCTGCTTTAGATCAGCTTAAGGCATACATTCATCAGTCGGCAAATGAGTAAGTACTCCTATGCCGCCAACTCTACCGACTTGAAAGTTTAGAGATTATATACATGCTTGGTTGTTCATTTGAGTCTTCCCATCTTTTAATAGGATGCAGTTTATTTTTCCTGCTTCGCGGATCTCTGTTTGTTGACAATTGTATTTTTAGCAATTAATTATGGGAGAACACAGAAAAATCTGGTTCTTGTCGGAGATCACTTTGTTCATGCCGGCTGTCAAATAGATACCAAGTTCTTAATTCTGTTTTGATTAGTACTGTGGATTATATATTCAGGAGCTACACTTTGTTTGAATATTTAGACACATAGGCTAAATCAAATATGAAAAAATGGGACCAATCTAGGAAGGACTAGATTGATTTTGAATTAAGGAGGGGGTGAGGCTCGAACCCGGACCGGCTAGCTCGCAGCTTGCGTTGCTAGCCGGGAAGGCCCCGGGCCTTTCTCCTTAATCAAATATGTCAAGCAGTGAATTATGATATACATTCTTATTAAATAAAACATGTGCTGGTGGTTCAAATAACATCATGAACTCGTGATATATTGGTTCTTAAGCTATCTTAGAAATAGATAAATTCTTTTGGTTACAGTGAGTTAGACATAAATAGCAACATAATGATGCTTAATAGGCAAAAGGGGGGCCATTTGTTGATAGGCTAACTCTGTAGATGCAGAGATTTTGGCATCAAGGCAAACGCCAAAGCATGGGCCTCAGATACTTACCTCGTGGAAACTCAGATCGTATTTATGCTTTCACGTACCGATATTTATGTCCTGCTATTTGTCTGTTTATTTTACAACTCATTCTTCACATTCTCTGATTGAAACCAAATGATCATTACAATTTGCAGCAAGTCTAAATTAGTTCTTTTGCAGAATACCGAGAACCATCGGTGTAGCCATTCCAATGAGGGCGACTTTTTTCATAACATATGTAATGGTTGACGGTTGGACTGGTGTAGCTGGTGAAATATTGAGATTGAGGGCACTTATAATCTTCCATTTGAAAAACTTTTTCTTGGTGAAGACTGAAAAGGACAGAGAAGAGGCAATGGATCCTGGTAGTATCTGTTTTGATTGGTGTGAACCACGTATACAGCTATATTTCTTACTTGGCCTTGTCTATGCTGTGGTGACACCGTTATTGCTTCCTTTCATATTGGTATTCTTCGGGCTGGCATATGTTGTCTACCGCCACCAGGTAAGGACCACTGCAGCTACTTGCGAGAATTTTATTGTGTTAAGTTTTAAGTGATTATGATGAACTACTAAATTAGCTTGCTTTGTATGACTATTTAGACCATTTTTCCCTGGTTTATTGGAAATAAACTTCATTACTGATCGGCACAAACAGTTTCCACTCATGATCAGTGTTGCTATGCTGTTGTGCATGTGTTAAGGGTATGTAATAATGGCTAAGATTTACTAAGAATATGTGCTTGGATATATTGTTTTGAGTTCGCCAACACAAGGGAGTATGCTATTGTGATAGATGGACAGTTATGCTAGCTAAAAGTTACATGCAATAAATCTATCAGAATGGTCATGCAACTAAGGGGCTGTTCAGCTGCCTGGGATGTGCAAGAACAGTTCCCCAAGCACGAAAATAGCAGCGGGCAGCAGCTTGGCCTGCCGAACAGCCCGCTAAGATACTTCCATTATCATCAACTGCAAAGCAATTTATATGAAACTGCAGTGATGCAATTAATCTACATATGATTCCTAATTTTGCGATATTAATTTTATGATTTAGTTGTGTATATAGTGTTTTGGTATGCTTACTTGGTTGCACATTTCTTTGAAGATAATAAATGTCTACAATCAACAATACGAGAGTGGTGCACAGTTTTGGCCGAGTGTGCACGGGCGCATAATCATTGCATTGATCGTATCACAGCTACTTCTTATTGGACTGTTGAGTACAAAAGGTTTCGAGGAGACGACACCAGTTCTTGTTGTTCTTCCTGTGTTGACGTTTTGGTTTTACAAGTACTGCAAGAACCGGTTTGAGCCTGCATTTGTGAGGAACCCACTACAGGTAATGTGTGACAGGAAGTTTTGTATACTGAAATGTTTGTTTTGGTTTGGTGGTAAGAGTGAAATTTGTTGGATGTGCAGGAAGCGATGAGGAAAGACACCCTGGAACGGGCAAGGGAGCCAACCTTCGATCTGAAAGCGTACCTGGCCAATGCGTACCTGCACCCGGTGTTCAAAGGCAGGGAGGAGGAGGACAATATGTCAATATCCGAGGATGTCGGGATGGAGGAGGTGATCGTGCCGACCAAGCGTCAATCTCGCCGGAACACTCCCGCCCAGAGCAAGTACGAAGGCTCCGACACGCTCTCTCTTCCTGAAACTGTACACGAACGATAGAGCTACGGGAATATCAGGGTGACTACTAGCTTGTTGAATTCTTTATAGTCTGTACAGATAGATTGATACATACCTACTCCTACGGGGATGTTGGCAGATAGCTTTGCTGTACACTTTACAGCACGAGAGGTATATGGAGGGATTGTTCAACACCCACAGACTGATGATTGGATTGCCAATATTATGATTTCTTTGTTGGTTTCCAACTGCAACTAGCTGTAGTAGTAAATTAGTACTACCACTGTAATAATATAAACCAGCTAGCTAGTAGCAAGTTTTTGTCAGTGCAAGTGTGCAACCGCGCAAGGTTGTTAACAGTAAAAGGAGTCAAGCCGGGGAAGGGACGGGAGATGCATGAACGGCTTTGCTTTGCAAGCCAAGAATATTCATTCCCCACTGACTGCCTGCTTTGTTGGGAACATCATGCATCTCTCATTATTATATCTTCATATCTCCTCTGCTATCTTCTAAATTCTAAATTCCGAAGTGCGTGTGCGCTCATATCTGGTGTCATTTCGAGAGCTCTCCTCTCCTCTCCTCTCCAGAAAAGCACAACCAAAACCCTTCATATGTAGGACTGCTACCTGCACTGCATTTCATCCTGCTGCTGCTTGCAATGGCGGTACAAAAGCGATGGTGATGCATGTCACCATCTCCGAGTCATCACCACACTACTGTCGTGCAAGTAACCATCAATCTCCATATCTTCCTCAGTAGCCGCAAATATATATACTCCAAAAATACATAAATTATGTCCTTGGCCCCAAAACAACATAGATTCCCAATTTTCATTAGCATTAACTTTGGGTCATTGGCATTATACTCCTTCCAAAGTTTTAGGTCCAATAAATGCTGAGTCTTATAGTTTTCAGTCCAATCACACAAGTATTGTTTTCGGCCCAAAATCACATGTATATTGATCTTGGTATCAAATTTTCATGCTTATTAAACATGAGCCCCCCAAAAGTATCTGATTGTATTTTTCAGCTCGTAATTTCAGTAGTGTCAACCTCGAGCCAAAAAATTCATAAAACAATAGCCTTTGCTTCAAATTTTCATGAATAACTTGAGCCCAAAACGCTTGAATATTTGCATTTCGGCTAGAAAATGAACGGCGTTTAGCTTTTAGCCAAAAATTTCATGAGTGGTAACATTGAGGAAAAAACACATGAATATTAGCCTCCTACCCAAAATTTTCATGATAATTAACCCTGGGCCCAAAAAATTGTGTGAATTTTAGCCTCCGGCCTAATTTTTTTTTTGAGTATTAAACTTGGGGGGTTTGAAAACACATGAATACTAGCCTTCTTCCGAAAATGCAATGGAATTCAAATTCTAGTGGCTATGAACATTATGCACACACACGGATGCAATTTTTATGGGGTTTCATGAAGCTAGTGATTTGCCATGGTCTTCGTCTCTTTGAGAATCTATTAGGGGCAAATTTGTGAGTGTGTGTGCATGTGTAGTAGTGCATGTATCTTCCGTGTAATCCAAAAAAATTCTCCATTATTAACCTTGGCACCAAGATACACTTGACTGGCAAGGGTATGTGGTTTCAACCTCAACAGGTAACATGCTCATATTATTTTCTTAAAAGGTAATTGGAGAAACGTCTCTCTAAATCTCGTTTTTTAAATCTTGGCACCAACAGTGCATAAATTCTCTCTTTTGGCCCGAAACACATGAATATTAGATTTTGATTCAAGATTTCAGGAGTACTAACTTCTGACCAAAATTGAATGAATTTTAGCCTTTGCCCCAAAGCACATGAGTATTGTCCTTAGGCTTAACATTGCATGAGTATTATCCTTGGATAAAAAAGGAATGAAGGAATTTTAGCTTTCGGTCCTAAATTTCATAAATACTTACCTTGGCACGAAAATGCATGAATATTAGTAAATACTTTTGCCCCAAATCTTATGAGTACTAATGTGGGCCGAAACACATGAACAACGGCGTCCAACAACGACAACGACAGGATCGAAGCTTTTCCCGTCAACGATGACGAGGGCGAGCATCTTCTTCATCAGTACAGATGCTACCAACGATGCTTTGGACGACGAAAAAGAAGCAGCAAGAGGCAAAGCTGTTTGGGAATCGCCAACTTCCGCGAGCATCTTGCTCAGGATTCTACCATCATACATGCAGAGCAGAGAAGAATGAGATCGATCATCTGTACTTGAACTGGGAGGAGCAGTGCGCAGACGTACGCCCAACCCAGCTGATCGATCAGCCGATCCATCCATCCATTATATGACGACGACGCCCAAGTACACTTAACAATGGTCCAGTACCTTTAATACTCTACTGAGCATACACCAGTGCAAAATAGGCTAGACCACCGTATCCTCCCTGTATACACATAACAGCACAGGCAGTGCAGAATAAAGCCAGCTTCAAAATGTCTATGCCACCTATCAAGCATCTATAATCAGATCAAATGACTAGAAATAGGCCTGTGCGTGCCAACATAAGTCCAGTCCCGCTTTGTGTTTCATCAAGTTTTCAAACCAAACCATTTTGACATTAACTCTCATCCATGGGATCATTTCCACCGCCTCTCTGGGACTCTGAATCCTTGTCTCCAGCTCCTGAAGCTTTTGCCACGGAGTCTTCAAGAGCCTCCAGGAACGAAGCTACTGTGAATTTATCTGTGCCACAAAGACACCCATCAAATAAGTTTTCCGAAAACATCTCACTCCATCTCCAGATTTTACAAATACTAAATAAATCATTTTCAGACTTGACCAACTAGCATCAAGGATGTTTGTCGTCTAGCAGAAAAACAACGCTCATATTTTGGGCAGGGGTCACCTCCATAAGCCATTGAAAGTAAAAGCTAGACTAGCAAGGTAAATATCATGGTCATTGAGGTATCAGTTGCAGAATTTGTGTTTTTTCAATACATAAATAAAAGTTTCAGCCACATGCACAAATTATCTACCGTGTATTTGCGAATGAAAAAAAAAAGGAGCCTGCTACATGCTGCATTTAACTTTACTGTTCAGTGCAAATAAACGAGAAATTTGGTTGTCAATATAAGTGAAGATGAGAAGGATTACATTTACTAGGGTCAACTCCAAATTGTGCTAGATCTATTTGCCCAGTCCGCAGCACCTGCCATACATGCAAATATCAGAATAAAAATAACATTTGAAGCATTGTGTCACGATTCACCAAGATGTTCAATAGAAAGATGAATTACTAACATGGGTAAACGCTTCTACTTGCTGCCGCAAAGGAGGACTTTGCAATAGTTCAAGAATATCACCAGCAGTCCATGGGCCCTGGAATTAAGCAAGCACAATAAAATGAGTGGAAGAGTCAATTGAAGTAAGAACCAGGATGACAAATACAAAGTTACAAACCTCTGGAAGATATGATGCCAACTGTTCAATGGGCAAAGTTTCCATGAGTGGTAACACCAAATCAGGCTTCAAGATGTCTCCTAATCCTAATCCTGTTACAGCGGTTAAAAGTACTGATACATACAGCAAATCATTGAAGAAAAGTGAATCAATAGAGTATTGTACTGTAATTACCAGCATCAGGGTCTGCCACAGCATCTGAAATTACAAGGCGAATGCAAGTAAAATAAAATGAGAAGGTGGTCAAATGGAAGAACATTTCAAAAGTGACATGATTTTTCAGCTGATACCTGATGGCTGTATAGCACTCAGTATTCTCTGCAGGTCTTCCAACCGTACTGGCCCAGCAGCAGATGTCACCTCACCAGCTAAATCAGCAGTCATGCTCTGATCAACTAAATTCCCAGCTCTGATGAGAAGAAAGAAGGAAACAAAGGGGTTAGAATTATTAAATGGTCATTAATTCATTATACCCAAAACTCAACACGCATGCATGAATGCCATATCAGGAACAAATTGAGGCCACACTTTCATATATATTTAGCAGGAAAAATATCAGTGTGAAAATAGGAAGAATGAAAGGCAGTGCACAATAAACTCAGCTAGACATAGATAGTGTTAACTTATGCATGAAATTGGAGTGAATATACTTGTGGTTTATAATGAACGTGCATCCATCTGTTACTCTGACGGCCCCATTGAAAAATAAAGATTGCAATGCAAACGTCTAGGTTTTTCTGTGCTGCACATTGCATCTTGCAGTTCGTTAAAATTACCTGGAGGAGATGTCATCATCAGCTGTGTCTTCATGTGACATTTCAGCTTCAATAGAAACTGCCTCACCATCTGCACGCCCATACAACTTAAGACACAAGAAAAATGAGCGCATAATTAAGAGTTGAGATCCCAACGTTCAGCATACCTAATGGTCGGTTTATGTAGGCATTAACTTGGCGACATATTTGTGAGTCGTCATCAGCACTTGGCTCCTGCACAGTAAAGAGCAAAACACAAGTAAATTTTAGCTGGTGGAAGGACTTCTGTGGTTTTCAAACAGATACACACACACACACTCAACTGACCTGCATCCAGAAGAAGAATTTCCTGCTATCGTGCCTGAACTTCAAGATGTAAACCCTTCCAGAAGATTGTGTTACCTGATTAAGTTGAATTACAATCATCAATGAAGCCCAAGAGGTTCACTAAGATGGTCTTGCAGAAGAAAATAAACTTGAACCTATATTCAATACCTTCTCAAAGACAGCCTCCTCAGGGAAGACAATTTGATCCTGTGAAAAGGGAATCAAGGATATACAAAAGTACGATAATTTCCTAGGATATACACAATGGAAATCAGGAGAAACAGACACAGCCAAGTTCAAAGTTCAAACATACGAGTCATACAAGTACAGTATTTGCAGATTAAAAAATGAGTGCACGATGACTACTAACTACTATCTATGCTCGAGAGGATACAACTTCAACTAGATTCTGTCCACGATCAAGCCATTGAAAATGAACCAAGCCTTCTTCACCCTACAAACAAGTGGATATGTTAACTGCACTGCAAATCCCCATAAAATATGAGAATGCAAATGGCTTATAAGTTATACTGGACAAATAGAAGTACAGAACTTCAATTCAAGATAAGTATGACTTTTAGCATGCATACCCTTCCTATGCGAACAAGACCCTTGCGTGTGTCTGGGATCACTCGTGTTCCATCAAGGGACATCTTACCCGCACGAAACTCGCACATGATATCCTGACAAACACATGAGAGATTGTTTTTAAATAGAAGCTCAACACCTTGTTATATCATAGCAGAGATAAATGAGATGGCAAAAATAAATATATAGGTCATTAAGATTCTGAATAAGCACAAGATCTTAATTTGAGATAGATCAATAAGCACCATGCACTGCAACAGAAAATTAACTCAGTTCACTGAACTACTGAAAGCTCACTATACACAACCTACATTTCTTATCAGAAGATTTTCTTGCTACAAATTGCTAGCTAAATATTTTGGCCTTTTAGAGTGCAGGCAAAGATTAACAGAAGTTCTATCCCAGTTTTCTGAAAAGAACTAAAACATAAAGAAACAAACTGCCTAGTATACAAAAGAGACATCTATGTTTTTTTTTCTTTTTTTGTATCATGTACGATGAAAAACTGGTCCAAACATGGTTCAGGCCTTTGTACATATTACACACAAAACAGCCCATTAACATGGTACTACCAATGCCATTTTCTGTCAGGCTTTCTTTAACCAGCTGGCTCACTTGTCATACACTCAATTACTTGGCAAGATTTGCGAATAGTTGAGAATTTGTCCACCACAAAAGACAACCTCAATTATCCTTTTGGCAAAGTGTTGATACCAACCAAACAGCCCATAATGTCATTTTAGATGGAACTTGCAGCAGCTAAATCATGATCTCAAATCAACAGCAACCGATCATCGCAGTTAAACACTAACAGGAAATTCGGTATTTGAAAAAACCAATACTTGCAGAAACACTAGAAGGCAAAGTGAGGAGTTTACCTGTAGGGGCTCTGTGCTCTCCATTGATTAAAGAGTGGCTACCACAAGGTGCAGGCCCTAAAACAGGCAGTAAAAAGGACAGTAAAGTATTGGACATAGAACAAAATCAAGCAAGTGTGAAGTATAATAGGTTATCAGTAACTAGTTGTCAGAAGTGTACTGCATGCCAATTGAGATGAACAAAAGGTACTGTAGTCTGAAAGTAGTAGCTGCCTTTAGAACTTTGTGCATATGAGAATGAAAACATTATGCGCATGTGTTGGTAAAATACAGAAAAATGCACTTGTGAAGGATTAAAGAAGACTAGATCTATAAATTTATGTACACTAGAGTCTTTGTTGTGCAGTATTTGCATCTTCAAGTAGCACGTAGGCAACTGACAAATTAGTATTTACATAAAGAAATTCCTGCGTCTGCGTGCTTGTAGATTTGTAATTTGTAAGGTGGTTTCTTTGGGCTTTATAAGATATTATTACTGCATTACTTTTGTGCTGCTGTAGTGTTATTTCATAGTGGAGAACCAACGTGACCCAAAAAACGGCGAAGACTAGCCAAAAACCCTAGCAGCTAGCAAGTCGCATTAACATAAAACTCGTCAATGATTAGCTTGTTTGCAGGGGCTAGTTCCTTACAGGATGGTGCAGTGTTTTATGTTTGTTTATTTTTTTTTCTTACATGTAGATGTAAGCAAGGAGAGCAAAATAGGTGGGTGATCTATAAGATTTTGCTGGTAAGGACCCAAGAAAAACATGAGCAATAAAATCGATTGGAGCAGCCGTCCTAGAAAGAGAGATTTGGATTGGAGAGAGGAACAGGTAGGGCAAGGGAGAAGAAAATATCTTAGAAACAATGGAGCAAGAGTTGGTCACCACTCAGTCACTCACCAACAAGTGGGGGATTACGGAGGAGGGCTGGACGTCGTCGTCGTCGTCGGCGGCGGCGGCGGGACGGGAGGAGAGGGATTCTCCGACGCGATGTGATGTGATTTGGGGAGGCGATGACGACGGGAGGGGGAGCAGAGAAGGATCTCTCATGGTGGGCTGGGCTTCTCTTAGCTGGGCTGGAGAGGCCCGCCCACGCATTTGATGGCCCATATAAAAGCCCGCTCGGCAACTCCAAAGACGAAGTTGAGCTAGGGTTTTCAATCTCTTTCTTCTCTCCAAAACACAAATCGTCGCCGCATCCCCTCAACTCCGGCGATCCCCTTGGCGGCGGCGGCGGCTTCCCCAATCACCCCACTCCACCTGAACTACAGGATGGCGTCCGCCGGCCCGGGGCTCGAATCGCTCGTCGACCGTGAGTTCATCCCTCTTTTTTTTTTATCTCATCTCACCCAGCTACCCAAGATTCTCCTCCTCCTACTATTACTAGTGATAGATGATGTTTTTTTTTTCTCTCCAGAGATCATATCCGTCATCACAAACGATGGCCGCAACATTGTGGTGAGCCCCTTGTTTGATCTACTCGTACACCTTTTTTGTTTTTTTTGGCTCTCGCTAATACTCACTCGAATTGCCCTGCCTCCGCTTCGTCAGGGGACACTCAGAGGATTCGATCAAGCCACCAACATCATCCTCGATGAGTCCCATGAGAGGGTCTATTCTACCAGGGTAGGGTTGCTCCCAACTCTTTCTACGCTTCTTTCATGCTATCTTGCAAACCTTCAATTAATTTTACAGCAATATCAATATTTCACTAAGCTAGTACTATATGCCCTGATAATCCGGCAACACACACTTTACTTCCATCTTCATAAAGTTATGTTTACAAGGCGGTCATACTTACAGTTAGTTACTCTGCTAAATTTTTCTGCGTTTAGAATCTCTACCACAGTCTGTTTGGCATTTTCCATAGAGTTGCCTGTTTGCTAAGGCTACAAGTTCAGCCACACAATTTTTTTTTGTTATTCCAGTATGTCCTTGTTAATTGTGACCTTCTCCCTGGTTTGCTGTCAAATGCTCTCATTGGTTCACTAGTGCAGAATTCTGCAATCAGCAATAAGTTTCTCTCATGGTGCTTGAAAGTTAGTTGCCAACATGTATTACACAGTACCCTTTATGGCTAAACACAGATTGTTTTCAAAGATGGCTCTCTTTCATGATGGTTATAAATGTCATCATGAAGTAATGAGTTCATATTGTTGACTGTTCGTATCTATCATCATGTCTACTGTCAGTATGAACTGAAGTTCGTTTCCTGCAAAATAATGAGTTTATACTGTAACATGTTTTAGCTGAATTTGTCATAACAGCACCTTTTTCTTCAAGGATTGGTTCGATTAATTCTACCTTGTGCACGTTCAATTTTTCAGAAGTCATATTATTTTTTGTCTTCAATAGTTAGGTATTGGAATGTCTTTGTTCTTTATGGTGCAGAGTTGTTGTTCTAACAATTTGCAGGCAATGTTGACTATGAATAGTTATATGTCTCGTATCATGCACCTCTCTATTGAATATGGGATATGCCTTCTTAAGGACTAGGGGCCAATGCCTTTAAATTGTCATGCTTTTAGTTTGTGGCATGTGCTGTTAGTAGTACAGTTGAAATTTTGAGTAGTGATGAGAGAAATGTGTTGTACCTGCAGGAGGGAGTGCAACAGCTTGTTCTTGGGTTGTACATCATAAGGGGCGACAACATGTAAGCTATTTCCTCAATTGTCGTTTGAGCTGTTTATTGCTTATTAATTACCTGCATGGAGGTCGTTTATGGATGTGTTATTTTGTTTGGTGGTGTGCCTAACTGAAGTTGAATCCGTGGGTGATGCATATTTACAGCAGCGTGGTGGGGGAGGTGGATGAAGAACTGGATGCGAGGCTGGATCTATCGAATCTGAGAGCGCACCCGCTGAAGCCCGTGATCCACTAATGGAAACGAATGAATGATGTACTACTACTAGTAGTAAGCTAAACCTAAATGTAGTGTTGTCCCAGAAGTTGTGAAGAAGTGGGTGCTAGTGTTGCCGATGAGTGAACTTCTTTAACGTACGCGAGGAAGTCCAGCAAGCGGATGAGCGAGCATGAAGAAGAATGTTATGGTTTTATGTGGTGGTGGATGGGTGATGCATGTTTGTTGAACACGAACACAGACACAGTGACTCAGTGAGTGAAGATTTGGTTTCCATTGTATTGTATTGTTTGTGCAGCTGTATCAATGTACATGAATGAGGAAGGCAGGCAGGTCAGTTGTTGAAGAGAAGAAGAGCATATTAGGAGTAGGTGGGAGGGGTAGCCGGCTGGTGCTGCTCGTCTTTGAAGTAGTTGCAGGTGATGAAGACGCCGCCGTTGAAGCACTCGGCGCGGGCGCAGCCGATCCTGGTGAAGTTGGGCCTGACCATGAAGGCGAAGTGGCCGCACTCGTGGAAGTCGACGCCGGCGGTGCATTTGCCGGTGTCCCTGTCGTAGAGGTGCTCCTCGTCGCCCCAGCATCGGACGGCGTCGGAAGCCCTGGCGTTCCAGCCGTTCCTCCCGATGTAGAGGCTCTCGGCGAAGCTGTTGCCGGTGGAGTGGCGGATCTGGCAGTCGCCGCGCATGGCGTCGGACCACCGCCGCGCCTGCCTCGCCAGCTTGTTATCCCACCTCATCGGCTGCAGCCCGTAGCGCGCGCGCAGCTGGTTGTGGCCGTCCACGAACTCCCGCGGCATCCCCTTGTACCAACCCATCCCATTGGTCCACGACACCAACCACCCCGCTGGTGCCGATGCTGATGCGTCGTCGTTGAACCAACACATCGCGTCGCCCACAGACAGCAGCAGAAACCAACACAATAGCAATAGTAATGGGAGGATCATCGCGGCGGCGGCCATTGTCTGCCGTCGTCCCGACGAGGACGAGGCCGCCCGCCGATCCGATCCAATCCAATAGTGCTAATGGGCTTCTTATATCCTAGCTCATCTTTTGCCATTTGCTTTTCTTGGATTTGCCTCTCGCTCTTCCAACCATAAACAACGAACTAATAATGCCAATGCCAAGTTTAGGCAGTTTTTCTTTTCTTCTCTGCATCGATCATATCATCATATCGCACGGCCACTCTGTCCAAACAACAAAGCCTAACCTCCCCGGGCACTGGCAGGGCAGCTGGCTGGGCTCTGGCTCTACCAGCTTGCTGCCTGCCTGCCGTGTCTCGTCTGCTTCTACAACTACGGAGCACCTGTTTGCAACGGCCAACGGACGGAAGGAATGTTTTTTTTTTTTGTTTGGCTTGGATTCCATCCATCCTCTCCGGCCTGTTCGTGTGTACGCCTTGTGCTAGGCTAGGCTCCACACACCTGGACATTCTACTCTCGATCGTTCGCGGTCGCGGGGCCCTCTTCTGTTCTGTTGCGTTAATTGCGGCCGCTTTGCTTTCAATTACTTAATATCTGTTTTAATTTCTTCGCCACTTGACATGGTTATGAGTATGACAGATTAATATATGCTATCTTTTTTGTAAGAAAAACCGTTAATATATGCTAGCTACGACTGCATATATATGACAGATTATATACGTAGTATATACTTGTGGTTCGCAATAACGACCAGCTAGCTTAGCTAGCGGATCAATCATACGACGTTACGTTACATTATACTAGTACGTGATGATCAAAGAATCATGCATGTCAAGCTCATATGTGCTTTGTATCTACTACCTTACACTTGCTCTGCTTCTTTAACCGGAAAAGCTGTATGGCTGCTGAATGATTTTTGCTCGGAAAACTAACTATGCCTTACGCTTTCCCTTGCTCTGCTTCTTTAATTGGGTCGGAGTGTGTGTACGTATATATGCCGATATATATGATCGATATGATGCATCCAGCCGCGCGCTGTAGACCAAACTAGCTCGATCGGATTCACCCTCCGATCGGGCGATTGATCATGCACCAACAGCTAATTATAAGGAAACAAAACAGAGATAATTAGTTATATACTACTCCCTCCTTCCCAAAATGTTTAACGTTGACTTTTTTTAAATATGTTTGACTGTTCGTATTATTAAAAACTTTTATGAAATGTGTAAAACTATTTGTATACATAAAAGTATATTTAACAATAAATCAAATAATATAAAAAGAATTAATAATTACTTAAATTTTTTAATAAGACAAACAGTCAAATATTTTTAAAAAATAGTTAACGGCGCCAAATATTTTGGGACAGAGAGTAGTATTTAGTTACTCCTACCTATACGTTGTTGTTGATTTCGAGAGGCGCCGACCAGCCGCTGATCGATCGAGCTACGTAGCTATCTAGGAATTAATATACGACGAAAGACAAGTTACCCCATACTGTATATGATTATATATGAAATCAAATCAATCAATTAACTAATTAATTAAATGAAGATGATGTGTATATAAAGACCTACGTGTCCGGATGTATATATAAGTATTCCAGTAAGCAACATGCATGCATATCATCCATATAATGAAATCATGAATGAAGATGTGTGCCCCTGGCACCGTCCATACGTAATACTCGTACAATTAACATAGGGTAGTAGCAGTACATGCAGTAGCTTATCTTGTTTATTATCTGGACACACGATCGAGTCATATATATATGTGCATCCGAATGCGTGTGGATAACAGCTACCTCCAAATCCCAATCACAGTCACAATCAGAATCGCATGTCTTTGATCGAGTAGGATCGATCACAACGAATGGATATGTACGCATGCATCACCTCCATCCCCTGTCTCTCCCGCTCTCTTTGACCATTGCATATATATATATATCTTCTTCTTTTCTTACATACATATATAAATAAAAGAATAAAGATTATATATATATATATATATAGTAAATTTGTTTGGTGCTCCATGGTGTCCGGGCACCATTGTTGAAATTGAGTATATACCCAATTCAAATGAGTATGAAACTTTTTCAATTACTTAGGTATTAACATTAACTACTTTACTAACTAGTTCAAAGCATGTTTGTACTGAATTTGAACTTGTTTTTGTTAGATTTTGATTCTAGGTATATAGCATCCATACATATAATTAGTTAGGTATGTAATCATGGATTGTGAAATAAAGTTAAATTTGAGTTGTTTTGTTGATAGGTATAGATATGAATCGAATTATTATAACTAGGTATATACTCACAATTTAAAAATTTTGAAAAATTTGAGTGATTTTGTACATTAGATACCATGGTGCCCGGGCACCATGGAGCACCAAACAAATTTAATATATATATATATATATATATATATATATATATATATATATATATATATATATATATATATATATATATATATATATATATATGGAGAGAGTGCATGCTTGACTGTCAACCTAGCTATCTAGCTACGGATATTATTTAGCCTTTGATTGATATGATATATAAGAAAAGCCATATCTAGAGTATTTACACTCGATCGAGTATGTAGCTAGGGCCGAGTTTAGTTACAAAATTTTTCTTTAAACTTTTAACTTTTCTATTACATTAAAATTTTTCTACACACACAAAATTTTAACTTTTCCGTCACATCATTTCAATTTTAATCAAACTTTTAATTTTAACGTAAACTAAACAAATCCTAACATCCTAGATAGCGAGCCTTGCCAAATGACGTGTGTGCGCGCGGGTGGAATTAGCTACTGGGGGCGGGGCGGGGCCGGCCGTCATACGAACGTGGAAGCGCCAGCTAGCACTTGAATTGCTTGCTTCCTTTAATTTGTTTGTTTTGTTTTGTTTTAGGAGCAGAGGAAGTTGAAGTATTTTGTTTGTTTAATTATGGTGAGAGTTAATTTTACTTTGGGCCATGATTTATTATTAAAGTTTCACTTTAGACTACCCTTTGTCCAATCTTTTTACTTTAAACTAGATAACTTTATCTTTATTGCACAATAAACCACCCCAAGCAACATCTTCAATACTTCAATGACTTCAAGGAAATTGTTACCTACGTGCCAACAAATTTTCATATATATATACATACCATATATTTGTCGAAAGAGACGCTAGACATCACTAGCGAAAAGAGTTAGGGTGGTCCATTATGTAATAAAGAAAAAGTTACCTAATCCAAAGTAAAAAGATTATGTACAGGGTGGTTCAAAGTAAAACTTTAACAATAAAACATGGCCCAAAGTGCAAATCACTCTGATGATAATGACTCTTACTATAGTGGAATGGACTACCGATACCGAAAGCTACCAGCACAACGTAGGAGTGCGTGGTGTGCATCGCGGCCATTAATTATGTAAGCTATTTAGAGTATGACCAATTGTTACCTTCAATTCTAAATCCAACCCTTTTGACATAGGAGGTCAGCACCAACCTTTTAGCGCTCATCTCAAGCACACCTTAACAAAATAATATAGACGTTGTTCTCTCATTTTCGTAATCTTAAGATATCTCAAGCATACCTTAATAAATTTGTAGTTGTCTATATTAGAATATGTCACATCTATATTAGAGTTGTATTTATATTAAAACGAAGGAAATCCATATATTATAGTAGCAGACCAATAAGATGGTCTAGTGGTTTGGGGTAGCTGGGCAACTTTATTATAGGTCAAGGGTTTGACAAGGGTAGCAAGAGAAACATTAATTTTATACCACTGTAATACAACAACTACTTTCAACCTTAATGGAACAAGTAGATATATAGTACTCCCTCCGGTTTCATTTTAATTGTTGTTTTAGACAATGATACGGTCTACAAAATATACCTTTAACATTATTTTTCTATTATAATATACACAATAAATAAATGCATGTTTATTTTTATTATAGTATTTTGAAAGACAAATCTATATATGTTGTTCTACTTTCTTTAAACTATATATTTTTGAGACCCGGAGGGAGTATTAATTAACTAATTAACACATGGCGTTGACCTCCTGCTGACTTAGAAAATGTGCGAGCTCGATCGGTACATATACGAAGTATATATCTCATGCTGGTATTACGTACGTGGCGTTGATATATAGTAGTGCCATCGGACATGCATGATACGGTCGTGGTTTATTTTGAAATAAGTTTATTATTTAGTTTTGAAGATGGCAATTTGGCGAAAGCTAGTTCCGGGGAGTAACTACTGTACATGAATTTGGGGGCAGACACATGTTAGGATAGAGATAGGAAGGAAAAGGAATAGAGCACGCACGCGGCAGGAGGTGATTGGGAGTGCAACGTCGTGGTCGGCGCGCGGCGTCTGCAGGGTCAAAAGGCCTGGATGATGAAGCCGCGCGCAACGTGTACCCGTACGCACGCGCCATGCGGGAGCGGGACGACGACTCGATCGAATGACGGACGTTATGCTTATTCCGGTGAAAGAAATGCGTGTCACACGCATTCCGGTGACTTGATTTTAAGCAAGCAATCAAGCTAGCTAGCGCCACCCCGCGGAGTCAACCGTACGTGGATCCATGCATCCATCGATTCATGCTTAATTATATATATGCTCCTGCGTGCGAGGGCCTTAAAGCGCATCAAATCAAATGACTAGCTAATGCGGTAATGCCTTCAACTTCAAATGGAGTACCTGCCTATTTACGTACGTTGCACAATCAAGCAACCACATCCACTTTAATTTTCTCTATCTCTCTTGAGCCTCTGTTTCCTTCCTTTACTTGCTGTCAAAAAAGTGGCATCACCCCCACCTCACAATGCAAGCAATGCTGCTGTAACATGATCAACGACAGCATATATATTGCGCTACTTGCTGTTAACGTTAATGATTCGACTCTACATAGTAACGATGGAAGTACAGGCGGGGAAACGAATTAGACACAGTTTTCGTGTTCCTTCCCCCCGGCGGGGTGGGTGTCCCTTAATTAAATAACACGATGCAAGTACTACAAGCGTAACACAACACACTTGAGCCTAACGAATCAATTTAATTATCTCCATGTGTTTACAAAAAGAGCCACACAGTTCGCTCTTAATTTACTCCCTTTTGTTGAAGGGGAAGTTAATTTACTTGGTGAGATTTGAGCAAATCCACAAACTTGAAGGTGGTTGGCAGCCGAATAATATGCGTTTAGTTGTTATAGGGGCTGTTTAGATTGATGCTATTTTCAGCCATACAAAGTTGACAAAAATTTGTTACCAAATTTGGTAAATATATAAAAAATGCTGTCAAAATTTTGGCAATATTGCCAACTTGATAGGGTTTATTTTGGCTGCAATCTGAACAGGCCTATGGAAGGAAGGTAAAAGAAAGAGGGACCGACGATATATAGATTTCTTAATAGAAGTGGTGAGTAGGAGTAATAAACAATGGAGTGATAATCTCTATCTCTATCTCTACTATTATAAAAATTGAAATGTTTATGCGGTCCATCATCCGTGTTTGAGGTTCGTCATCCGTATTTGAAGTCGGTTTTCTTTGGTTTTAATCTATATCTCTTCTCTACTATTACAAAAACTGAAGATGTTTTTGCGGGTATTTTGATACATCATCCGTGTTTGAGTCGGGTTTTTAAATTCATTTGCTTTTGGAAATACAAAAGGAATCATATAAAAATCTCTTTAAACAAACTTGTATGCTAACTTGAGATGAATGTCGAACTCCTAATTGCAGCTCATGTTTTTCTAGAAAAAAAATCCAAGCGAATTCCCACGGTGGATTAACAGTTATAAGATTAAAATAGCATTCATCCGTTGCAACGCACGGACATTTTCGTTCACTTTTGGTAATATAGAAGAAATCATATAAGAAATCTATTTAAAAAACTCGCATGCTAGTCGTGGGAAGAAAACTCGTGAAGGAAGGAGAAGATTTTGCAAAGAGATAAGAATTGGGCGTACACGTGGGCGGGGCAGATCGATCTTAGATACATACAGATTGAAAAAGAAAAAAAAGAAAAGAAGAAGGAGAGGTTGAGGGAGGGAAGGAAGCTAGGAAAAAGGGAAATACTCCTAAGGAACGCGGCGGCCGTTTCCCGAACCGTCGCGGGCGTTCCCTAGTTGGACTGGGCGGTTCCATCCCAGACGCAACGCGCAGCGGTCGTAGGAGTAGGTGTTTTTTTTTTGTTTTGCAGTTGCCTTCTCTCGAGGCCGGGGGGCTCGGCTATATATCCTCCTCCTCCCCCTCAGTTCCGCACAAACACAAATTAACCTCCTCCTCTTCTTCTTCTTCCGCTCTCTAGCTTTGCTTTGCTTGCTTCATCAAACCCCACACACGCACACAACAACAACAAGAGTAATCAAAGTAGAAGAAGATGGTTTCGGCCTTGTTGCGGACGATCCTGGTGACGGGCGGCGCCGGCTACATCGGCAGCCACACCGTCCTCCAGCTTCTCCAACTCGGCTTCCGCGTTGTCGTCCTCGACAACCTCGACAACGCCTCCGAGCTCGCCATCCTCCGCGTCAGGGAACTCGCCGGACACAACGCCAACAACCTCGACTTCCGCAAGGTCTTCCTTCCTTCCTTCCTTCCTTACTTAATTCTCTCTCTCTCTCTCTCTACATTAGATTCTGATTTTGCGGTTCCTTTTATTAATTTAACAAAACAAAACAACCATTCCCATCTCGATAAGCGGCGCGCGGCGATATATCATAACTTGTCTTTTTGATTAGATTGAAATGAAATCAATTGGATTGGATTAATCATCTCATCTAGTCAACATATTACTAGTTACTTATATCTGTATTCGGGCGACACAAATCCAAATAGTAACTACTCCTCTTCCTCCTTAGTAATGGAAAGTTAGAGTTCCTACAAATATTTTTGTTTGAATTGGAGTTGTAGTCGTTCGTTTTCATGGGGAGGCGGTCAATTGAATTGAATTGAATTGAGTTGGTGGAGTAGTAGTGGAAATGGGAAAAAAAAACCCAAGGAGGGAGGGAGGGAGGCGTTGGAAGGCGCCGGACGCGTTGTTCCCGCCCCCCTGCTTCATTTCTGTTTTGATTTTTCATGGCCAAGCACACAACGCATGCACCACCCACCCCACATACGTTCCTTCTACTTTCTTTCCACCCATATATAAAAAGATCCTTTACAATCCACATCTCAATCTCAAATATAAATAGGATTATTAATACTAATAAGCTCATTCCCCTGGTGCATTGCATACTCATAAAATTTCTTGCTTAAAGGACTCAAAATCTATCTTAGACTAATATAACATATAAATTATTATGCAGGTTGACCTCCGCGACAAGCAAGCGTTGGACCAAATCTTCTCCTCTCAAAGGTTGGTTAGTCTTCCTTGCTCCTTCAATTTGCACTTAAGTACCTACCTTTAATTTGTTTTCATTTTTGGTTAGCAGCGTGACACCGTAAATTTCAGCATAATATATATACAAACTATAGCTATTAAACTATTTCAGCATAATTTCATCGGTCGGTCGGTCGGTCGGTCGTTTATTCCATGAATCAAATCAAATCGATCATTGTCAAAATAATTACTCCTCATCATGTATTACAAGTATTCTGGACCTAGCTAGCTGCTCAGCCAGCCTGCCAGGTCAAGAATCTGGTGCTTGGCCAGTTTAATTTGCAGCCGTCTATCACGCACGGTAGCTGTCACGCTCATAGTACCAACCAACGAACCGAACCTTCCTTGTGGAATTAATGCATTACTATATATCACAGGTGACAGTCCATCCCTTTTGTACCCAACCGCGTAGTATACTGGAGTACTAATAAGCAATACTATGATGAATGAAATGAAGAGTAGTAGTAGGTATTATTATCTGTTTTGGCGAAGATTTGAGACGGACGGACGCTGGTCTGCTTGGCTGCAGGTTTGAGGCTGTCATCCATTTTGCCGGGCTGAAAGCTGTTGGCGAGAGCGTGCAGAAGCCCCTGCTTTACTACGACAACAACCTCATCGGCACCATCACTCTCCTGCAGGTCATGGCCGCACATGGCTGCACCAAGGTACAGCCCCCGCACCATTTCATTTATTTTTCTCCCATTGTTTTGCTTTGCCTATATGTATATGCGTGCCTCTTGCTGGCTTTATTGGTTGGCTGGCCTGGCTCTTCTTTGCATTGCTGGGGGTCACAGGATATACCTTATGCCTTTTTGCATTGCTGGGGAACACAGGAACATATACCACAGATTACCTACCTATCACAACCACTCTGTGTCTGTGTGTGTTGTTTGCCATGCATGATGCACGGGAATATAACCCTCCCCTCTTAAAATTGCTGCCTGCCTGGTCCCACTCCCAGCCAAGATTTTTTTTTTTGTTCTCTTCCTACTGCCCTCTGATTTTTCTTCTTCCTTTCATCTTGTTTTGGTTGGTTGGTTGGTTCTGAGCTTACTCTGGAGGCGGCATCGCAACAGATTTATACTTACTTAATCCACTAAAAGTAAACATATATGCTTTAGTTTTTAATAATGGACATAATCATAAGCTATTTTGCTCCGGCCAGCTGGTGTTCTCATCATCCGCAACTGTCTACGGGTGGCCCAAGGAGGTGCCCTGCACTGAAGAATCCCCACTTTGTGCAATGAACCCCTACGGCAGAACAAAGGTACTCCAGTTTTTTCTCTTCTGTTATACTATATTCAGTTCAATCATCATGCCTAGGATCAATCAATCAATAAATCCTAATTAAGCCAAACAACATATATATGATATGATATGATTGCAGCTGGTAATCGAAGACATGTGCCGGGATCTGCATGCCTCAGACCCAAACTGGAAGATCATACTGCTCCGATACTTCAACCCTGTTGGAGCTCACCCAAGCGGGTACATTGGTGAGGACCCCTGCGGCATCCCAAACAACCTCATGCCCTTCGTCCAGCAGGTCGCTGTTGGCAGGAGGCCGGCCCTTACCGTCTATGGAACCGACTACAACACCAAGGATGGAACTGGGGTATGTATATGCATTATTCATTCATTCTCAACAATCAGTCGTATATGATTTACTAATTAATTTTATTCCTTGCCGGCAGGTTCGTGACTATATCCATGTTGTTGATCTAGCGGATGGTCATATCGCCGCGTTAAGGAAGCTCTATGAAGATTCTGATAGAATAGGTATATATGAACCCTCTCTTGTTGTGCATCCATCCACGGGACGGGACACATGAAAACATCATCATCTCATAAATTAATAATTTATGTGGCTATATTCTTCCAGGATGTGAGGTGTACAATCTGGGCACTGGAAAGGGGACATCTGTGCTGGAAATGGTTGCAGCATTCGAGAAAGCTTCTGGAAAGGTAAACTAACAGGACAAGTGTACTTCCTCTTAATTACTATAATAATCATTAATTCCCAACTTGTCCTTTGCTTTTGTTGATCATATGATGTCGTCCTAACAATAATAATGCCAACTTGAACAGAAAATCCCGCTTGTATTTGCTGGACGAAGGCCTGGAGATGCCGAGATCGTTTACGCTCAAACTGCCAAAGCTGAGAAGGAACTGAAATGGAAGTAAGTATCAGGATATATATATATATATAGCATCTCACATCATTTCATCTGTACTGTAATGAAATGAAATATTAAAATCATCATGTACTCTCTTCACACCAGGGCAAAATACGGGGTAGAGGAGATGTGCAGGGACCTGTGGAATTGGGCGAGCAAGAACCCCTACGGGTATGGATCGCCGGACAGTAGCAACTGATCCAGCTGAATATAGGCGTCCAATCCTCCAGTAGCAGCAGCAGCAGCATGACTTCTATACATATATATATATAATCATAAAGAATGAAGAAACAAAGAATTCGGACTTGTTGAGTTACTACTACTACTACTACTAATCCCATCTGATGGACCGCATTGTATAGGGGGCTTGTAGGGGTCCAGCAGCTTCATCATCAGTCTCCTTAGGAGGCCTCTAATATAATCTCCATATTTATGGTAGAAATAAATTTTGCCCACCGTGGAAGAACTATATAATAGAATCATGATGATTTGTTGATTCATTGTCGCGTCGATTCGTGCAAAGACGTGTATGTATGTGCACGCCCATCTTCTTCAAGTCACATTGCACAAGTTGAATTGGGCCTTAAAAGTACCTAAAGTTGATCTTGGGTGTTTTTCCGTCAGGACATACCTTTATGATTTCCGTATCCATCCCAACAAGATAAACGGGCCAGCCAGACCATCTCCGAATCTTCGATCCGTTTGTGTCTCTGCAGGCCCATGTAAAATACAAAGCTTGCGATATAAGTTCACTTTAGGTCACTCCTGTTGACGTTGAATCTGAATTCCATCCTTGACCTACTACACCAGAAGATATAGAGTACCCAAACTATTTTTTTCTGGTGCCATGTCAGCTAAAGCAGCCTATAATACTATCTTAGGACTATATATGTACCGGTTTTAAAAAATGAGTGATGTACTATATCTAGTATGGTGGTTCAAGGATGTGATTCAAACTGAACGTCAAGATAAGAGACCTAAAGTGAACTTATTCCAAACCTTACTTACAGGGCTTGCTACAGACACAATAGGCCCAACTTTACTACATTTGCAACATACATGACAACTAGCCACAAAACTGTAAAGTGATAAGTGAAGCACAAACAAAACCACAAATACCGGTCATACTCATATCACGATCTTACCAGATACCTTGTGGTCCGATCACCATTAGAGATGATAATGCTATGGAATACGTTGTCTATAGAGTAGATATATATGATCTGAATTTAAGAGGAGGGGATCCCTATTAAGCGAAAATGGAGGGTGGTCTAGGGACTACTTGGACCACCCCCCTTGGAATTGCCTATGGGTATGGTTAGCTATTGGCTGAGCTAATTAGTTGCACATAAAACGAAATGGGTAATTGATGCATGATTAATTGAATGTTAACTATAAATAATAAATTCATTTGATTGTTTCAATAAATTTTTATTATAGATCCAAGTTTTTGCACTCTAGTGGTTTAAAGAAACGTGCTCCTAAAAATGAAAAGGTAGCCCGAACCGAATAGTTATTTGGAACTCAGCCTTGGCTCATGTAGATAACCTTTCGAACCGGCTATGAGACGGAGATTATACCCGCGTCAATCTGAATTATTGGCCTTGAGGCAACTTTTGCCATTCATATCATCACTAAAGTTAGGAGCATAAATATGTACATCATCTACTTAGTTAATTTGTGATTTGGGATGAATGATCTTGTACAACTTTTACATCGTATCTATACACGGGAGGTTCGATCGGTGGCAACGAACGTGTTGATCGATAAAGAAGGGCGCCTTGTGTGTTGTGTGTAATCTTCTCTCTAAAAACAAGCTACTAAAACAGTAAAAAGAAATTGCACTGTATAAATAAATAAATAAATAAATAAATAAATAAATAAAATTCAAACTCAATATTGTTTTTAACAAATTAAGAAACATATATATGCAAAAGAAAAAAAACTGAAATACGTATATATATGCTACTCCAGAAGGAAATTAAAAGTAAATCGATCTGGCACTAGCTAGAAAGAAATGAAGAAATGACAGGTAGCTAGCTAGTGTGCAGGAACGCGTGTGGGTGGAGGAATGGAATGGAATGGGTTAGGTTAGCGGCACCTCTCCCTTCCAGTTGCCCGGCGGGTCGTAGGAGCAGGTGATGAAGACGCCGCCGGCGACGCACTCGGAGCGGCCGCAGCCGACGAGCTTGGTGTCGTTCCAGACGATCTGGGTGAAGTGGCCGCACATCTGCCCCGGGTTGCAGCTCTGCCCGCGCCAGTCGTAGACGGAGGACTCGCCGGCCCAGCTCTTGACGGCGTCCGTGGCGCGCCAGCCCCACCCGGTCCCCCAGAACACGTTCTCCCCGTACGGCGACTCCGGCGAGTGCATCATCACGCAGTCGAACCGCCTCGCCGCCGACCACCGCCGCGCGTACCTGGCCAGCTTGTTGCTCCACTTCAGCGGCTGCAGCCCGTACTGGGCGCGCACCTTGTTGTGAGCATCCAGGAACTCGTGCGCCATGTACTTGTACGTCCCGCGCCCGCCGGTGAACGACTGCCCCGGCCCCACCGGCGCCGCCGCCTCCGGACCCTCCTCCTGATCATCGCCGCCCTCCCCCTCGCCCTCATCGTAATTGTTGTTGTTATTGCTATCATCATAGTACGGCTTCTGATTCTGGTTCTGGTTCTGGTCCTGGTTCTGATTCTGGTTGCCGATGCCGATGCCGCCGCCGATACCCACGCCGACGTTGACGCGAAATGACGCAGCCGGCCGGATCAACAAGATGAGGTACACCACCACCACCAGCGCCACCACCACGACGCCTGGACCTGCAGATGCGGCCATCATGTATGTACTCTCCTCTCCTCTCCTCTCCTCAGCTCAGCTTCCTAATTACATACACATATATATATGCAATCAGCAGCAACCAATTAGCTAGCTAGGAATATTATGTGTTATTAGCTAGCTAGCTAGTATGCACAGATTATGCATTCCATTCATCATCGATCTTCTAGCTTGTCTACCCAGCCTGCAACCTTAATTTGGCCGGCTATCTGCTATTATTAATCTGCAAGGACATCGGAACTCCGATCGATCATATCCATCGCTTACTCCCATCCACGCATGCATCTTTATTTCTCACCCCACGCGCCCGGGAAATGAGCTCCGTCGATCATCGTCTAAACTCTATTTCTTACCATTCAATTTCCTCCACCATTGAGGGCTAGCTATAGCTACTAGCTAGCGAGCGGCTGCAGCGGACGAGACGATCGAACAAGTTAACTAGAAGAATACGGAGTAGAGTAATACCTACCTAGCTAGCTGTTGTACTCATTTTCTTTTGGGGAACTAACCTAATAATTAATTCAACTGTGTGTTGTGTAGAGTGTCACCAATCACTTTGATATGGCAAGTTACTAACCAAGATGGTAACAAGATAAAAGCTGGTTGCCTCTAGTCTAGACCAAGTTAGATAATTTGGGAATAAATAGCCAAAAAAAAGGATTTTCGAGACAAACATATACAAATAACTTTGTGTGAAGGTGTACGATTTATAGTGCAAATTGATAAACATGGATAAACTAGGACACAAACTAGGTGAAAGATAAAGCGGAACACATCTATATACCTATATATAATTAGAAAAATACGTAAGGATTCCGCACATTTTTTTTATCCATCCCTTCCTCCCTCGTGCACGTCGCCCTCCCTCCCGACATCCCCCCATCTCTTTCATCCCTCCCTCCCACCCTCCCACTCGCCTCCGCTTCCACCTCCCTCCCTCTCGGCACCCCCTCTCTCCCTCGCTGCATGCGCTCCCCCTCCTCCCGTGGCCCCTCTCCTCCCTAGCACCCCTCCTCCCCATCACCCCGTCCTCCCAGCGTCCCTCTTCTCCCAATGATCCCTCCCTCCTACGCTTTCAAGAAAAAAACATAACCCCCTTGTCCAGGAACACGTTTGACGCACTCACCTCGCCATATTCACCACAAGAGCTCGCCATTACTGTTTCTCTCTCTGTCCGGACCACGTCGTCGTTGGGTGTGCTCCCGCTGTTCTGGTTTTCTTCGTTGCCAACTGCCAGCATCCATGGACGTGCCACATTGTGGGACAAGTCCGACCACCTTACTCGTCGATGTTTGGTAAACGAAGCACCGTCGCTCATCTTCTCTTTTGTTTCTTGTTTGGCTAGGGAAGACGATGAATAGTGTTAGTCATTTTTTCTTCATTTTTCTTTCTTTCAATGCGTTCAAAGAAAATGGAATCCCCTCATCTGAGAATGCATTTTGACACACTCATCCGATCATGTTCACCACTAGAGCTCGCCGTTGTTGTTTCTCTCTGTCGGAACCACGTCGTTGTCGGTCGCGTTTCTGTTGTTCTGGTTTTCTTTATTGCCAACCTCCATCATATATGGATGAGTCATATTGTGCAAGATGTCCTACCACCTTCCTTAGCATCATTTGGTCGCCCGAGCACCAACGCCTATCTTCCCTACTCTTTTGTTTCTCGCCTTTGGGAAGGGAAGACGATGACCTATTGGCCACTATTTCTTCTTGGTCTAGCTCAACCATGCTCTTGGACGACTCACGTAATATTGAGACTATATGAATATGAATAGGACCGGAAAAATTCTAATTTATGTCTATGAAACAAGCACCTGTTTTGTTGTTCAGAATTATTGGATCGGATTTTCATCTAAGAACTGAAATAAGTTTTTTTTTTCAATTCTAGCTAATTTAAGTTGTTTTTCCATTTAGGATATTAGTTTTAGCACTATTTAATTCATTAAAAAATATTGTAACCTATATTTTTCCTTTGTATTAAATTATTTATAGCCAAATGAAAAAAATGGAGATTTAGTTACATTTTTTTTGAGTTATTGTTCCGGTCAAACCTATGTGTAGTTTGATGTTATTATTTTTATGATTATATTTCCTTTCGTTATTTATACCAAATTGTGATATAGGGTTTATAATTTTAATTTATGTTATTTAGAATCCGTTGTAACACATGGACATTATGATAGTGATTAAAATACGACTCAAACGGTTGATTATAGGGGGTATCCAATTGAATCGGTAAAAGTCCTTATAAAAAGGTTGCTATTACATAAACCGTGTCTTTCCACATCTTATTAGCTAGGCTTAAGTTGTGTTTTAGAGAAGGCAAAGAAGAAGATTGAGAAAATACGTGAAACAAGGTGAGTCATTCTCGTATGACTAATTGGGTATTAATTATTTAAACTTTAAAAAGTAGATTGATATGATTTTTAAAACATTTTTTCTATATTTTTTTTTCAGAAAATGCACCATTTAAAGGTTCAAAATGGGTGTGCGTGCAAGACGATAGATTTTTTCTCCCCTTTATGGTTGTCTCAAATCCAACCTATCAGTTATTCTCTCCATCCTAAAGTAAACTTATTTTTCACCTATCCCACGTATACCAATATAAAATCCAAAGACTAGAGTACTTCTGCTTTATCAAATTCCAATACAACTATTGTCTACTTTATCCACTCCCAGTGTATTTATCCTTTACTTTCACAAACTTCGACACGATGATTACTTAGAAATGAATTTATTTTAGGAAAATTTTCAAAAAAAATTATTTTAGGAAAAACTGGAAGAGCCAAAAAAAATTATTCTGAGATGGAAGGAGCAGCTAGACTAGAAATACCTTAGGCCTAAGGACAAAAATCCGTTTATAATGTACTCCCTGGTTGTTGGGTTGCATCACCATTATCTGTCCACATTTTACTGGCCAAGTGGTCAGCTTTGCATGCTTTCTGTTGCACTACACAGCCAACGATGGGTCCGTCCATCATCTAGCCATAGACGATAGTTGCATCACGCACATGATCGATAGTACTATTCGTCCTCATCTTCATTGTCTCATCTTTCAGTAGTGGACTGGTATACTCGCTCTGAGTGCATGTAGTATATGTATCTCATCGATCAAAACGACACGACGACTGCATGTACATGTGCAAGTCTGCCCTAGATCTGCACTATTATGGCCCTGCTTGACCTACTTTGGGTTTATATATAGGGTTAATTAGTTCCACGCCATTATAAATTCTTCAGCTTAGAAATATGCCACTAAAATTTATTTATTTGTAGCGATACCATTACAATTTTATAGCAAATTGGTATATGCCACTACTTACCTCTTCATTGCATTCATAAACATATTTAGACCATTTTGCCCTCCTTTTTCATCTCCCTGTCTTCTTTCCCCTCTCTCATGTCCTAATCAGGGGTGGGCAGAAAAAGACCAAACCGAAAAGACTGAGACCGAGATTGAAAAGACCGAGACTAATAAATTCGGTCATAGGCAGTGAAAGACCGAATTTTGTTCGGTCAATTCGGTTAGTCTCCTCGGTTAACCGAATAGACCGAAAAAACCGAATTATCAAAAAAATGTCTAAATGCAACCTACAATCCACTATGTTTAATAGAATTAAACTCTAATTTTCACATCCCTACTTCTTATAGGCATACAACCTAATAAGAGTCTTTACTCATAAGTGCTTACGAATTTTTTTTGTGATTTTTGTGTTGAAAATTTCCATAGTTTGTTTGCATATATGAAAACGTTGTTGAATTTCAGTAATGACCGAGACCGAATTTATCGGTCCTAACATTTTTCGCTAAAATTCGGTCTTCACTTTTCAAATACCGAAAGACCGAAGACCGAGACCGAAATTTTCAGTTAGACTGAATGCCCACCTCTAGTCCTAATGTCCAGTGAACCTCGGACCTCCACCGGCCTCAAACACTTCCTCTAGGCGTTTCTTTACCCTGTCGCCGAGGAAGACGAGCAGACGCTTGCCCGCCGGAGTAGGCCGCCATGCTGGAGCTCCTTCGTGGGCCACCGGAGCAGCTGTGCCTGAGCCGTCGTGCGTGGATCCGTCGAGGCCGTGTCCGGGCGTCGCCCTCATGCCGTCGTGTTTTGTCCTCTGCTCGTCCTCATCGTCGTTTGCTTGTTGTCCTCACGCTGAATCCTCTGCTCGTCCTCCTCGGCACGCGGGCGAGCGGGCAAATGAGCACTTGAAGGGAGGATAGAGGCCGGAGGAGGAGGAGCTCCGGTGGAGACATGGGCTTCACTGGACATGAGAGAGAGAAGATATGGGAAGGAAGAAAGGGGAAGAGGAAGAAGATGAGGGCAGAATGGTCCAAAATTTTTCGTGAATGCACTAATCTCAAATTACATCAAAATTATAATGGCATCGTTACAAATAGACGAATTATAATGATATATTTTTAAACTAGAGAATTTATAATGGCATGGATCTAATTAACCCTATATACAATTATACATACGATAATCCATCGATCATCATGCGTTAAAAAAGAGAGAACATGTCCTAATATGATCGTGTAAATAATTAGCATCTACTCCTAGCTAGCGAGTTAGCTATCTCGCTCTTGCATGTATATTTATATATAGTAGTAGTAGTATTTATATATCATGGAAGTGCTCGTGTACAAATTAAATTAACGAGCTTTTTCGAAGAAATAAGACAAATAATTCCAAAAGGAGAACAAAACAAGATAGAAGAAAGAAGAAGGCGACTTACACGCCGGAGAAGGAGAATTGCTAGCTGGCGAACAGTCAACAGGTCGCGGTCCAAAACGAACAAATTAATAAGCTGTAAAGAGATGGAGACCAGCTAGCTAGCAATCAGCTTCCCAGCCACGGATATTAATTTATCGCAGGTGTATTAGCTTTCTACGCGATTTAATGTTATATATTTTGACTATTTAAATCTATTATAAACAACTACATAACTAATACTTTCAGATACAAATATAATGAAACTATATATGCATGGCAATAAGTGCCACTATTGATAGTTCAATTGTTAATGAAAAATTAAATGTCGATTTTCTTAAAAACGAAGGAACTATATACATACCATACATCCTAAGAAAAAGACAAATAGTAAGACATGCCCACAAATTATCATTCTTAAATTTCTTTCCAGAGTAAATTTCATAAAATCCTACCTTTTATCATTCAAATTACACAAAACCACAGAGATTTTGACATGTGACATATAACACCAGGTATTATAGCCTTAAAGTTTTCACAAAACCACCTTGTTAACCAAAATTGCCATATTCCTATATTAAATTTTTTTAAAAAACTTTATTTACATTTATATGATGGATAAATAACTCACAAATTTGATAGGTGATTGTAGAACTGAAAAGTATAGACGCTCAAAGTCAAAACAATTAATAGTGTTGTTTTTGTGAATGATAAGGACATCCTCCACTATTACCCGCTAACAAAGACACAAAAGTCGG